AGAGGCGGAGGGGGAGGGGGGGAGGCGCGGAGGCGGACGGTGGTCGGGGTGGGGGCGGAGGGGGTGGGGGCGCTGAGCTCGAAATTGGTCGCGGAGGGGGGGGAGGCGGAGGGGGGCCTCCCAATTTCAGGGGGGGCGGCGGAGGGGGTCTCGGGTGCGGGGCGAGCGGGGGCAGCGGACTCGACAGCTTTTGGCCGGAGGTGCTCTGGCGCGCGGAACCCGGGGGCGACGGCTGCGAGAAACCCTGGCTGGCGTTTGACGACATTGGAGAAAGGCCCTGTGAGGCGAGGTCGGGGGAGGAGCCGTAGATCGTGAACTTGCTGACGCCGTTTTCGTACTCGGAGAGGGTCTCTGCGGAGTGGACCCGCGCGAAGGCGCGGCGCGGGGAGTCGGAGGTGGAAGGGGGGGAGGTCGGGACGAGGTCCGAGCTGACCGACTCGTCGTCGCGGTCACCGAACATGGACGAGCGGTGCACGGGCTCGTGGTACTGGAACGTCTCGGGGTTGCCGAACAGGGCCTGCAAGGGGCACGTGTATGGGTCTCTTGACATTGAATAGAGACAGTCACATAATGTAATTGCTTATTTATAGCTCTTGGTTTTGTCCGTCTTGATTGTGGCGTGTCAGAACTGCTTTTGCAGGGAAAGACAGGATCTGTGAAAGGAGTTTGCACTAGTCAAGGCTTCCCCCTCCGTTGTAATCCACTTTCCCTCCCACCTGGTCATTTCCTCCGTTTCACTGCCATGTAACGACAAACAACTGCGCCTGAAAGAACAACTGAACCCCTGAAAGAGGAGATAGCTGTGTCCTTCATTGCCAGTCTATGTACCGCCGCAACAAGGCTTGGGGCTTGGACGATCTAGCCAATGAAAGGATAGATTGTGACCTGGTGGCGCTTTTCAGACGCACGCACTGTCGCATACTTTCTACACTTCCAGCTGAGGTGATTGCCTGCTTCTAACGATCTACGCACTGCTCAATCAGGCACTTCCTGAGGCGGCCCTTGCAAACACCCTTCTAAAGCCTGCCCTAAACCTGCATTACCCAAGAAGCAGAGGTCCTATCTCCGCATTGAACTCCATCGTGAAAGTGCCCCTTCGCTGAGATGTTGAGAGCCTGTTCGTACAAAACAGTCTGACCCCGATCAACCCTATCCTCGGTTTTGTGGATCTAACCGCAGCAGCATACCTCAGCCCTGAACTCCTTCTCAAAGCGCTCCTTGGTGTTCCACGGAATGTCGATGTCATCCCGCGACAGCATCAGCAGGTTGGACCGCACGAAGGCCGTGTTGAAGACGATCCGGAACATGAGCTCCTCCTTCTCGCGGTCAGACTCCAGGTCCAGATGGATGCACTCCATCACGACATCGCCGTGCACCGCACACTGGATGTCGATCTTGATGACGTCAGTGTCCCGCTGCAGAGAGAAACGGTATGAAGCGCTTTCTTTAGAGAGAGAATGCTTCATGGCAGTAAGACGAAACCGTTCCATGGTTCGAGAGAATGTCTTTCCAAGAAGAGGGGTAAGGAACAGGGACCCTGGCTACCTGGCAACCGTGCGAAGTTTGGAAAATGATGCCTGCTCAGATCTCCCCAGGAGAGGTATGTACAGGTGCTGACGAGATGTGAATAAGACGAAGCTTCTAAGGGCACGGCGTTTTCTCAGCTCTGCACGAAGGTGCACGCATCCCTGTCCATTGCTTCACTTTGAAATTGTTCAAGGGCCAATTATCAAAGATTTGAAACTTCGGAAACGACTTTATGTTGTCATTTTTGAGAAGACTTTGAATCAGTTCGATAGAGACGAGGTTTGTAGCAGCAGACAAAGGTCTCTTCAGTATACAGGTGTGCAACTTTCGAGACAAGTCTGACCCGAAACCTGGCAACTCTCAAACATCCTTGGGAGTGACACCGGATAAGGACGCTCCACATTAAGAAGGAGGTCGGTGTATTTCCCTCGAGGTAGTCATGGTTCAGCCTTGGAAACAACGTACCATGAGTGGTGTTACAACAGGTCTTTCGCATGCGGCTCCAACTGCAAGGTGACTGTCAGACAAGTTTTCTTCGACCAGCAAAACGAGCTAGTATGATAACCGACCTTGCTGTACGCCTTGGTCGAGCGGCTCTTCTTGCCCATTGAAAAGATCTGCTCGGTCGCCTGGCTGCTCCCATGGGGGTCCCTTCCATAGAGGCGCACCACTGGCCGGCACCCCCCGTCCGCATTGAAGCTCGGCACCGTGCGCATGATCAAACAGTCCAGCACCAGAATCTTGTCATTTGGCGGCCACTCATCTGCCTTCACATTCCGCCTGGAAATGTACTGCAGATAGCGGACCTGCGAAGCGCTGTAATTGATCGCCGACACTTCTTGCAGCAGCCCCCGAGGCGCCTCTCTCTGGACCAAGTCTAGTGTCTTGGTCTCCCCCGTCTGCTCGTGTCGGAAGATGAGAAAGCACGAGATGATGAACACTAGCAGCGGCCACCCCCCGTAATCGCAGTGCAGCAGGATCTGGTTCTTGTTCACGTCGACGCTCAGCCAGTTGTCGGACGTTGTCACAAAGTGGTGGATCATCTCCATGCTGAGGAGAGGGCAGCCCTCGTAGTGGAACGGGTAGTCCATGACCGTCATGTCTAGTTGCCCCAGCAGCTCTGTGAACCGGCTCTTGCGCTCGTCCTTCTTGAAGTTGAAGACCATGAACGCGCTTTCTGGGAAAGTGCCGCGCAGCTTCTTGGCGGTGTCCTCGATGTAGCGCGTGTAGGCCTGCTCCTCGAGGGGGTCCAGGGAGAACACCGAGTTGAAGACTGGGGGGAAATGAGAGGCTCTCGATAAGGCTGAGGTTTCGAAGTACCAGTTACTCTGTTCAAGACAAATGTCAGGGTGAACTTGCAGCATACTGCAAGAGATTCAGAGTGTCCAGCATTGAAGTGACCAGGTTGAGTACCCAAAGTGGTCAACCTTTGAATCCAAGCGGTCAGAAAGAACTTGCCAGATGCAAACTTATGAGAGTCCGGACTTCCGCACATGAGTGTACCGACCTGTAGATTGTTGCAAATCAAGTGCGGAGCAACGGCCGTGCAACTACAGCGAGTCAGCAGTGCTGTGGTGCAGGCATATACATGCCCCACAACCGACTGCTTCGAAATGAGAGAGTGAATTGGAGTCAGAGGCACTCCAGAATATATGCCGGCATCTTCATTCGGCGCTTGCACTTCAGAAACATGCCCAGCGACGAATCCTCCGCAGCTTGATTCAAATCACCCAAAAGCAAGGGTCAAACCTACCAGCACTGACAAGCGAGGAAAGCAGCTCAGAAAGCTTTGGTTGTCTTGTCGGAATGAAGCTAATATCAGCGGGCATCGATTTCAATCCTTTGCAACGCCTCTGTCAAGTTCTGAGATCTGACGCAATGAAAGCAAGAGCAGAGCTAGTGGACATGTGCAGTGTGGCATTGTATCCTCAGTAGTGTCGAGCGATGGGGGCGATATCGACTAAACTATAAGCAGCAAGCAGCACGTTTCAGGGTTTTACCTCTAAGCGCCAGCACACGTCTAAACCAAGCCCTTTCAATCTGTTGTGCAGCAGGTGGTGGTTTCCAAGCCGATTTGGAGATACAAGTGAATGCTCTCACAAAGCAATGAAGCAACCTGAGAGACTCACCATAAACCCTATCAGAGACTTGAACGAGTCCCTCTGGTGGCTTCTTGAAGAACCAATTCAGAAACGCCATTCTTGTGTTCTTCCACTTGCGCACTGTCTCCACCTACCCCAACGGCAACATGGAATCAGTCAGCTTTCATCAGCTGCTCCGCCCGCACCAAATGTATCACTGGTGCTGACTTTCTCCTTCTCGCAAGGTGGTAGTCAAACAGTCAGCCCTATGCCCTTTCTTGAAATTCAAACGCTGAGGTTTCAAAGCTAGGCAACTTACGAAGTTCATCAACAGCTTTTGAACTCTCTTGATGGAATCACTTTCAAATTGCAATGCCTCGAAGGATTAGACAAGAGGGCCGCACACACAAGCAAGGGGCCAAAAAGGGAATGCCTTCCTTTCGCGCTGAGAGTCGAGACGCCTGGCAAACCCTCAAAGCTCAAAGGCGCCATGACGTTCCCATATGCTGCCTAGTGCTAGGTTGCCAGCGCTGCCTTGCTCAACTCTGCACACTACACAGCATGTAATGCTATAGGCTATACGTCGGTCAAACTGAACGGTACATACCAGGATCTATCAAAAAGCCCCAAGCGGTACCATGCTTCATTCAATTCGGTCCCAATTTCATGCACAGGTCGCCTATACGCTATATCACATGCAAGGCCCACAACGAAAGTCTACCTAGGTACTCGAGACTCTGAAGAGCTTTTGCAGCTCTTCAGATTTGGTGCCAGCTCGCAGAGCAAACAGTTCTTGCATGGCAATGGTGACAATTGTTTACCACGATGTACGGTTGGATATGCCAGTCACTCATATAAGCACGAGCTAGCATAACGTAGTTCAGGGTTGGGAGCTAGGGGGCCAATTGTACAGCGCTTGCTTGATTTGCACGCAGCTGCCAGCTGGCCTCTTGTTGCACATGTCAGTTGTCTTGTTGCGCCACCAACGAATGCAATTGCGTTCGCGTGGAATCCTCGATCTGGCCAATGTACCTTTGGCTGAGATTAACTACGTTAGGCTACATGAGGATCCTGAAGCAGAAGTATAAGATGACATGGGGCCGGGAATGTGGGCGAATGTGCATGTTTTTCCACAAATCGTACACAGAACGAAGAGGACCTAGCGAATAGTTGGGTGCTATATAGAGAACCTAGCGAACAGTTGGCTGCCTGATCTAGAGTACTGGAGGCAGACATCGCACGAACGACAAACGACACTACTTGATCGCCGCCGTCCTGAGGCTTACAGGTGTTCAAGAAACAGATTTGACCAATCCTCCCATAGAGCCAGATTGATTGCCAATATTGTCGTGGGCTATGCACGGTAGAACGAAGCAGAGGCTTGAAAGGCCAGGAAACAGCCAGGGAAGAGCGGCGTCAAGTTCCAGTGTCAGAGCCAGACCTCAGAGATGCTTCCATGATCACCCCCCAAGCGATGCCTCTAACAGCACCTCTACTTGATGCCGCGCCTCGCCGCCCCTTTCTTTATCCTCCGTTCCTACTTCTGCGTCTGCTTGCCACCGGGCCAACCCTGCAGCCCTGACCTTCTCCTGCACATGGCACACGAGAGTCTCCAGTCAGGACATCGTCCGTGTATTGCGGCTAACTCCGAGGCTTGTTGCCGCTTGTGCGAGATTCTGACTCATCATTCCCTTTCTGTAACATCGGACCTCGCGTTTCCTGCGCGTCCAAAAGAGTGACGAAGTAGCACAATTGTAGCAAAGACAGTACAATCGACTGTACGTCGTCAGATCAGCAAATCTATGTAAAAGATTCCCAATTGGTTTGCGCATCTCAGGATCATAGTCACTCCACAGCGAGCGGCATCAGCCTGCTCGAAGATTAGGCGTTTCGGGCGACCTGGCGACAGACGTCATCTTGACACGCCATAGTCAAGTACGTCAGCCTCACCTCCATTCTTGCCAGCTCCTCCCGACATCGGCTCTCCATCGCCCGCGTGTACTCCAGAGCTTCCGCGCGCATCGCTTCCGCCTGTGGGCAACGTTGTGATTGGTCAAAAAGCCTTGGTTCCGTGTGGCTGTTTAAGGCTCTTTGAGGTAATACCGCCAACGACGTCAACCCCTCAAGAGGTGAATGGAGAACATGACTGGATCGCAACTTGCATTCAAATTCGATCGACCGCTATGCTCATTCCTTCACAGCGATCCCGCGGTTCTTTACGCCAAACTTACGCAGCTTCATGTAATGTTCCGTAATTTAGATTCACCGAGGGCTTTGTGGTGAGGGGAATTTTAGGTACGAGCGTAGCGCTGCCCGCAAAGCTCCAGGAGCCTAGAGAGGATCTAATCGTCTCGCGTGCGTCTTCGGCCGATCCACCGTCACTTTTGGTTCGTCATACAAAAGTCTTCAAGATCTACATGCGTGATTGTTGGCTGCCTAAGAGACGCCAGTCCAAACGTTGGAGTCCAGTTACAAGAGCACAGTCAAAGCGAGGCCGGAGGAAACAAGACAAAACTGCAATGAGCGAATCCAAAGGGGACCATAGCGCGCTATGAAGAATCGAACCTTAAAGCATTGTCCTAAACTCACCTCCCGACGGGCCGCCTCCGCTGCATCCCGCTCCCTCCGGTAACTCTCCACAAATCGCCGCTCGTCGACTCTCTCCTTCTCCAAGGTCCTCACGCGCTCCCCCAGTCGCTCCGCCCGCAACTGCTCAATCTGCAAACTAGACTGTGCACGTGCCTCGGCCTGCCCGGTTGCCTCTTCCCGGGCGGTCTGCGCGACGCGTTCCGCCTCTGCTTCCTGCTCTTGGAGGCGCCGCTCGAGCGCCCGGGCGGCCGCGAGGCCCTCTTCGGTTGCTCGACGGACCTTCAGTTCAGCCTGGGAAGCGGAAAGGTCGGTAGTAAGGCTCTCCATCATTTGAAAACCTCAATTTGCATCGAGGGGTTTATGTGTCGCATCAAGGCTGAAAGCAATGTTCAAGGAGACCAGCCAGCTTTGCTAGGGCTCTGGAGTCTCCATTTTAAGCGCTCATGCGATGGGGACGTTCTTGTACAGCCTCCTGGTCGCGAGCTCTCTACTTTCGACCCGGCCTACGGAAGACGACAAGCCTATCAAACAACCGCTTTTCTGGTAGGCAGCAACCACCTTTTAGCGAGCAGAGCAAGGAAAGCGGACGAAACGCGCTACAAGAGCGCGAGTTCTCCGTAGGAGCTCACGAAACGTGACCTGGACCTAGCGAGAAGAAGACAAAAGAGGACGACACGACAACGAAGAAACAAGTCTTTCGTTGAAAAACCGTTGGCATAAGGAGGAGAATAGGAAGCGCCCAAAGCGCACCTCTTCGTCCGCCTTTGCCAGCAATCCCCGCACGCGCTGCACCTCCCCCTCCAACTCCGCCACTCTGACCGCCCCACCGTTCCGGTCCGCTCGCAGCGCTTCCGCCTCCTCCGCCTTCCGCCGGAACTCCGTCTCGTGGAAGCCCACCAGCGCCTCAAGCTCTGCTATCTTTCCGGCGGCTCGTAGCCGCTCTTCCTGCGCGGCCGCTGCCGCCTGGAACAGGGCCTTTTGGTGGTCTGCTTCGGATGCGTGCAGGGCCTTCTGGGCTGACGTCACGTGCTGGTGTGCGAGGTGGCACTCGGCGGCCTTGCTCTGGAGCTGTTCTTGGAGACTGCATGGAAGGAGGGTGTGACACTTTGAGCGCATCCAGGAACCACGAGTGTATAAATATGAGCCCTTTATTCCATCCTAGTAATTTCAAGCAAATGTAGTCAGACTTCAGAAGCTGTGGGCTCTTTCACGGGTCCCGACGTTTCTCTATTGAACTTCTTCTACGTGACGAACTATTTGTGCCGTGTTTCCGCCTCAAACGGGCTCGTGTTCCATTTTCCGCCATTCTGCGACCATCTACCATCATATGCATGCTCTGTAGCAAACTGTGTTTTCGCGACAGCCTTATACGTACGTCCTGGCAGCGTCCACCCGCAATAATTGACAAAAATACACCGTCAAACGGCGAGATTTCTCTGATTCTCGCCCCCCTCGGAGCTCTACTTCTTCAGCTTCTGCAAATGAGCCTTACCAGAATAACAAAGTTAATGTAAGTGCACTTCTCAAAGCAAGAATGTATCGCGCACTTCTTACCTGCTGACTTCCGCGTCCAGCTCGGCCCCCTCCGCGCGCGCCTTCTTGAGCTTCTGCCCCAAGATCCGCTGCGCCGCGATTGCGCCCTTCTTTGCCTGCGCCTCCACGCGCAGCGCCGCCGCCAGCCGCTCGCCCGCGGCCCTAAACCCCGAACCCTCCGCCCGCGCGGCCGCGAGCTCCCTCTCCAGCCGCATACACTCGTTCCTCAAGTCGTTAGCTTCTTCTAAAGCCGAGAAGTGCACGCGCGCGAGCGCGCGTCCGTCCTCGGCGGCTGTGTTCTCGAGCAGCAGGACGCTCTCAAGGACGGAGTGTGAATGGGCGCCGCCGATCACGACGACCCGGTGACCGTCGAACACGGCCTGATGGAACGCCCGTCCCTCCGGAAAAGGTTCCCGTTTCGGGGCGCCATTGAATTGCAACGTAGCGGCACCTTTTCCCGTCTCGTACTTCTCTGGATCCCGACCGGTAGTCGAGCTTATCCTCTTGGTTTGCTTTGCGGCTTCCGAGCGGTCCGCATTTCCCGGGCGCCTGTCGTTCTCATCCGCGATGCCCCCTTCAACTTCGCTTGCCCGCACTCTTCCCACGCCTTTCATCGTTCCCGCCCTCGCGCCGACGTTTGGATCGATCTCTCGCAGCTCCCGATGTGGCGCCCCCAGCTCCCCGACTAGTTCCACGTGGTCGGCTGCTGACGTCATCGGAGCTCTTTGGAGCCAGATGAAGCCGTCGATGTCGAGCGTGTACACGTCATCCAGGTAGTCGGCTCCGTCGAAGCCGCCGTGGATGAGCACGTGACGCCCGATGGCAGTGGACACGTGGCCTCGCCTGGGGGCCGGTACGTCCCCAACGGGGTCGACTCTCCGCCAGACCATGGTATTCAGGTCCTGTGGACAAACACGAAACTCTACTTAGGTCTGGTTTCCTCTCAACAAGAGGCATACCAAGAAAACGCAGACGCCTCTGACGAGGATCGCACTAAAGCTCCTTCACTGAAGCTGGGTGAAGAAGAGAACCAACAGACCACCTCCATTTTACCAAGCGGCTTCTTGCACCGGAGTCCAAAAGTTTACTTCCGCTTCCGTACTCACGTTCAAGAGGACCCCAGAAACGTGATAACGTACGCACAAAACAATGAATCCTCTCGTTAGCTGCGACCTGCGAAGCGCTTTCGCAACTTACCAGCACGTGAAAGTCGCCGCAATGATCTCGCACTTATCAGCACACAAAAGTCGCCCAGATAATTCGCACTTACCAGCACACGAAAGTCGCCCACATGTCTTGCAAGTTACCAGCACACAAATGCCGCCCAATATGTCGCACCTACCAGCACATAGAGGTCGCTCAGATGCGCCTGCCCGTCGTACCCCCCGTGCACCACCACCAGGTCCCCGAGCACCTCCATCACGTGGCCCCTCCGTGCCCGAGGGGGATCCCCCGCCACCTCCGGCTGGCTCCACTCCCAGCGGTCCAGTTCCAGCACCCACAGCTCGTTCAGCAGGCCGGAACCGGAACGGTACCCGCCAAAAAGGGCCACGTGGCGGCCTGACGGCAGCAGGCAGCAGGAGGCGTGGGAGAGGGGGCCAGGGCGCGCGCCGATGCCGAGGTCGGGCTGAGACCAGTGGAAAGTGCCTGGAGGGACGCGGGGGAGGGGCTGAGGATTTGCAGATTGCCGAGAACCGAGATATCTTCTGATTGTACTTCTTTCGATATTGCATTTCGGCGTGAAAAAGGCTTGTAAGCCAACCCGAACAGTGGAAGCGGGAATGGATGTATCAAAGAGTCCCCTAGGCAGGCAGACATCGGGCAGACATCAACCACGGACAACCGCAGACACAGCGACTCTAATGCGAAACCTTGCGCTACTGAAGCTCCAGAGAAAGCGCCCTTTTTTGTACTCACGTCGTCCCAACAGCAGGTACGTCAGACATATTCAAGAGCGTCGTCCTATGACACCCATGCGAGCTGAAGTGCTCATCCGTTGCGACAAAGCAAAGGGTTCCGGGAAGCGGCAGGCCGCCGACTTCTAAGCGGAAAGGAAAGGGCGGTACGTTCACTTACTTCCGTCCTCGTCCACGGTCAAAACGTGCAGGTCCGCTAACTCGTCGCTCCCGTCGAAGCCCCCAAAGACGAGCATCCGCCTCCCGGGGATGGCGCACGCGCAGTGGTCGTTGCGCGCCAGTGGTGCTTCTGAAAGTTCTGACACCACCTCCGTCCAGACTTGACTCTCTGTGGTCGAAAGACGGTGATAATAAAAGCTCAGATACAATGGCACGAAGTCACCTCTGTGGAAAGTATCTTTTACGGCCGCAACAAAACCGTCAAAGTGGGAGTTACTCTGTTCGCATGCGATTATCATATGGTCCCGGCGGCCACACCCTCGCGGCTTACGCCCCAGGCAAGCGAAGACAGTGGCGACAAGGAGTATGCCACCACCCTAAGTAACGCTTGCTCTACAGCAGTGAAACGACAAAAGCGGCACAGAATGGTTGCCACGTCATCCTGACCGACACTTCCGATCGTGCGACTTACCCGAGTCGAAAAGGTACGCGTCGTTAAACCACTCCGTGCCATTCCAGCCCCCAAAGACGACGACCCCCCTCGGAGCTGCTCCGACTTCGTCCGGGTCTTCGAACAGCGCGGCAGCGGAGTGTCCGGACCGAGGGCTGAGGCCGCCGGCAGAGCCCACAGCTCGCCAGCGGAGCTCCGCTGCACAAAGCAAGAAAACATCTGTACACAAAACCTGTTGTCTCGCTCTTCCCTTGCCTTTTAGGCCTGTGAATGATTCACCGCCAAGGGATCTGAACCTTGGTGTCAAAGAAAGGCTTTACGGTTCGCGACGAAGGTAGTCTCAGACGGTCAAGCACCGGACGGTCATCAACATCGAACGACGAACTCTATTCAAAGTGAGAATGCAACTACATTAGCAGGATGTCGACCAAAAAGATGCGGACCCTTAATTTCGGCACCAGCAATGGATGTTCGGTTGTACGACCCGCTACGGTCTGTCAAAACAGGTCCGTCAGATTTGAGCGCCCAGATTTGAGCGCCCCGCAACCAGTCAACCGGCATCCGCGGACCTACCGTCTAGCATTCCGCTGCTCCAGACGGGCGTCCGCGCGTTCGCCAGCTCCGCTGAGGCCAGCAGTGTGCGCCTCTCCGCCTGGTACTCCTCCAACCATGACAGGGCCTCGCTCTGCGCCGTCTTGGCAGCAGACAGCTTGGCTTCCAAGTCGTGGATCCGCTCGGAGAAGCGAGCGGAAGAGTCCTCAAGCTGTAGACGTACGCCCTCATCTGGAAACAAAAAGTAAAAGGTCAATGCGTTGCAGAATGATTTTTAAAATCTCCTTCTGGCAGAAGCAGGAAGTACGCAGGATAACGAGCGTCAATCCAAGTGACCAGCAGCGAGTGTTGCCGCATGCTCCTCCTTCAGAGCGAGAAAGAGCACCGACTGCTTGGCAGCCTAAGTGGTTCCATCAAATGGATCAGTCACTTTGGCTCTTTATTACTTTGTCTTTGAAGAGTAGACAAAGAGCGGGCTGTTGGTGACTGCCAAAACACGAAGTGTACCATTTCAGTCGTCGAGTACTATGTTTCCCAACATAGTCATCATGTATGTTTCAGATTGCACGTTTTTTGCTCCCGATCACTGCATAAACGTTCAAACTTCAGACATCATCGGACTTCGTTCTCTCTCTTTCGTGCCCTATAGGCGCACACTTTGCGTCTCGGACTCACCAGTCACCGACTTCCACGCCACAATCGCCCTCCTCAACGCACTGCGCCGGCCTCGCTGCAATTCCCTACTGACCAAAGCGCGGTGCCGCAATTTTCCCGAACACCAGCTACTCCACGCTCTCAGCAATGACTGCTTCCTTCTCAAAAGCGTTCTTTCTCTGTAAAGTTTAACCCTTCGCAGCTTTACGACGACATCCCAACCCCACCTCTGGATCCGAGTCGCCATCTTCTTCTGTATCTCCTGACTGCAAGTCCGCAGGAAGCGCTTCCGCTCGACCAACTCGAACCAGCCTTGGAAAGCGCACCCTTGAACACGGGCCTGCCACGCTGTCTGCATCGACTTCACCTGCTGCTTCCTCTGCCTCTCGCTTTGTGCCGCTTGACCCCATGCCTTAAGGCAGTGCTTGGCCCGCCAAATACCGAATTCACCAGTCCTGCTTTTCAGTAGGCGGGAAAGTGCAGTCACCCTGTTCCACCTTTCCAGAATATGCTTGCAGTAAAGAGCTTCCGCCTCAACAGCTTTCTGTGCGCTCGCGTCTTGCTCAGCCCTCCAGGCGACCCAGCCCGTTCTCAAAAGAGTCCTCCTACGCCATGCAACGGCTCTCTGCGCCGCCAGCCGCTTACGTTGTCGGTCCCAACACGTCTCCCGCCAGCCGGCAAACACAAAGGTCCCGGTCAACCTCAATCTCGACTCCCTAACCCGCTCCATAACCTCCTTCCTCCATCTCGAGCGCCCAATCAAAACGCCCCAAGAAAAGGCCGCTCTTCGTTCCAGAGTCACCCTCCTAAACGTCTCAGCCGCTGCCATTTTCTCAGCTTTCGCCCTCAGCACCTCCAAGCCTTCTCGAAATGCTCTGAGCCCCTTTCGCAGCTCTTCCTTTCTCCAAATCACCAACAACCTCCCCAACAGCTTCTTTTTTCTCGCTGCTCTAGTTGCCTCCCTCCACCCCCCCAGCGCGTTCAGCATGACTTGCGCATCCACTGCTGCCTGGGCCCGATCTAAAAGCCTCTGCTTAACCGCAGAGGCCTTGCGCAGCACGGCATCGTTTTGCGCTTCCCTCTGCAGCAGCTCCTGGAACAACTGCCGCTCCCGCTCTGCCAGGGCCTTCTGCTCTAGAGAGGCGAGCTCTGCAGCGTCCAGCTGGCGCCTCAGGGCTTGGTTCCTCCGCTCTAGTTCCAATAAGGCTGAGTTCTTGTGCCATTCCCACTGGGAGCCTGGGATCTGCACAATCGGATAACATATCTTGCCTGTGCGATGGAATCGATTGATCCTCCCTGTCTTCATACGTGTTGATGACTTTGAAACCTATAAAGCTTTTTCAAATGAGCTTGATGAGATGTCATATTTCTGAGGATGCTCTCAAAATAAGCGTTCAGGTTCTTGACCAGAATCGAGCATGCCCCTGGGATGACCTGCTTTTTCATACGGAACTTCGTTCCCTTCACAGGTCAACCTTCTTGCGGACTTCATGATTGGCAGGTTTAAACTCCAAAAGAGGGCCACTTATCCGCTTGTAAGAGCTGTCAAAATTACAAAAAACCACAGGGACCTAGCGTCCTCTAAGACTCTGAAACATGGTTCTCTTTTGTCGAAAATTTCAAGCGGAACCGGCGAGAGATCCAGCAACTGTCAAAGGTCAGACACTCAAGGAAACAGAAAGAAACAACAGCTGATGTGGACAAGTGTGGCTTTTCCTAGATGTCTCACTGCTTAAAGCAGCGAGTTTCAGCAAATTTGAAAGGCTCATCTGGAGCATCATACCTTGATCCCGCTTCCCCCCCTCGGTTTCAACTGCACCGTCTGCTCCATCAATTGTGAGGGGCCCCTGATCGATGCCAATAACTCCTCAAGGTTGACTCTGTCCTTGATATTCTGGCCCGCTGCCCCTTCCAATACTGGCGGCTTTGGGGCTTGAGCTGCTTCTGCTAACCGATCTTGGAGCGCCCTGTTCCTGGCCTCTAGCTCCAGGATTGTGCTATTCTTCTGATACTCCCACTTGGAAGACTGAAACCCCTGATAAATAAAAGAGGAGAAGAAAGAACTCTTTAACTCGTGCCTTTCCAGTCTGCTTTTAGAAAAGGTCTTGTCAGGGCCTGACCTCCCTGAACTTTCAAGGGTACTCAAGCTTCACCAGTCAACAGTTCTTGATTCATTCCATCTTTAAATCACCCCACACAATCCTCAACCACCACCACTCACTGCTACTTATGTCTAATGAGATGCTCGATCTTTATTGTGATGTACGTGCTCTCATTCCCACCTGGCTATGCAACAATCAATCAGACACCCTGACAAACCATGGTGGCACCGCTACTTAGTGGACTGCTTTGAGAAAAGGAGAACACAAGGGACCCCTTCTTATATGAATTATCCACATGACGCTCAACCTTTCTAAGAGAAAGTAGAAGGAACCTGTCAACTGCCTGAGTGGTGAGAATTGTCCATCTCCAGATGCATTGCATAAGTTTCTGGTCTACCGCCTTTGCCCAAACCGCTCACCTGTCTGGGACTGCCGATAGCCCCGAGCTCCATTGCTGCCCCTCCTAAGGGGCTTCCGGGGATCTTACAGTGCTGCACAAGGGAGGTTCCGCCAAAAATGGTCAAACCCCAATATGCAAAAGAGAAGGTGGAACGTGAACTTTCAAGAAGTGAGAGCGGGCAAACGGAACCCTAATTGAGAGAATGTGGGTTATGAATTCGTTAATTAAGTCGAGGTTAGGGTCCGTTTTGGACTCTAGGGGGGGCTTCATAATAGCCATATCGCAGCGACCAAGTATGACTGTAGTAGATCTCGAAAGATGGCTCCGGTGCCCCCTCGAGATCCAAATACGGGCTGTACGACGAGGGCTACAAACCCGTCACGCTAACCCTCGTCCTGATCACCACATTGAGCTGACCAGCACTGCCATTGCATGGTGCTATGACTCTGAGAACGACGGCTTCATGTTCTGAAAGCGCTACATATGCTCGCTGCATTTGACGTGCTAGGTAGCTCCTTCTCCAAGGTGATCTCCTTCCTCCAATGCAGCTTAGCCCTGGCTGGCAGCTGCTTTTGGTGATCCGAGCTTCAACGAAGGGGAATGCTGGCCAGCCCAGCTCCTCCGGCGGCGCAAAGAATCTGACTAATCAGGCCTCTCTTGAGTTCGAAGCGATCTTGCAACTTCGCGAGCGTTGATCTCTGAAAAGATGGGATCGCAACTCTTGAAGATCAAACATGGGACTTGTACGCCAAGGATCGGTCACCTGTCAGGCGGACGCGAGTCGCTGGCACAGCATTCTGCGTTTATTAGTCGCATCACCAGATCCAATCTGCAGCCCGGCACAATGCTACATCAGCGCCACTGCTGCTTTTCAAAGAGCTCTCACTCAGCTACATCTGCTTTCTCTCTGAAGCGGTCTCCACTACCCCCACAGTCTCCATCCTTGCCCTACAAGCAACGGCCAAGAAAACTTCGTAAAACAACGCACGCCGTCAGAGCAGTCGCAAAAGACGAGAGCCCCCTTCCACCTGACTCTTCTGCCCCAACTTTCACAGCCGCCCTCCTTGAGCCCATAGAGCCCTCACTCCCCAAGAACCCGCACCCCTCTCTGATCAATGAGGACTTCCAACCGACGATGCCTGAGGGGCGAATCTTCTCAATTTGGGACCTGACCTCACTTTGGATCGGCCTGGTGGTTGCGGTGCGGAATTTTTACTCACACGACTGCAATGTGCCTCGGAGAATCTTTTCTCATTGTGTCAGCTGGCCTGTTCGAGTCCCTTTATCTCGTTGGAGCTGACGTAAAAATGCAAGATTTGTTGAAGCCTCCAAACTCAGCCACCAATAGATTGATGCGCAAGCACTGCACGCACCAAGCGCCCTCCACAATCAGGCAGTCTGCGCCCTCTCTTTGCTTGTGAAAGTCTTGAACTACTTTCTGAATCAAATTCTTGGCCCTCTTCATACAGGTGCCGACCTATTATCTGGCGGGGTCGCTAGTTGAAATGGGGATGTCCTGGTGGCAGGGGGTAGTGACGGTCTTTTGTGGCAACTTATTGGTCCTGCTGCCAATGATACTCAATGGTGAGAATGAATCGATGCCCAGTTCTGAAGTCAACTTGAGTGTTACGAAAACTAATGGAGATGTCAGAACATCAAGGGTGGCTTGTCATCACACTACAGTGTGGTCGTCATTAATGCAGAGGCCTGCAACCAAAGTGCTCTACATTGGAATTATTCATCAGAGAGGGCTGCTTGTGAGGAGTCAAGTCTTTTTATGCAGAACCAACCCCTGAGACTTTGTGAGTTTGGTTGCGCTGTCCCTTCCCACTTTCGGCCGCGACATTTTCACAAAATCACGGTTGTCCAGCCAGTTTTGTTCACAAATCTGCGGATGTCAGAAACAGTAAGTCGTCAAAATCATGCTCACGACCATCCTGTCACCCCTACCCCGCGCTTGTGAACTGAAGCTCATCAAACAACAAACCTCAACCTGACTGAAAACACAAACCAAAGATTCATGCGCTCCACACCGCGTACCCACCCTAATCCCCTTACAAACCCCGCCTGTCTCAGCACTGAAACCTGTTCTTTGCTGAGCTTATTGTTCACTGCATTAATTGCATTCCTCTGCGCAGGCCACCCTGGAACCAAGTATGGGATCCCCTTCCCCGTTCTAAGCCGCGCCAGCTTCGGAATTCTCGGCACCAACATCCCCTCCCTTCTCCGCGCCCTTGTTGCCTGCGGTTGGTTCGGAATTCAGTCCTGGGTGGGGGGACAGGCTATCTATACCCTGGCCAACGCCTGCCTGGGGGGTAAATTGGCCCAGCCTCCTACCCCCTGGCTAGGAACGTCGGTGCCTGAACTCGCGTCCTTCTTCGTCTTCTGGAGCCTCCAGGTTGGTGGACGGTTCTGTTTCTCCTTCCTGAGTCAGCTTCTTACCGTTCATGAATCCGAGTTCAGACTGGGGTTGCGTCTGATGGAGATAAAATTTTTGCTGCGATTTGTTGGGGGCCAAGACCCGAGAGCTTCACGTGCTTCTGAGAACCTTTGAGTCGAGTGAGGAAGATCGGCGGCCTCCTCGAGTTGGGCACGAGGACGGAGCAAAGGGTCGGGAAGAAGGTCAATCGCTTCTTAAAAAGGCTCTTCTGTCCACTCGGGCGGAATGGGCAGCAACTCGTTCCAGACCCGTGAAAGGCGAATGGCGACTTTGCTCGAACCAACTAAGAACCCCTAGGCTGTTATCCCTCTCGAATTGATGACCCAGACTGACATACACTGAAAAGTAATCCGGGAGGTCGAGCCGAGGGGAGTCTCAAAGAACTTGTGGGTCTCCTTCCACCGGTTTTGTCGAACAAAGTTGTGTGTGTGAACACAGAGGAACGGCATTTGTTTTGAGGAGCGTAGAGCCTATCTACGTAGCGGATTCGAGTAAAGAGGTACATTTGTCGAAAGTACGCTCGTTCTTAGCTTCAACGAATAACTCTTTTGTTTATTTTTGAAAAAGTGAGATCTAGTCTTATAAGCTAGGCCACAAAAGGAGGCTAACTTGCGATCATGTCATTCGAGCCAGCCCATAGTGGTTCCGCACATGAAGTAAGTTGAACGATTTAAGCCTGTCGCAACCGTTTGAGGATGGATCATAGGCCTCAGCTTTTGAAGTGGCTTAGGGAGTGGCTCCTGAAGCCGTCCGATCGCCCCCAGCTCAGGCTTCTAAGACACAATGTCAAGCGTTCTTGCCTTCCTAACATGACTGACGCTGAAGCTTTCTGCTTAATCTTTCGTTCGATTCGCACCAAAACGCTTGCCTCGCTCCTCACGCAGGTGGCGATCATCTGGAATGGAATTGAGTCCATCCGCGACCTCGAGAAGTACTCGGCCCCGGTACTTATTCTCATGTGCGCCGCGCTTCTCGCATGGGCCTACACTCAGGCAGGGGGTTTCGGTTCCATGCTTTCGACGCCGTCTCAGTTCGTTCCGGGGGGGCCGAAAGAGGGCCAGTTCTGGTCTGCCTTCTTCCCGTCCCTGACGGCCAATGTGGGCTTCTGGGCGACGCTGAGTCTGAACATCCCCGACTTCACCAGGTGCGTCTCTACACCCCGCAGCCAAGTGGAGCGAAGCGGCCAATCTCCAAGCAACCGACGAATTCGCTTGTGTGCCTTCGTTATTTTCTTTCCTTTCATTCCCGTCTTCTTCCACCTGATCTTCTGGAACACCTGCCAGAGGACGGAGGATTTGCTTGTAATGAGGGACTATGATCTCGGAGGTGGTTCATTTCGCCAACTCTCAGCGAGATCTAGCAGAACCTCTGCGATTACCCTGCAACTGCCTACAGTCTTTTCGTTCCTGAGTACGTAGCCGTGTCATTCAGTGAAGCTGTCCACGTCTTCTTGTCTCCGCTCATCGACAGCGCTTTTGCGCTGCACAGCGCTTTCCTTTTCTTCAGCATGCCGCCGAGGTTTCCAGGTGAAACAACTCCTTTAGCTGGGAGTCTCCTTCTCGAAGCGGCTGAACCAACCGACGACTCACTCGCGCGCTATCCTGACGGCGAGCTAAGGCCCGCTCGTCCTCTTAACTCTCTGCCTACTGGATGCTGACGTGTACGCTGACGTTACTCCCGCCTTCCAGGTACGCCCACAGTCAGCGGGACCAGCTGACGGGGCAAGCCATCGGCCTGCCGCTCTTCATGGCGGCGTTCACGTTCGTCGGCCTGGCCGTGACGTCAGCGACTGTCGTCATCTTTGGGGAGGCGATCTCGGACCCAATCGCGCTCCTCGGACGGATTGAGGGCGTTCTTCCGATCGCGCTGTCGCTGCTGGGGCTCACGCTCGCGACGCTGACCACGAACATTGCGTGAGCATTTCGACAATTTTGCGTAATCAACTTGGAGTTTCGGATTGCGCTCCAAGTGTCTGCAACAGTTGTGCGGCCCATGCTGACAAACCCTGCATAAGAATGGGACTGAGGAAGTCTGAAAGGGAGGCTGCATGCAGCATAGGTCGAGCGAACCGACAACCGAACGGTTAGGCCTGATTCTGACCCAACGGAATTGCAAACATCAGAAAGGATTTCGACTTCAGAGCGTCCGCTGGCTTGTGAGAAACGATTCGACTGCTTGAGAGTTGGAGCGCGCAATTGTTTTCTTCTAGGTGATATAATTTGTCGGCCTGGCTCCTGGCTTACGCAAGTTCGTTTGATGTTTACTTTTGTAGTTAAGGACCTACTTTCTTGGTTCTCAGGAAACATCAAAGCTCGCTTTTTGACACGTGATATCTCTTAATTACGTTTTGGGCCTTGCCACGTCATTGCACGACCTTTTGATAATCTGGTCGATCAGATGTTAAATTGCCCTCAGGTCGAGAGACCTTGATGTCGTTCTCGCTTCCAGGAACCTCTTCGTTTCAACGATCTACCTCTATTTCTTGAGAACCTTACGAGTTGCGACTCGGCAAACCTCTCAACGAAGAATAAAGACCCATAGTGCTAACAATTGTCCATGCCGTGTTGATAACGGCCTTTGAAACCAGAATCGAGGCCCGTCCATCAGGACCCGTTCCAAACAGCCGCTGCTCATTCCGGACGTCTGATTGTACGGTCGTCTTCCATCCGTCGACTACTCAAGGTGACTTGTGAATCTTGTTCCCAGCCCAGAGTCCCTCCTATTACGGCGCATCTCACAAAGACGTCTATCCTGCAGGGCTAATGTCGTGGCGCCAGCGAACGCCCTCGTCAACTTGGACCCCACGCGCTTCAGCTTCCGCGCGGGGGGGCTCCTCACTGCCGTCTTAGGCTTCGTTTTAGCCCCCTGGCGCCTCATTTCGAGCACGCAGGGCTTCATTTTCACGTGGCTCATCGGCTACTCCGCCCTTTTGGGGCCTGTCGGGGGGATAGTAATCACAGACTACTTTATTTTGCGGAGACGAAAACTGAACGTTGATGCCTTGTATACGTATGGACCAGACAGCGAGTATTGGTATCGGGGGGGGTATAATACGGCCGCATTGACTGCGCTTGCCGTGGGGGTGTTGCCCAATGTGCCAGGGTTCCTGCAAGCGGCGGGGTTCGTGGCAAGCATACCGCCTATTTGGAGGACGGTTTATAATAATGCTTGGGTTGTTGGCTTTACGACTGCAGCGGTTCTTTATTACTTTCTCATGCAGTCTCGTGGGAGAGAACCTGTAGTCAGACTAGCGTCTGGATAGCTAGTCAATCTCAAAACAATTGGTATTCTGCTTGTATAAACGGCTGGCGCGACGATTATGTTTATGTAACTTGACACAGCAGCTGAATATAATCGACAGCTCAATAATAGTACATGTGCAGTACCAATAGAGGTACGGTACCCCGGGCCCAGGTCAGAACATGTATATTCGTCCGTCCAGTTCGCATCAACCTTTTGCATGGTTTCAAGATTGCAGTGACATGAAGTGGAAGCTTCTTAACGACTGTTGCATCACACTAAAGTATCACACTATATATGCCGCAAGCTTCGGCCATATGGTGTTGCCCTGCTCGTTTGACGACTGTGCATGAAGTGTACCAGATCAGCAACCAATTATGCTTCACAGGCTTAGCTATGTTTGTATCTAGCTGAAAATGTATAAGATAGAGGCAAAAATGCACCACTGGCTGCGCGCTACCATGAGTCTGGCCTAAAGCTGCAAATCATGGTTCAAAAATTGAGGAAATCAGCTTGCTTCTAGCTTTGACTCCGTGCTTCGACCGGCTCTACTTAGCGAATTTGCCTTGGCAGTGCGATGTCGAACAGGTCCAATACAGAGCTCCAATAATCAAGGGAAGAAACTCCAAAAAGCAGAAAGTCCAAACAAGGTTCAAGGCCCCATGCACCACTGCTCAAACCGCTTCACCATTGGCCTGCGCTTGCCCTGCATTGTCTCCGGCACCGTCACCGTTGGCTGCCGGCACTGCATGTAGGACAATTGTCAGAGTAGGGGAAAATGGCTTTATTCCGATGCATAGGCTTTCGGTATTTCGGTGACACAACAAGGTACCAAAATCACCGATTGGTAGACCACATAAGAAGTTCCTATAGGAGAGCGAGAGAGGATATCTGGTGCCGCTCAACAGGGCCAACACGGTGTAAAAAAGCTCCAAGAGATCCTTTCGCACATCACAGAAAGCGTATGGCATATTTTTAATACATGCATTCTCAACAAAGGTCCATCCTGGCAGACCTAATTGACGATTGATTCCTAACGGAGAACATGTATTCTTCCAAAGCCTTGGTGATATGGCGAAACTTTTGCAAGGGACTTGGGCTCGAGAGAGTATGGTCCATGCCAAACAACGAGGCGCACAGACATGCAAAGCACTGAACAGCCGACCAGCAATGATTGAGATTATAAATCTCCTTACAATGTGTGTAAGGCTCTGATTGTGGATTGCTAACTGCCTGAGGATAGCTAGAGCACTGATAATCATTGGCTTTGCGGATTGATTGCTCACCTGGATTCGGACTTCCGAACCTCCTGGGATGCTGAGATGCTAGCAGTCGATGCGGCCTGAATGCACCATTGCCCCCTAGAGTAGCAATAATTCCGGGGGCATAAGAGGGGTTGTTGGCCAAGCTTCTGTACTTGGTCACTGTACCAATGAATTCTTCCATGGACACCTGTGCTTGCCACCAATTGACGGAATATTCCTCAGGTATTCTGGTCGTGCGCTGAACCTTGTGAGCCAAAGCCAGAAGATCCTGGACGACTGCCACTCCAAGGCGATCACTGAATTGCTGTGAGTCAAAGACTCCAGTGTTGCTGATGAGCACCTTCCGTTCACCACATCTGACCTCATTGATCATTAGATTGCTCCCATGGGGCAACCTGGAAAGGGTGGCCATTGCTCTAATAGAGCTCTCAAGTCTTTGTAAGGTTTCCTCAGGCTTGTAGCTAAATTCTGGTATAGTATTGGTTGGTGGATGTTCCGCAGGCTCATGTTTGAAAGGAAGTATCAGCTCCTGTATCGGCCAAATCAGTACTTTCCACCGGGATGGAAAGTAATCTTGTGCAAACTCTTTAAAGGTCAGTTGACCTGCTAGCGTGAAACTGAGGGTTGCCTCATTGACTTTCCTGAGTTGCTTGTCGCTTCAGAATGTTCCTCAGTCTATCTGGTTCATAACCATCACCATTTCCTGGTCCCCTAAATGCTGGCCAGCGAGGTACCCAGTAAGCAATCCCTGCTGCATTGTAGGCCCTCTCAGCAGCTCTTGTCAACTTGATGGCTGCCAGCCTCAGGTTGAGGACGTACTGAATGCATAGCGCAGCTGTCCCAAGATACAACACCATTACACCGATAACAGCAGTTGTTATATCAGTTTTCGCATCTGTGTAGTAGATGCCAACCGAGGAAAGCACCATTATCAGCCCTGTGGCAAGTGCTTTCAGAGGCAGATCCCCGGGATACAATGCAGCAACGCCGGACAGCGGGTCAACTCCTTGGGTGAATATCTGAGTGTAGCAAGGAGTGCCATCTTCGTGCCCAGAGCCTTTCATATCCCCCCACTGCTCCGTAGCATCTGGCCCCTTGCCTTGCAGCGCCTGCTGGAATGTGTGCAGCCTGATGCCGTTTGCAACTCCAAAGGCAAGCTCCACCGGGCTCAGCGCATGAAGCGCTGTGGTTATCACCCATTGGACCGCGGCCGCCTCTAAGCGATTCGCGCAGTCAACCACGCCGACCAGAACCATGGCAGTCATTGCCAAAAGGCCTAGAAAGAAGGTGATTATTGTATTCCTGTTGGCAATCTTGTAATCCCCATGGTCTCCATCCAGCTTCTGCAAAATGGTTAGGACTGCAGCAGTAGAGGCTAGCCCCGCTAGAGACAGCCAGTGTGCGCTGCTAACCACTTGGATGGTGATCTCTGGTACAGGAATCCCCTTCACATGATATTTGGCCCTGCTCTCGCACCACTCCAAAAAAATCTCTGCGAAGGGCAGCTGCGCTTGAAAGCAGAAGCGGGACGTGCAGTGGTATTGAATGGTCCAAAAGTACAGCTTGTGGAAGTTTTCAATGGGTACTTTGAGCATATTCTTACAGCAGGCATGCATACAGTACTTCCAGCAGCACACCCCCATAACCGCCAGAATGGTGAACAAGTAGATGGCGAACCAAACCCAGCAATGTGTGTGGAAGAAGAGCAGCGGGTGCAGGTAGAATGCTTGCCAGCGGGTGCTGGCGAGGGCGCCGGGGTTGTGCCTCCGCTGGACATCTTGCCTCGTGCTTCGATTGCCAACCACTGAGCAGAGATTGTGGTGAGCAAACTCTGTCTCTCATGCACCGAGAGGCATGGTCGTTGGTATCATTGGTAACGAAGAGAGTGCCATGAAAGAAGCAGAGTGCATTATGCAGATGCGTGTGAGCACTGAGAATGCAGCAATGTGTACTAGCCTACTACGGTAGGTATCCACGGTGGACAGTCTACCGGAATTTGTAGGGGCTCCCGGTAATGTCGCCGCTAATTTTTCAACTCATAAACGTGTAAGTGTTTGTTCACCAGCGTTCGACACGGAGTTTTTACCGTATGTCCGCCCCAGGCCGAGTTGTTCTGCGGTCGGTCGGCTGGACTTTTGAACCGGTCGGCTTGTTTTAGCCAAACACCCCAAAAACACCTTGATTCTGTCGGCTTTTCGGCCGACGCACCTCGATTGAGTCGACCGGGTGGCAATCCCGTCGGCTGACGTTTGCCTGGTGTGACGGCTCCTGTCGACCTCCCGTGCGCGAACAGAACTGTAACTTATAAGTTACCGGTACTGCATGCTAGTGACGTCATGCGCACCCCGGGGGCCCGGGCCCGAGTTAGGTATCAGACTCCTGAGAGGGCCAAATTGTGCTCTCACTTCCGCCTGTGCAGGCTTCTCTTTCGATGATGGGGTTTGACCTTTCGTGGCAGAACGTTGACTGTGCAGCGTCCTGTGCAGCGCTGTAAAATCCCCGGAAGGTCCTTCGGTGGGCAAACAATGGAGCTCGGAGCTACTGGCAGCCCCAGACAGGTGAGCGTTTTGGGCCAAGGCGGTAGACCAAAAGCTTATGCAATGCATCTGGAGGTTGACAATCCTCACCACTGTAGCATGTGGCAGGTTCCTTCCACTTTCTCATGAAGGTCGCGCGCGTGTGGAAGTTGCTCAATTGAGAAGGGGACTTTTTGTGATAAGTTCTCCTTTTCTTGGAGCAGTCCAGCTAATTAGGACTGGTGCAAGCTGGCTCCATGGTTTGTCGACGTGTCTAATCGATAGTTGGATAGCCAGGTGGAAATCAGCACAAGTAGCACCTTCATTACAATAGGAATTGAGCTCTGATTAGGCTTGGAGTAGCAGTGATGTCGTGGTGGTTGGCAATCGTATGGGGTGATTTGGAAAGATGGAATGAATCAAGAACTGTCAGATGTTGAAGCTTGAGTACCCTTGAAGGTCCAAGGTGGTCAGTCCTTGAAGTGGGCCCTGACATGACTTTTCTAGAAGCAGACTGAAAGGTTCGAGATAAAAAAGTTCTTCTTCTCTGCTCTTTATCAGGGGCTTCAGCCTCAAAATGGGAGTACCAGAAGAATGGCACATTTCCGGATCTAGAGGCCAGGAACAAATCGCTCCAAGATCGGTTGGCAGAAGCAGCTCAAACGCCAAAGCTGCAAGTATTCGAAAGGGGAGCGGGCCAGAAAAGGAGAAGATCGACCTTGAGGAATTGTCAGCATCAATTAGGGGCCCCTCTGCTATTGATGGAGCAGACGGCGCATTTGAAATTGAGGGCGTCTGGCGGATCAAGGTATGCTGCTGGGAATGAACTTTTCTTCTTGCTGAAACTTTCTGCTCCAAGCAGTCAGCTGTCCAGGAAAAGACACACTTGTCCACACCAAGTGTTGTTACTTTCCGTTCATTATGTGACTGAACTGTGACAGTTGCTGGATTCCTTGGCCGTTCTGGTTTTTACGTTGCACCCCTTGGGTGTTCCGAAGAACCACCTTTCACGACATTGCTTGGGGAACGCCAGGTCCTGTGGTGGTTGGTAACTTCGACAGCTCTTTTGAGCCAATAGGTGGCCCTCTTTTTGGAATTCAAAACCGCGCCAATTATGAGGTCCGCAAGAAGGTTGACCTGTGAAGGGAAGCTGATCACCGAGGGGCATGCTTTCAGGTCAAGACTCTCTGAAAGCCTTTTTTGAAGAGCAAACTTAGAAACGTGACACCTCGTCATCCTCTCTGACTTAGCTTCAAGGCTTTCAAGTTCATCACCAACATCCGTAGACAGGGAGGATCAATCAATTCCATCAGAGAGGCAACTTAGCTTATCTTTCTGTGCAGGTCCCAGGCTCCCAATGGGAATGGCACAAGAACTCAGCCTTGCTGGACCTCGAGCGGAGGAACCAAGCCCTGAAGCGCCAGCTGGACGCTGCGGAGCTGGCTTCGCTAGAGCAGAAGGCCCTGGCAGAGCGTGAGCAGCAATTGGTCCCGGGAGCTACTGCAGAGGGAGGCGCAGAATAATTCCTTGCTGTGCAAGGCCTCTGTCCTTAAGCAGAGGCTCTTAGACCGGGCCCAGGCAGCAGTGGATGCGCAGGTTATGCTGAACGCATTGGGGGGTGGAGGGAGACAGCTAGAGCAGCGAGAAAAGGAAGCTGTTGGGGAAGTTGTTGGTGATATGGAGAAGGGAGGAGCTGCGAAAGGGGCTGAAAGCAGGAAAACATGGCAGGCCCGGGATCGAGGACTTATGTTGTGGGGCTGGTGCGAGTTGGTCGAGCGGAAGCGCGTACTGCGGGCTTGTTGCCGGGAGATTCAGAAGAAGAGGGCGGCTCAAATTCAGAGGTGGGGTTGGGTTGCCTTTGCGAAACGGTCAGAGCATTCAAGGACAGAATGTTCCTGAGGAGAAAGCAGACGCTGCTGAGAGCGTGGAGTAGCTTGTGTGTCGGAAGGAAGCGGCACCGCGCTTTCGTCAGCAGGGGGTTGCAGCGGGTCCGGCGCAGTGCTTTGAGGAGGGCGTTTGTGGAGTGGAAGTCGATGACAAGTGAGTCTAGACGCACCGTGCACGCATATGCTGTGGCATACAATAGAAAGACAACAGGGTTCAGTAAGTCTCTGAAAGTTCATGCTGATTCGAGTGCAAACGGCTTGCACTCCAGAGTTTTTTTGATGGATGACATCGAAGAACCTAGTACTTGACATTCAGGAGTGACACGTTCAATTTCATGACGCTCATGACAGTCATAACGGACTGCTCCTTGTTCAGTTGCCTCATTGACTGATGTACGCACATGCCTTCCACTGAAACCGGACACTTTTGGCAATCCGTTAGTGCTTTCTTCTGTTCTGGGAGGACCCATGCTGCCCATACTCGCTGTCGTCACATACGATCAATGCTCATGACCGCGCGTGCTTTTTGCGTCTGCCAAAAGGAGGATTCGAAAGGTTTCTGCTGCAACAGATTTGATTCTTTCTACTCTTCAGATGAGGGCGTTCGTCTTCAGCTCGAGGACTCCTCCGATCGCTTCTCCAAGCGGATGCACGAGTTGCAAGCCAACCTGTCTGCTGCCGAGACGGCGCAGAGCACGAGGCTCTGTCCTGGCTGGAGGAGTACCAGGCGGAGAGGCGCACACTGCTCGCGTCAGCAGATCTTGCGAGCGCGCGATTTCCTGTTCCCGGAGCAGTGGGATGCTGGACGGTAGGTCGCGGCTTACCCGCACAATCGCAAGTGCCTGTCAGGATGACGTGGCAACCATTTTGTGCCAGTTCTTTCCTTCTATTGCTATAGAGCAAGCGTGACCTAGGGTGGAGTCAGACTCCTTGTTGCGACTGTCTGTGCTTGCCTGGGTCGGAAGCTGTGAGTGTTTGGCCGCAGGGACTATACGAGTATCGCAATGCGAATCGAATAATCCCCACTTTGACGATTTTGTCATGGCCGTAAAAGATGAGTACTACAGAGGTGATTCAAGGAGATTTCACCTGAGCATCCATCCTCACCGTCTTTCAACTGAGCATCTCATGTCACCGTCTTTTGAACACAGAATATTAAGCCTGGACGGAGGAGATGTCAGAATCGTCGGAAGCCCCACTGGCGCGCAACGACCATTGCGCGTGCGCCATCCCCGGGCGGCGGATGCAGCCCGTCTTTGGGGGCTTCGATGGGAGCGAGGAGCTGGCGGACTTACACGTCTTGAATGTGAGCGACGACGGAGGTAAGAAAAGCAGGCCTACTCTCTTCCCCACTGACAAGCGGCGACCATCTGCCCTTCAGATTACGAAATCCTCCAACAAAATGGTCAACAGAGTATTACCCAGACAAGGTGCGATGCAGACCAGCCTGGCCGCGTACTGGAGGTCTGCTTTTTTCTACACGAAGCTCGCCGGCATACTTACTCTTAACAAAGCAGGATTGAAGGATTAATTGCACGATCGGTAAGATGTTTTTCAGCGCCTGCACGATCTTCTAGTGCTTTTCGTCAAGTGGGCAATTGGTCTTGTTCATGGCAATAGGGTGTTAGAAGCACCACTTCTATTCGTCTAATCCCACAGATTCTCAGCACCTCCTTCGCACGAAGCTGTCTCCGGCTCGTTGTCCTTGGTTTGATTGATTCTGGCATGGTTTGGCCTGCGTACATCTTGTCTACTTTTCTCAGTCGCATCTGGATTGTCCGATTATTGCGTGTCAGAGATAAGAGTGGGGTTAGTCACTGAGCCAGATGGATCGCCCATCGTTTGCATACTTTACACCCTTCATACTTCTGCACTAAATTTAAACAACTTTTCGCCCTTCAGGCACTTTCCACTGGTCACAGCCCGACCTCGGCATGGGCGCTCGCCCCGGCCCCCTCTCCCACGCCTCCTGCTGCCTGCTGCCCTCCGGCCGCGACGTGGCCCTTTTTGGCGGGTACCGTTCCGGTTCCGGCCTGCTGAACGAGCTGAATTGGGTGGGTGGGTGGGTGCTGAATTGGGTGGGTGGGTGGGTGGGTGGGTGCTGAATTGGACCGCTGGGAGTGGAGCCAGCCGGTGGTGGCCGGGGATCCCCCCCGGGCACGGAGGGTCCACGTGATGGAGGCGCTCGGAGACCTAGTGATCCGCACGGGGGGTACAACGGGCAGACGCATCTGGGTGACCTCTATGCGCTGGTAAGTTGAGATAATACCCTAAGCGCTATATTCATGAGTTGCTAACGCTCGAAATCCTGAAGCCTTTGGGACCTGGTGTTGGTGCACGGGACTTACGACGGGCAGGCGCATCTGAGCGACCTGTATGTGCTGGTCAGTGCGAAATTGTTTTCGTGTCCTAGTAAGTTGCGGAACCGATGCAAGCTGGCACTTTGCGAGAGGACTCACTGTTCTGTGCGCTGTCAGCGTTATTGGGGGTCTTCTTGAAGTGAATCACGGGAGTGGAAGCAAGCTCCTGGACGCCGGTGCAAGAGCAGCTTGGTGAAGTGGAGGTGCTCTGCTGGTATCTTCCTTACCCAGCTTCATGAGGGAGCTTTAGTGCGATCGTCGTCAGAGACGTCTGCATTTACTTGGTGGGATTAAAGTGTTTTGAATCCCTCTTCCTCTTTCCAATCTCAATTAGAATCTCTTGTTGTACTACAGGATCTGAAACCCATGGTATGGCGGAGGGAGAGTCGACCCCGTTGGGGACATACCGGCCACCAGGCGAGGCCACGTGTCCACTGCCATCGGGCGTCAGGTGCTCATTTACGGCGGCCTTCAACGGAGCCGACTACCTGGTGACGTGTACACGCTCGACATCGACGGCTTCATCTGGCTCCAAAGAGCCCCGATGACGTCAGCAGCCGACCACGTGGCGCTGGTCGGGGAGCTGGAGGCGTCGCGGCGAGAGCTGCGAGAGATCGATCTGAATGTTGGCACGAGAGCGGGACGACGAAAGGCGTGGCAAGAGTGCGGGCGAGTTTGAGCGCACCGGGGGGGGTTGCGGGAGCGACGAAGTTCAGTGGGCCATCGCGTATGAGGACGACAGGCGTCCGGAAAAGGCGGACCGCTCGGAAACCGCGAGCAAACCAAGAGGAAAAGCGCGAGTATCGGTTGGAATCCGGAGAGTTACGAGACGGGAAAAAGTGCTGCCACGTGGCAGTTCGCTGGATTCCTTCCCGCAGAGGTGGGCGTTCAGGCCGTGTTCGACGGTCACCGGGTCCTCGTGATCGGGGGCGCCCATTCACACTCCGTCCTCGAGAGCGCCCCGCTGCTGGAGAACGCGGCGGCCGAGGACGGGGGCGCGCGCGCACGCACTTCGCGGCTCTGGAAGAAGCCAGTGGCTTAGGGAAAGAGTATACCTATGCGGCTGGAGACAAAGCTGGCGGCCGCGCGGGGGGAGGGTTTAGGCTTTTAAGCCGCCGGCGAGCGGCTGGAGGCAGCACTGCGCGTGGAGGCGCAGGCGAAGAAGAGCGCGATCGCGGCGCAGCGGATTCTGGGGCAGAAGCTCAAGAAGGCGCGCGCAGAGGGGGCGGAGCTGGACGCGGAAGTTAGCCGGTAAGGAGCGCGAGTAGGACTCTTGCTTTATTATGTGTGATTATGTAGCTTGGGTAGTGTACAGTAGGGCTTGTTTTCAGAAGCTAATAATAGCGCTCCGAGGAGGGTGAAATTGAGGATAAGGATCGCCGTTGAATTCAAACGTATCTATTTTTGGTAGAATCATAGATGATCGCTGCCAGGACGTCGGCTCAATCAGATTGCGACAAAAGAATGTCTTGTTATACAGCATGCAAAAAGATGGTGGCTGATAGGAACATGAGCGAGAGCACGAGGCCGTCGGAACTTGTCACGGACGGTGCGTCACTTAGAAGAAGTATAAGTAGGCAGTCCCAACAAACAGAAGCCCACAGCCTCTCTAAATCTGTGCGTGCGTTTGGTTGAACCTCGTACCTATGAACCAGCTACAATGGACTTGAGGAACCAGATGTCCTGTACGGTAGTTGGTGCATTGCGTTCCCGACCTCAGGCCCTCCTTTCCCGCAGTCTGCAAGAACAGCTCCAGAGCAAGGCCGCCGAGTGCCACCTGGCACACCAGCACGTGACGTCAGCTCAGAAGGCCCTGCACGCCCTGGAAGTAGACCACCAAAAGGCCCTGTTTCGGGCGGCAGCGGCCGCTCAGGAAGAGCGGCTGCGAGCCGCCGGAAAGCTAGCAGAGCTTGAGGCGCTAGTGGGCTTCCGCGAGACGGAACTCCGACGGAAGGGGGGGGAGGCGGAAGCACTGCGAGCGGAACGGAAACGGTGGCGCGGTCAGAGTAGCAGAGTTGGAGGGGGAGATGCAGCGCGTGCGGGGACTGCTGGTCAAGGCGGACGAAGAGGTGCGCTTTGGACGCTACCTTTTCTCCTTCTAATGCCAACGGTTTCTCAAGGGAGAGTTATTTCTTCATTTCGTCCTATCTTTTCTTTTTCTCGCCAGGCCCAGGTCACAGTCCGCGAGCTCCTACGAACAACTAGCGCTCTTGTAGGTCTTTTCGTCCGCTTTCTTGCTTGGCTCTTTGAAAGGCGGTTGCTGCCTAGCGGAAATACGGTTGTGTTGGTAGGGCCGGGCTTGTCATTTTCCATACGACGAAAGTAGGGAGCTCGCGACCAGGAGGCTGTGCAAGAACGTTCCCATCGCCTGAGCGCTCGTAACGGGGACTCCAGAGCCCAAGCAAAGCTCGATTGTCTCCTTGGACGTTACTTTCTTGCCTTGATCCGACTCATGAAACTCGCAAGGCAAAGTGAGGCATCAAATGATGGAGATTCTTACCGCCGACCTTTTCCGGTTTCCAGGCCAAGACGGAAGTCCGTCGAGCAACCGAGGAGGGCCTCGCGGCCGCCCGGGCGCTCGAGCGGCGCCTCCAAGAACAGAAAAGCAGAGGAGGAATGCGGCGCCCAGACTGCACGGAAGGAGGCAACCGGGCAGGCTGAGGCACGTGCCCACGACGAGCGGCAGTTTGTGGAGAGTTACCGGAGGGAGAGGGATGCAGCGACGAGCCCCCCGCGCTGACGTTCATCCAAGTTCAGCTGCAAAAGGCGGGCGCCGACGAGTCCAAAGCTGAGGAAGTTCGGCCCGGGGACTTGCCCGCAGGGGCAGAACCGGGCCCTCCGCTCCCCGACCGCCGGACACACCCCCCGCCCCTGGTCGGCCGAATCGGCGGCCGCGGCCGCCTTTCCATATTTCCCCGCGACCGCATGCTCGCATCCCTCCTGCCCAGCCCCACGTTCGTCCCGGCCCCTCCCCCCCTAGCCGCTTCCGGCCACGGATCGCCCTTCCTCGGGTCCGTGTCCCGCCCCTAGCGCCCCCCTCGACCCCCTTGAGCACCCCCCCGGCCGGGGCCCCTCCGGACAATCAGTGACCTCCGACTGCCACCTCTAGTTCCCCATCCCGCCCCCACGGTGCCACAACCCGGCCCTTCGGAGCCCCCTCCGCCACCACCCGGTGTTTCGAAGCCCCCTACTCCGGTAGCTGCATTTACCGAGTTAGAAGAGCCTCCGTTCTTTAGCTTTCCCTCCGCGTTGCATTCGGAGACAAGCCATCGGAGTTCTGCTCGGGGACGGAGGTCGCCTTTGTCCCAGCGCAATCAATCAGAACGGCTGAAGCAAAATCTGAGGCTCTGAACGGGTTTTAAAACGATCCCAGGAGCATCCCGTGCATCAGACCCTCCTTGATTTGGAGGGGGTGAAGAACCCCCTGACAAAGCTACGTAAGAGGTTGGAACAAAGGCAGGCGGTCTTGGCAGGAACGGACCGGGATTTGCGGGCGCATAGGATTAGCCCCGAAGAGCTGTGGCGCTTTCTGACGAAAGATCTGGAGCTTATTGCAGAGCTGTTCACAACGGTGCCGTATGCCGTGAACCTATGTTGCAACTCTGATATCTTTTGAAAGTGGGCGGGTGCAACCGTTGTGCATAGCGCTAGCTTTGTAGAATGGTGAATTCAGCCCCTACATGCACCCGCCCGAATGCTAGATGATGTACCTCAATCGATGCCGGTGATCCGATCGGTCTGTAGGTCCGGCGGAATTACATTCAATTTGCCTGTCCAAATTCGCTTTGCAAATAAGACCGAACGAGCACCACTAACGCATGACACATCATGGCACGCCCCGGCGCGACTGCGCTCGTGCATATATGCAAATGAAGCCGGCACCTTCACAAATGTCCTCGGAGGCCCAATGAATGTCGCAGGAGATTGTAAAGGATCATGACGGTGCAGTGCGATACAGCTATAGCTTTTATTGATCCAATGAGATGTTGCAAACTTTAGCCTACACGTACTGTCCGACACATAACGGTTCACCGTCGGGAGCGTCAAAAAGTCTCTTGCTGCCGGTACTTAAGCATGATGAGATCAAAACGGATCCGCACCGAAGCTAGGTGCAGACGCCGACGTATACACAAACAAAGACTCACGCGTGCAAAGACACGAAGAAGGACCTTGCCGCTGCGCCGGCAAATTTCTGTGCTCGTCGAGTCACTGAGTGAACGTCGTTGACAATGAGTCCTAAAACTTTTCATATGGTTTGACGCAAACGATTGGCCCGAAAGGTCAGACTCATTCAAGTACCGGAGCTTCGTGGACAGGGGCCTTCCACAGCAACCAGCCCACAATGATATCAGAGTTTACAGCATATACAGTTGCACGTCTGCTCTAGCAACTAGATCTATTTGGGATACCAAGCTGAGGGCCGACCCAAAAGCTCTGTCACAAACGGGAGTTCGTTGATTAGGGGCTTTCACAGCAATCAGCCCACAACGACTCAAAATACATCTACAAATCTGCCTGCTATAGCTACCAACTTTAGTGGGCTACCCATATTGCTTGGCCGGTCGAAACGACCGGCCGCGAAGATGCCGTCTGGTGGGCCCGCTCGGCCAGCCTGTCTTAAATCGGGCTAAGAGCTCGTGACACAAGACTAAAGGAAAAGACGTAAGCTGAACCAAATCAACTACAAGCGTATCTCTGTGATCACTTATTCTAAAAGCATAACCTAAAAACAGCTAATTGAAAACCCTCGCCCCAAAAACGTTCTTGCCCTCCAATCCTAACAGAGGTTATCCGGTCGCCCCTACTGGCATCTGCTGAAGAATATCAGTTCGAGCTCCTTTCCTTTCAGATAAAGCTCTTCGCCAAGAGCTCCTTTCTCTAGCCTGTTGTTCCTTCAAGCAAGCTCCCGTTATTTTCCCCCACGATCCAAACGATCGGTGCAGCAGCGGCTAAAGCCCCGACCTGCGACCATTACCCTTAAGGCTTGGGAGCGACCCTCAGTGAGCTGCCCTTCTTCACCCAGTAATCAATCCTGGTGCTGCCTTCGTCCCGCAAGCACGCCGGGCAGTGCCACTCCCGGGGTACGATGTCCTTCTTAATGAATTTTCCGAACAGCCGCATCAGGCAGCCGTTGCAATAGGCCTTGCTGCACTTGTTGCATGCCTGGTGTCTCTCCGTGTCCTTCGCTGGGCACCTGCCATCAGCGCCGCACCAGGAACAGAAGTCCCCAATGCCATCCTTCTGCAACATCTTCAAAAACAAGGCGTCTTTGAGGGCTTGACAATGTAAATCCGGGAAGCAAACAGCAAGCCCGCAGCTTATACCGTTCTTCTTCATGAGAATTACTCCAGGCTTCTATGTTTCAAGCGAGGAGAGATGGTCTTGTAACCAAGCCTAACGTATGCACAAGATCTCGTCTGCACTTCTAGCTGGCTTGACTTTTGAGGCATTGCAAACAAAAATTTGACGGCTTTGCCAGATGTTAATGGTGGCCATGACTCTTACGTCTTCGCACTGAAACTTCGAGGCCGCCTCCTGACCACTCTCCGTTTTCCAGAAGGCCCCCAAGCAGCTCTCGCAGATGGGAACGTTGAAGTGGGGGTGCTGGTACAGCTTTTCCGACGCAAAGCGCGCCAAGCAAACAGTGCATTGCTGGCCCTGAGCATAGAAAGCATACCCGTCGAGCCAGATTAGTTCGACGCAGAAATAGCAGCTTACATCGTTTGTTCTGAATCAAACTGTGCTCAGTAGAATGAACTCGAAGTAGAGCCCCTGGAATGCATTCAGCAAGCCGTCTCACAGACTTAGCATTAAGGAACGTCGAGCGACTGGTTCATGATTGACTTAAGGGCAGGGATTGAGTGACGAAACCGGAGAAAAAGAAAAGTATCATCGAGAAGGTGACTTCGGAAGTCAAACATTTCAAGAATGATCTCCCATGCCCAGCAATGAACCTGCCAGGCTTGACTGTGCTGCTTCGTTGAAAAAGAATTACTCTTACCGAGACAGCTCCAGCCTTCTCTCGCCGTTCAGCCTCCTGAAGAGCCTGCAATCGGATGGCCTCATGACATAAATACCGTCTCGATGTTGACATACTCGATTTAAGGAATGACAGTCAAGATGCCTCAGACCCAGAGAATTCTTACTCGGTCTTTAGCAATTGCAAAGCAAATAAATCCAGCAGCAACCAAAAATTCGAAACATGAAGGCAATCTTAGTAAATGCAGTTGAAGTCGCAAAATCTAGGACCCAAAACGATGGGATGCAAACTCGGACCATCTTCTCAAAAAGGACCCTGCAGTCGTTGAACGCCCCTGTTGACATTACGATCGCAACTGAAAGACAGAATCTCTTGTCAAAGATTGAGGCTCACCGCTTTGAGACTGGACAGCTGCCCTTGTCTTGTTGGCAATTGGATGTAATAATGTCCGTTTTCTGTAAAAGCAAGTCATCGCTGCGGTTCAATGTAGGCAAACTTAGTCGCTGACCTCAAGCCTCGTACACAGCCCAACTGGGTTTGCTTGTGTGCTTGTGAGTCAGTCTACCTTGCGCAGGGTGGCTCGTCCGCGGGGTCAAGAAACAATTCGTGATATGTCAAGATTGAAAGGTCCGCACCCCGGTCTTTCGAGGAAGAATTGAGGCTTTTTGATCAGTCTGTAAGAGCTTCTCCGTCTAAAACAGCGCAAAAAGTTTTGGAGCCCCTTGAAGGAATGAAGGAGACTGCATGCGACCTCTCAGGGTTCTCCGCTCTGTTTCGCACTCGAATCTTGCATAACCATAATTGACAAGATGAGCTGCTCTATATCAGAAGCCTCACCTCTCCTGGTAGTTGCTCCATGCTTTACAAGCAGGTCCGTTTTGAAGTCCTCGCAAGCCTCCCTCTTCCAAGCTGTATTCAGCAAGGAGCGGACCCATCAACATCAGATGACGTCAGCAGCTCGAACACCAATTGAGATGGCGTCATCTAAGGGATTTTATGACCCTTTGAAGGGATCGACAACGAACTGAGCCAATTAAGCCAGGGCACTTTTATCCAGGGACCTGGTCAGATAGGGTGTTCTTGCGAGCTTCTACTGCGTGCTAGAGCAGAGTCATGCTGAGACGCAAAGAAAACGGTGCTCACTTTTCGGGTCCGAATCGGCTGCGTACTTGCCGCAAACAAGATGCTCAGAGCTAGCACTGGAGCTGGCACCCGATGCGCCCCTGCTTTTAGGCAATCCGTAGGCAGTCCTCTTTTTCGACTCGGATGGCTCGAACCGCACTCCCTCCGGCACCTAGACAAATTGTGACAGGAAAAAAACATCTTTCATTGATGTTGACCCGTTCCAGTACTCGAACTGACGACAGCGTCTGAAGCACAGGGGTACGACCCAACCACATCGTAAACTGAGGACCGATATCCTGGTACAGATGGTGTAAAAGCGCCACCAAACGTTGCCTTGTCTCCTTTCTGAAAACCGGTCGCCGCGGCGAGCCCTGGGCTAGCTTGTCCGCAAGCGTGTATAAGAGGACTCATCTCTCACCCGGTCCTTGAAGATCTTGGTCCACGCCACGTCCAGGTTCTCATGAACACCCAGGTACTCTCGCAACCACAATTGCACGTGTGACTCCTCGATCCAGCCCACATCTTCCAAGCTCCAGCCCCTCTTCTCTGCAGTGAAGCCACGAAATGGCTCCGTAGTTCAGAAAAAAAGACAGCTTATGACGGAAGCATCCTTCACCGTAATCGATTGATGATGAGGACACCTACTGGAATCGTGACCTTTGAAACGGCACCTTCTAAGTTGACGGCAGAAGTCTTCTGTTCAAAGCTTAGGGACTAGAGTATGGCCAGAGTTTATGGTTAACCGAGCCAGCCGCGAGGAAATCAGTAGAGGTCGTGATTAATTGGATTCTAACGGCGTGTCAGTTGTTGATGTCGACAAGGATTATACCCAAAACCGACCTTATAAGTTGAAAATGCTTCCCCTCTTCATACTCAGGAAAGCTTTTCAAGACATGAATTGAAATTCGTAGAAGGTAAAACACACTTTCCAGATGCCGGCCTTCGGATGCAGTGTATCGCAGATGAGAATCTCACCTGCTACCCGTTCCATTTGCTTCTCCAGTAGCGGGTAAACTTTCTTGCCCAGGTGCTCTGCGCGCTCCCTCTCAACGCCTTCGGCTTCTTTCCAGCACTGTAGAGAGTCGAAACGGAAGTCTTTTTGTGGTAATGATCCGTTAGGATACGGATGAAACAATTACCTAGTTCCAATCTGTGTCCATCTAACAAGAGTTGGACGGAAGAAGTTAGGCGACCAAGTCAAGTATCACAAGGAACAGTGCCAACTTTTGGAACCCCAAAGCAGCAGGAGCTTACTTAGAAATTGCATTTGAGGACTAAAGCCCGTTGATTGTCGAATACCCAGGGACTCTCGTGGGAACTGCACTTAGAAGCGCGCAATGATGCGTGCACGAACCACGAAGCGCGCAAAGAATTGTTGCAAGTGCTCAATTAGAAAGAGCTTTGCAGGAAGGCACGCGCACGATCCGAGTCAAGCAAGAGGCATGATAGAACGAACCAACGAAACGGCATTTTCTCACCGCAAGGGCGACAAGCCTCGCCTGGAACACGACCTCCGTCTTCCTTGGATCGCCAGTAGCTGCATAACCTCCTTGGCCTGGGACTGTGGTGACCACAAAGCCCTCCTTCGGCTTGTTTTGCTCCACCCACTTGTCATAAAACCGCTTTCTAACCACCAGCTTCAGGATGTTAATGGCCCTTCGCAGCTGGTCATCCTCGAAGGCTAAGGAGTAGAGCTTCACCCGCGCTACGCACTCCGGATCGGACATGGGAATCCCCTCGTGAGTTCCGTCAAACCAGCTAGACGGGTTTCCAGTTTCGGCCGCGCTGAGAGCTTCGCTGAACTTCGGGGCCCTCCCTGGACCGCCAGCAACCGCGCGCTTGCATGCTTCCAAGAGGCGGATGTCGTCTAGGATCGACTGGGCCGGATCCGGTTCTGTGAGGAGAGCGACATCACGCTCAATCGACTGCACTGAGCTCACCAAGTCCTCGGGACTCAGTTCCAGAAATGTGAGGGGGTTATGCGCGTCACCTCCGGCCATAGAGGGCAACAGGTTTTTCAAGCGTTGCAGGACTGGCTCGCAGCTGCGCAGCGCGCAGTGCACATTGATCGCCCGGAGCACCCTCGGAAACTGTTTGGCGCAGTCCTCGTCGGACCGGGGCAGCTGCCTGCTGCTGGAACGCAGGTTGGCGCAGGCGGAATTTACAGCAGCCTCAACCTTCCTTCGGGCTGCTTGTTCCCAGGCGCGGCAGTCCTTGCCAAGCTGATGCTCGACTCCCCTGATGACGCCCTTCACCAGGTTTGGAAGGTGCTGTTCGACGGCGCGAAGGCGACTCAGAAACGAGCCGCTCGTGGAGACTGCTAAGTGTAACCTTAGCCAGAAGGTCTTCACCCCCAAGCTGCGGTGATCGAAGAGTGACGCCATGTAACACGTTGCATCCAGGTCGGGGACGGTCTGCGAACGAAGGATGCCGCTCGCGTGAACGTCAAGGACGAGCATCTCAGCCTGCAGGTTGGCGAACTAATTAGATAAGGAATGAATCCTCATATTTTTGATAAACAATCCAAACGCATCGGACCTCGGATAGACCATGCTTTTCCTGAAACGATTTGTAACTGAGGGCGTTGAAGCAACGGTAGGAGTCCACGTGCCTGCTACGGCTGACTTCGAATTGACTTTCCGGCTCGCTACGCTGGCAGATCTCGAGTACCTGTCAGTAGCGACCAAAAAATGGCACATCCTTCATTTTGTGAGGACGGAAACAGTGATGCGAACCTAGCGCCCTAGTCAAACTTCCCTGTCACATTTTGCAACGTAAATGTTTTCCAAGCGCTACCGGTCATCTTGTACACGTTAATATTAAAGTTGATGGCGTTCCTCAAGAAAGGTAAGAGCTCAGAAGGACGACACGTTAATAAGTCAGCTCATGGACGCGCAATCGTTCAAGCGCAAGCTTCAAGCTTGCGACAGTCCGATTCTTGTAAGACCAAGCGCTATGCAGAAACAATCTTTTACTTGATATGTATGCTTCGATGCAGGTATTATCAAGTGCTAACAAGAAACACGAGATATTGTCTTGAGATGTTTAGTGCCCAGTAAAAATCTGGTTCTTTCAGGGCTTTTCATGGTTTTGAAACATAAAACCCGACAGAATCAAATGCAGCATGAGATCAAAAGAAGCCCATGAGAGAAAACTCGAAATTCGACAAAAATTGTCCGAAGGAAGAGACATATAATTGCTGGTAGATTACTTTTTTCCTTCTAATTATCCAATGATAGATATGTATCCTCACCTCAACCAGCTGCTTCGCTCTCTTGTACACATCGTCCAGTAGTTGATCCTTTACCAGATCTAGCTGTTCAAGAATCGTACGCTCCACCCGCCGATACGCCCGCTGTATCTCGTGGAGGGTGCCGCCGAGCTCGGTCGCACCCTCGGGAATGTCCCTTTGGGTGAGGCCTAATGACGTGGTCACCAAGCTGGTGGGTATGGCTATGTCGTTGAGGCCCACCCGCTCGGGGACTCCAAAGATCGGATGTAGGAAAAGGTCCAGCGCAGAATAGACCCCCGACTCCCCCTCAAAATCTCCGTCTGTCAGCAGATCAGTGAGCTGCTCTTTGTGCGCGGCCAGGATCTGGGGTGGGAAGTCGCTCAGGGCTTTTTTGCCGACCCTTGCTTTTAGAGTGGGGTCAGACTCCAAAACCTCGGGGTCGACCAGCTTCGAAAGAATCTGTCCCAAAGCAAGGGGGGAATCTGTTAGGCTTGCAGTGCTATGCAGAGGCGCTTTGGCCCAATTAAGAAGGCTTCCATTCAACGGAGAAGGGCCCACCCTCCTGCCCACTGCATATAATTCTTCTTCTGCCACTCAGGAACGAAGTCTATTAAGAAGTGACGACATCGTTTGCTCAGGGATAAACAATCCGCAGATCAACTTGCTCTTGCTTGAATCCCTATGCAGGAGGAATCGACTACAAGGCATGTGGCCCGTAGTTCGAAACCCGTAACAGCTCGAGTCTTGCATACATGCAATCTTGAAAGCTTCAAAGCTGTCAGCTGACATGCCCAAGCCAGTATTCAGATCAGGAATTCTGACGTAAATCGCTGAGTTTTCAACCTCGTGCCAACCAACACCGTTCCCTTGTGAAAAGCAGCCCTTACCTGCTCCGCTGCCACTTCCTTGGTGCACCTCTTCCCTCGAGCCTCCAAATTCTCCCGCATCTCCCTCTTGGCATGATTTTCGAGAATGGACACTAGGGCCATCTCCTCCGTGAAGCTGTTCAGAGCCGCTTGCACTGGTCCGTCGAGGGCCTGGCGGACGTCGGCGTCCGACCGGCCGCCGTACTGCAGCCGGAACACCCCAAGCTCCCCTTCCAGGACTGCTTGTCCTTGAGATAGCAGCGCCGAAGCCTCGACGATCACGGGTTTCAAGGGCCGATGGCTGAGGGGTGGCTTTTTTATGAAGTTCGTCAGCGCGTCCATTCCGACGTCCTCCGGTGCCATGCGCGGCTCCTGGAACGGATGAATGGATATGGCGTTTTGGAACATAGTCGAGTAGGGCGCTTTCGTTCATTACGACTTTGATCCGGAAGTTCGAGGCCAGAACCCAGCAAACACTCGCGACTTGTTTCAACGAATAGCACCACGATGTAGCCTCGCAATGAGTTGAGGGGCCAGAATTTTCCGGATGAAACGTAAGAGCTGAATAAACACACCAGTAACAGGGAGAGTTAGTATGCACTCGAGCTGGAGTTGGAGTTGAGGGTCCTCCGTTGGAGTGATGGGTGTCGAGAAGACAGAGCTACATGCACTTTTGAGAGAATTAGAGATCGTGAGCAAGTTGGGTAAGGATCCCCACATCATCAAATGACCGCTTGACTCACCCCCGGGGATCCGTGGCCGTCGTAGTGGTCCCTCTTACGGCCGTAGCGCAGGCATACAGCGTACATTTGGAAGGCCTCCTCCATCCGTTTCTTGACCAGCTGTCGAGCAAGGTCCCTCGGTATCCCAAGTTCCCGCTGCAGGTATTTGACGGCGAAGTCCCGTAGCTCGGAGGTTCGCGTCTTCTTGAGCGCATCGACTCGATTCCGGACCTTCAGGTACTCTTTGCCTAGCTGAGTTTCGGGACCAAGTTTCTTCCCCGTCTCCTGGCACGCCGCATACCTGTGAGACGTGAAACAAGCCGCACAGATTTTACAGAGGCAATCCCATGTGGTAAATTTCCAGAAGCGTGATTTGGTAGGATAGAACGCAACCGACAACGTATGCAGCAGAAAGGCAATAAAGTGGATTCAAACGTTAGTACTCCAACATGACCAAAATTAGAGGAGCCAGCCAAGAAATCTATTCTGATTTTCTGAAATCTGCATCGCGATTTTACAACAAAGACCAAGAAGTCAGGCGAGGCGATGACTACTCCAAAACATTCTACGGAATCAAGCGATTGTTGCTAGAAGGAAAGATCAAAGCTTTACCATTCTTCAAAAACGCCAATGCAAATCCCTTGAGACCGAACGTTGTCCCACTCTTTGTCAGCGTTGAAAACCAAGGCCACTTCCGCCTCTGGAGCTAGGTCGAAGTCGATGCGTCCGTTTGGAGACTGACGATGGTGTTTGAGCTCCCCTCGGAAAAGCAGCTCTGTGGCCTGCTTGTAAGCGCCCTTCAACAAAGAGAGCCAGTCAAGAAGATCAGATTCCAGCTTAGGCTTCACGGGGAATAAGGGGAACGCCTTGAAGCATCACCCGGTGCTGACATATTGCCCTTGAATTAACGCATGACAAGTTGCTGCTCCTATAATGGTCGGGGAGAGGGCCACCTAACAATCTAACGTCTACATGTTGATCATTACAAGTCCTGCTAACTCGGACTCCTCTAGTGAGAGACTGTACAGATGTAGAAGTCAGACCATTGCAAACCCGACGCATCAGACGGCTTTTTTCCGGAGACGGGCTCAGCTCTACTTAAGGGAGACCAAGCGGCCATAATCAATGACGAGCAGGAGATCCCCGAAGTATTGGCGAGTCGTTTCTTACCTCGTGCTTCTCTTCACCGTGACGCCCTGCGGTTGCAGTGATCGTGATAACACCGCAATCTGGCTGCGGCTTGATCTATGATGGAGGGGTTGAAAAATTCGATTAGAGCAAAAAATTGGGAAGTCGCTTCTACACAAATCTGTAGCATAGACTAATGAAGCGAGCTTCGCTTTTCCGCCGGTGCACGTTCACTGATCAAAAGGCAGTCTCAAGTCTGATCTGCGGTAAACTTTGTAGGGAATAGCAACCACATATACAGTAGACACTTAGGAAGAAGCAGACCGATCTCAGTCTTTTGCCAGTCTCCAATTCCTAAAATGATGTGCGTAGCAAGCTTACCAGTTCGTGCGTTCCCGATACAAAGTTATCGCCCGGGTTGTCGATCATAACCACCCCCGGTAACGAAGAGTCCGGCTGGCTTTCCGTCACGGAGTGCCAGAGCGGGACGCAAAGGTCATTGAAGATGCAGTCCGCTTCGAGACGTTGCGTGGTGAGCAGCTTCACCTCCTTGCACAGTTTGCGGAACAGAAAGTTCTTCTCGTCCTCTGATCGGCCCTCGTGGCTGAAGGAGTACTCGTGGATCTGATGGAATACAAGGATTCGGAATATCATTTGCGCGATGAATGGCTCGGAGCGCCGCAACAAGTTCGTCGTCAGCGTTGTTAGGATTACGTCAAACTCGTTATCCAATAGGAAAGCCAGTAGAATGACAACCGATGATTGGATCCAATCATTGAAAGAAGCTGTACTCCCTTATATTCAGTGACTCGACAGGGTCTGCCCAGTCGGATTAATTTTGACAAAACCTTTTCAACCGCAGTCGCCTCGACAAGTACGCTCGTTGATCACTTCAGCAAATAGAATATAAAAGAGCAGCCTTAACTAATGATTGCAATTGTGTCAAGGGCAAATCTCTACAACAAAAATGGCAAAAGCATCTGAACTGACCAAAGTCACCATTTAGGCGCACAACTTATTGATAGTAAATATCAAAATATCAACTCTAACAAGCGACCTGCCTTTCCAATTGCGACCTGCCTTTCCAATGGCCTTCTCCTGCTCTTGAAAGCAGCATATCGTCTCATACGGAATGTCCTCGATGGGAGTGGCCTCCGGAACGCCAATGATTCTGCGACCAACCACCCCGTTGGCCTTGATGCGCTTGAGCTCTGCTGCTGAGAATTCGCGTTGAGAAGTATCGTAGTCGTCTGAGTTCATCCACTTCTCCTCCATGAGCTGATGGATATAATAGGCTACCAAGCGTTTGCTGAATCCCCTCAACACCACCTTGGTCTCTCCCATCGTGTAGGTCTTTTCCAGTGGCACGAGACTTGAATCTCCGAAGTTTCCCAGGGCGTGAATGCCCTCTCCAAAGGACTCCATCTCTCGTTCCTTGTTACCGAAGTACTCCTCTGCTTCCGCTACCTATAGAGAGAGGAAAGGCTTGTGTCCTTTGCAGCAATCAGAAAACGCATCAAACCAGTATGTGACAGCCTTGGTTAGGATCTCGGCTGGACCTCAAAGCAGAGCTTTACTCCAACATGAAAGCAGAAATCGACGGGAAACGGCCACCTAGGAGTGGGTATCAAAGAGCAGTTCCACAAAGCACTGTTGGCATGACCTCTTGAATGAAACTTGAATGTCTTGAGCCTTGGAACAGGATGCTTCGGATGCTTGATGCCTTGGACCAGTTATACGTAGGGCGTTCGTCCTGAAAAGCAGCCCGTATTTGCTCTCGATGCAAAAGCCCAGTATGACTATGCAGCCAAAATTTGAAAAGTCGCACAGAAACGAGCCATTTATACCAGGCGACTTAACAGGCGAGAAGTGATGTCCGACTAACTGGGAGCTAGCGAAGATTTCGTAGTAACGGCGGCTGATGCTCTCTTGAACTTACCGTAGCCACCCTGTACGAAGGCCTCGCGAGCAAGTATCCGTTTTGGAGCTTGGGTGGATCAACACAAAGGCGAACTTGGGTACGGTCGCTCGGGTTTGTCTTGTTCTCCTCGTCTAGATAACGAATCTGAAAGGGCACGAGCGAAGGACGTGAGTTGTCAAAGGCCCCAAACCTTTGCTTCACGAAATTACACACAATGTAACTTTCGAGGCTTTTGAAGGGGAACGGCTGTTGCATTCGTGTAACCAAGCGCGTTGAGCTCACTAATCATGCTAGAATGGTTTACATTCAAACACTGAAAGAGTAGCATCATTCCAAGCCAGGCAGAATCCACTGCAGATACGTCGCGTTAGAGGGCTGATCTCACGTCTCACAGGTCCAGATGAAGTACCAGGTCCAGGTCACAATGATTGAATATTCCGGTTTTGAAAGATGTCCTATGTTGGTCATCCATCCAGCGGGTTATTACCAACTCACTGTGTATTGGCCAGTCGTCAGATCGTTCTGTTCAAGTACCACTGCCTTCTCCCAGGTCTTCCCATCTCCCAAGTCGAAGGTTTCTATGTAGCTGTTCACCACAAAGCTTTCGATCCTTGGGAATCGCTCCTTGGACTCCTCTTGACTGATCCGAATGGTCAGCTGCGGCTCGGGGCTATGTGCAGCCTCAGCATCGGTCTGAGGAACGCTCTCTTCATCTTCGCAGCTGCTGAGATTGGTCATCTGCAAGCAAAGAGAACACGTCTGAGACTTAAGAGCACCTCAAGTTTTGAGAGGTAATCTTCAGGAAGTCCTATGCAGCTCCTCTCTAAAGGACACGAGGAGGAAGTAGGAAGGCAGATTGTCTTGCCGGACTCGATCCAGATTGTCATCACCAAAGGAGCAGAATGAGTTGCATGCTCGGACACCTGATTTAGACCAAGGGGCAACAGATCCTCGAGCTCAAGTTTACTAAGGAACCTCGGCCCATGCCACATTCGCTGCCGCTTTTGAGCCTAATAAGCTGTTGAGAATTGACTATGGCAACATTAGACGCTCTCGGTCAGAGGGTTGCACTAGCAAGCTTTCTCAATCCATTTTAGCTTGGACTGTGAGCCATGTGGACGTAATACACTGCTTTCAATGTGAGGGTCTGAGACATCTCGAAAGAGATTTGTTACCTTTCTACTTACCATTGTGCTCTTGCCTGAGCCTTGAACCCCATTTACAGACCCAACCTTCCTGGAGTTGAGGGTAGCGTCCTCGGCTACTTTGAGGGAAGTTACTGTTTCGGCGCAGCTTCTGCCAAAGGTTGTCGTTTGCTTTTCACTGCAAGGACGAATGATCACATCATGTCACAACTCAAAAGAGAGCAGATCTGGTAGGCACACATGTGTTAGACGACCAATTGAAGGCAGTGTCCTTTGCCGCATACCACGTTGCACACTGCAAAGAGCAAACGCACCTTGGAAGATGGATAACAGTTTAAAGCTGTCTACCATTGACAGTTTATTCTTAGAAAACGGTTGAGGGATAACCACAGTCAAGTGTGGACAAAAGAACATATTCCCTCATTACTCACTGCTTGTGGTCGAAGATAAGGCTGGACATGCATCTCTTGGCAAACTGGATGGCCGTCAAAACTGAGCCTGCTATCCCCGTCCGATGCTCTCGCTTCCAGATTGCGGCAGCAAGTCTTTCCGCCTCTGTTTCACTGCCCCGAGGTGCTGTGCTCATGGGTGCTGCTGAGGATGTTCCTTGCTCAGCACTCGAGATCTGCTCGTGACTTCTCTCCTGTTCTCTGTCCTGGTCTTGTGGGACGGAGCTCCCGATCTCCTCTCTGAGCCGTGGTCGAAGCGAAAAGGAGGACGCGCCCCTTCCTTCAAACGCTGATGCTGAGGTGTTGGGGAGGCTGCCAAAATTCTCTAAGTCGATACCCGAGCCCCAAGGGACCTTGCGTTTCTTTTTTCTTTCCATTCATGCGCTGCTGCATCGATCACGGCGCTCGCCACTGCCCAAATCGCCCCGGCCCAATTCTTCTTCCTCCTCAACCCAACCGCTTGCAGGAATGCTCCAGAGCAGACGGCTTGGAGTCGCGTCAAAGGACTCAGCAAATGGCTGTGATTCAGAGCTCACAGCCTGCGCCTATTTCAGGAGCTTATTGAAAGTTGAACTGACCCGTCCTCAATCTGTCACGGCAACTATTTTTTTTGGCAGATCTGATACGGCAATGATTCTGCAGATAGCAGCTTAGACATACCAAAACCCTCCTCGATTGCAGCCAACACGTTGCAAGGCTCTAGATTACTGTGTGCATGAGATGCGTTTCTTAGTTAAGGCGGTTCGGTGTGAGCTCATTTCTACACCAGTGGACTCTTCACACAGAGAGACGTCACGCAGCCAATTAACAACCTCTGCCACTACTTGTGTTGGTCTCGGAGGTGAAGGTGCTTCAGAAGATCAGAAAGAGCTTAAAGCTTTGATTAGTTAGGGGCAGCGTTCACTTTTGTCCCGACTTCGAGAGTTTCGATGTTCCCCATGCGACGCTTTGACGGCTGCATGTGCCAGCATTGATGACGTACAGTTCGCTCGCTTGAGCAAGGCCCGTCCTCCTGTCCCGTTCCGAATGTCATTCAAGAGAGGACTGCTATGCTGACTAGGACTGTCACATCCTTTAGCATTCTTGTGAATCTTTGCAAAACCCTGAAACCTTTCAGACGCGTACGTCAGCGCGTCGATGGTTACAAGGCGTCCCGCGAGTTCGATTTAACCAGAAGCCAGGTCGCGCGATCAAAGTCCTACGGACTCGGCCCCGCCGAATGTAAGAAACTCTGCGCGCCGACGATTGGGACGACCTAGACTCGCGCCGAAACCGCCCGACCGGCCGTCGCGCAGGCTGGCGCAGCCTCAGGCTGCCAAGAATCGAGCAATTGAACCTCAGCCTTGTTCCATGCCGGAGACGGACGGTCCGAAGGTCCCCAGCTAACGGCGGAAGAGAGAGAAGTCCGCTCTCGGATCGAGGTTGAAAATACGGAAGAGTATATGACGGAAGGCCGATATCCGATCCGTGACAGGTGTCAGCACTGACGTCTTGGAGATCACTGCACAAACCAACATTGTGCGGTTCTAAGCTGCTTCAATGTTACTTGAGTGCCATTTCCTTGCGTTTCCAGCTATTTCAACGACTCTGTGGCATCCTCAAAAGACCACCGAAAGACCAAGTTCTCACCATACTTCCTTCCCTTTATATAATGAATCCTCTGACGTCTATTCAACAGGGGCCATAAGATCAACCACTGAGGGCCCGTGCCAGCCGTGAAATTAAGCTGCAAAAAAGTTCTGAAAAGTACCCGGAAGATGCTTAACGCATCTTGGTACAGTACAACCTGCACCAACACCCTGCCAAAATACCTATTCGACAAGACTGCGGATGTTATAAGCAATTAAGGGTTGACCCAGAGAAGCCTTCAATCAGCGCGACCAATCATTCACAGGCCATTTGGACAATCCTTTTCGTCTCTCTGAGTCTCGCTATTAATACCGTAGTGCAGCCGAGAGTGGGCGGCGCCGGCCACGCGCCTGCCAGTGAGTCTACAGGCAGGCTAGCTACCGGTCTAAGATGCATTATGCAGGGCATTGCACTACATAGTGCTCACGCTATCTTTAGCCCATCTGGATCGAGACGAACATACATCGTGAAGAGGGCATTACTCGTTTCAATCTTAGTCCAGGACTGGCCCGAGCCATGCAAATAATTCGACCATCACATGCTCAAATCCGGCCTCGTGATCCCATTACAGTAGTTTTCGCGCAATGATTCAATCCATTGCATAGCAAATCAATCCATGATAATTCTAGACTCAGACAGTGGGATTTAGATCTTGTCAGAGGCCATTCTTCACGTATCAAGTGAGTCAGGTATGCGCGGCGATTATCGACTCACATGTCACCAGCATGCAAACATGCATCGGTCCCAACCGCCTACAATATCCGGTATGCCAGCTATATATAGCGGTGTATATATAGTTTATACCTTAAGCAGGCTGAACATTTATATACGGAAGGAGACAGGCTCATGGCCTCAGGCCAGTGGGAGGCTCCCACTGTCAGGCGGCACCCTAGCCGCCCGGCCTGGTTTCAAGTTTGTCGACTGCGCATGGCGGCATGTGGTACGTGCGGCCACGCCAAAGCGGTCCGGTTGCGGATGCCGCCAGTGATCTTGAGTCACATCATTTTATCAACAAGGTCCCGACATGTTCTGCATTGATGACCGGACTCAATATATAGCTCCGTTTTATTTTACAGTTCTAAAAGCTTCAAATGACGACGAACATGTCCTTCTAAATAGATAAGTGGAATCCAATGCCAGCGCGCTATTTGCAGTCGCCTGATATGTAGCCTCTTATTGTGCTAAGACACTCTTGCTTCGACACATGTTATGATGGTTTCCGAGTCTTGAATCCACAACCCTGCATATGTTTCAACCGCCAAGGCTTGGCCACCCAGTTTAGAGGGCCGCGCTCAAGAACCTCGTTGTTCCTGATTGTATCCACGTGTTACAGCAAGTGTAAAGGACCAGGCATGAATTGGAAGAGCGGCCTCTTGCTTGCCTACTCTAAGGCAGTTACCCGCAGGCCTAGATGTCGCGTCGAGCCTGATTCCGCTGTTTGCACCTACTGTCCCGTTGGTGAGCTACTTTCGACAGGCAAGAAGTTACAAACATCTCGACCGACTGTCCGCTTCGCTTTTGAGCCTCTTGGCCACATCTTTAAAGAAGGGATGACTCATGTGACCAACACAGGGACAGGTGCCAAACCGCTCACGGTGCGCAACCCCGGGGCGTATCGTGCCGTCAGCAATCTTCGGGCTTATGCTGTGCGCTGTTCTGTCCGTTTGCAGCGTGTCCGTCCCGACGAAGATCGCATCTGTCACAATTGCCGAGCTCTGCCACGTGGCATTCGTGCAGAGAAGTTTTCGTGCACGCTGGTCCGTGCACCCGGCAGCTCCATCCCGTGCACAATCGGGATGAGAGGGACTGTCCGTTGGGGAAAGGGGCGTCTCGCCAGGGTCCGCAGGCCTATCTCCTCTGCATCTTGCTCGGGCCCTGCCCTTGGGAGCGGCCGTCAGACCGCCGTCCACTCCCGCCCTGCGTATGGTACGGACGGTAAGAAGATCATGGTGAAAACACATCACAGATATAAAGAGGGATTGAGACCAATCTGGTTGCTGAGAAATTGTGAGCACTGGACCCTTTCGACCCTCTCACTGACGAATCGGCGAAGCTCTCGGACCGCGCGCAGAAGGGGCTCCTTTGTGGAACAAGAGGAGGAGGAGAAAACGAAGGACCCGCAAAACCTGTCTTTGGCTTTGACTACTCTTGTACAATCGACGGCCTCCGTGCACTCTTCGCTTCAGCGTCTGAAGTACCGCGGTTTGAGGTTGATAAACACGGGGTTGCAACGGTCAACGAATTACAGCGCGGTCAAGCAAGGTATACGGATCGCAGATGGCCAGGCTGTTTTTGAGCACAGATTTCCCCGTTGATTTCCTGCCCGCCGACGAGCCAAGAGCAAGAACAGGTAGCGCAGGAAGCTTTCTAATAAGGGAGCCAGCAAAGCACTGCCATTGTTGACGAATTCTTTCCTCTCTGCTCCAACAGAAGTCGATCAAGAAAGCCCAAGAAGAAATGACCATGAGACGTCCGGGTGATGAGCTAGCATATCGCCAAGGACATCATTGCTGGTATCAGAGTTTGTCCAATCCGATCTTTTTCAAAGAATACAGCGCCGGATATCAAACAGCGGTGTTTCCCAACAGGGGCCTACTTTCAGACTGTTGGAGGACGTTTCGAAAAGGGGAGTCATCTTAATCACAGGGTGAGCACTTCGAAAGGCCTTGCATGAGTTCAAACAGGACGGCAAATTTAAACAGGCTAAACACTGTAACAATCGCAAACAGTGACGTTGTTTCTCACCGGGCCGAGTCTGCTCCCGGTCGTCGTCCCCCCCTGTCCCGAGCCGGACTGGTCCCCCCCTTGCTGCTGAAACCTTCTCTGCTGGCCGCTGGCGGGGTTCGCGGTGTTGCCCACGGGCGTCGGCTCGTTGCTGCCCATGTCGAGCGACGTGTCCACCGGGCGAGACGGGTACACCACGACCTTTTCTCCGGGGTAGCCGCTCACGAACGAGCTGCAAAAAGAATCTTAGTCTTTCAATCTTCGATTTGCCGGGCTGTTTACAAGGTTGCTTCTCTACTCTAAAGTCTGTGTGTCGAGGGACGTGTCCATCGGCCGTGACGGGTACACGACGCCCTTTTCCCCGGGGTGGCCGCTCACGAACGAGCTGCAGAAAGGGAGAGAATTTGTGAAGTGAGTTTGCCAGGGGGGACCAACCGGGCTGTTTACAAGGTTGCTTTTCTGGTCTTAAAGGAGTGACTGTGCCGAGCGTTGGTTTCACAAGGTGCTACCACTATGCGACGTACGACCCTTGCCCCGGGCTACCTGACGAAAGAGCTGCAGAAAGGAGTCTGTGGTATGATTTGCCCGGGTGGACCAACCGGGCTGTTTACAAGATCGTAATGCTGGTTGTACTTCGTCCGTGGCGAGCGCCGTGTCCAGCAAGCGAGAACGAGCATACCCCTTTTCACCGGGGTAGCCGCTCACGGACGAGCTGCAGAGAAGAGCTTGTCACGTGATCCTGCCCGGGTGGACCAACCGGGCTGTTTACAAGGTCGTGTCTCTGGTCAGTCTTGTCCTGTCGAGGGAGGTGACCACCGGACGGGATGAGTACACCATAACCATTTTTTCGAGGTAGACGACACGAGGATACTCGCAGCAAGGGGGGTTTTCCAGCTAATATAAATTTCCGGATTGACAGACCGGGTGGTTTTTTAGTTGGTTCTGCAATCCGCTCAAAAGTTGCAGAACGCTACAAGTAACGATTTCGCCCGCCGGCTGATCCTTTAGCTTCTGCGGTCATAGCTTGACTATCAACCGACCGCCTTATGCAAGAATGTACATCGGCAACGATTGGTGAGACTATGCACTCTTATCGACCAACTGCTCTTTGATTCGAAAGAAAGGGAGAGAAAACACGCGAGCGCTGGCTGGCCTGGTTCCCTTTGGTGCCAGATGGAAGCGGACTTTCTACCGCAAGCCAGCCGAGCAGCTCTCATGCAGAAAAAGGCAAAAGCCGGCTTTCAACATCGCATTTTCTGAGGTTCGAGGCCTCGCCACAGACCAGAATGAGCCGACAGGACTCGTGGGAAGGCAACTCACTTCTTTCCGGGAAGCGGCTCCTGACGGAAGTACCTGCACGCGCAGTCCACAACCTTCGTCAAAGGACCAGACATCTGCAAGGCAGCTTCCTCATGCTAAAGCTCGTTGTCATTTTGTATTGCTGACGGCAAGTTGAAGGCTGCAATTGTTACTTCCACGAAAAAATTGCAATCAGATTTCACGTTGGGCTCGGACCGAGCTTGCACAGCTCGCTCAAAACGAGAACCTTGGACAGTTACGAGGCCTGAGATCCAGAAATCCCAGGACCTTTCACCATACCTTCATGCCCGTACCTACCCTAACGCCTAACATTAACCCGTTCGTCCCCCGGGCGCCTGATTGAAATCTCTTAGCTTTCAAGTTGTGAGGACAATCAACCAGTCCAGAATGGGTTACGTACTCGTGCTTAAGGGCCTGCTCGGCGGTCAGCCTCTTGGCGGGGTCGTACTCGAACATCTTCGTCAGCAGGTCGTAAGCGGCGGTCTTTGCGAAGTGCGCCGTCATGCTCGGCAGAAGCGGGTGGTCACTGCGAGAAAGAAGGATGGCGGGTTTGGTCTTGTTGCATGAAGGGGGTTCGGGAGGAGATCTGCCACGTGGAATCTCTCTTAATGTCAGGGGCTGTCTGAAAGTGAAAGCTGGGAGGGCTATGTGGCGACGAGAGAATGGAGGGAAGGCGCTGTTTGATCACAGGGAAGTGAGGGACAGAAACCGATTCAGGATCTTTGGTCAAAAGCCGTCTGATTCGCATTGCGAAAATAGCGCCTGACATATACCCAAGTAAGCACTGGCAGACTGCGTGTGACAGCATGACATAGGGGATGGGAGCGCAGACAAGAGATCACACGTTCTGGATGAGGGGTCAGATGCTGAGACGGGGATCGCGGCTGACAGGACCGACTGCACCTACTGCCGGTTACTGATCTGTAACAAAACTATCAGATTGGAGAGTACAAACAGGAAGGGTGTCGAGAAACACGTACTACTTCTTGTTCTGGATGGACTGCCGATTATGCTGCCAGTACGGGAGGTGCGCCAGGCCCGGCCACGTGTCAACAGACGGGGGACCTGTACGCAGGCGGCGAGGCGATCAGCAGAGGACTTTGCACCGCACTCACGTGGTACGTCTTGCCTCCGAATGAGTTTCATAATTTATGGACCGATTGTATCTTTGGATATAAAAACCAAGGTAGCAGAGTCTCGCAAAACATCATTTCAACTCTAAAGCAATGCCTGACCAGTGTTCACGCACCGTCTCGACACCGACTGCTTCGGGATACACGTTGGGAAAGCAGGAAGCAAGAGCTCCTGCCCCAACATTCGATGCAAAGGGGTTTGTCAACAATAACAAATCAAGAATAAACGCGCAGGCGCAAAATGCGTAATTGCCTCACCTAACACTTTGAGAATCTTTTCGATTTGGTCAATTCGGCAGGGCTTTGCACGCCCACTGTGAGTCACTCAACACAACGTGGAACGACGCAAGGAAAGGACCGTATAGTGACATGCATCGCTACCTAGGACCTTGAGAATCTTGTCGATCTGGTCGACTGAAAGGGGTTGTGAACGCTCCTATCCAGCTCTGACAATGCTTCCTCGCTCTCGCCACTCGAGACTACTTTGAGAGAAAAGGAGGACTTGATGACAACTGTCTTTGCCTAGGACCGTGAAGAACTCGAATGACAATGATCACCTAGACTTTAAAGATCTTGTCAATCTGGTCGATCTGGAACGGGCTGTGCATGCTTTCCCGCTCCTAAGGATTCTTTGCCGTGCCCAGTGCCAGTCATTCGCTACTACGCTGAACAGCAGAAGAGAAACGGAATAATTTTGCTTTTAAGTAGGGCCCTAAAAAGAGGATTGAATGCCTTCGACCATTACCTAGGACCTTGAAGATCTTGTCGATCTGGTCGATCTGGAACGGGTTGTGCATGCCCTTGTCCTCGACCCCCTGGAAGAGCGGCTTGAGCGTCAGCAGCTCCGCAAAGATGCACCCCACCGCCCACACGTCCACCGCCGGCGTGTAGTGCTTCGCGCCCAGCAGCAAATCCGGCGAGCGGTACCATACCGTCACCACCACCTGCCGAAATAGGGACCGGGTTTGCTTGGTGTCTTCATTCTTGAGTCTTACGAGGCCCGCTGCAACTTATTACTTGCCTTTGTGTCCGGGTGGAAGTCCTCGACAATGAAAAGGAGAGTATTGCAATTGTTTGTGCCCCGCAGCATATCGGGCGAACGGTACCAAACCGTCACCACAAACAGGGACCGCGTCACTCTCACCGTTCTCTTGGTCGCTCCTTGATAGAATAGTCATATTTTGGACTCTGGACTCACTTCACAAGTTCGGAAGTCCCAACAATTTGAGAATCAACTCCACGAGTCCCAAGCATGGCGGTAGTTGTTATTCACGAGTCCCGAACTGATCCTTACCAAACTTCTCGCAATACTTGTGAGAGTGCTTTGGCGGGAGACTCCTTCGATTCAGACTGACCGGAATACCCGTTGCCTTCAGGACTTTCTTGCCTTCCCATCCGACCAGGCTTTATTGTCCGGAACTACTGCAGCCGTTACAAAGAAGCAGTATCACAAAGCAAAACTTTCTGTTCGGCGGTCTCGAATCTCTGCACGGGCCGCTGACGTGACCTCCTTGCGAGTCCTAAAAGATCCGCTGCAGCTTAACCTTCATTTCTGTGTCCCAGTACGTTAAAAATCCGATCGGAAGGGAATCTGTTGGGGTTTTCAAATCGAGCAGCGGGTCCGGCATGCGGTACCGCACCGTCACAGTGTACTGGCAAAATCGAGACCACATTGTTCTGACGTTTGCTTCGAATGGACCTACGGATAAGTCCAAGACTTGACGCAACTCCAGTTGAATCTTCAGAATCCCTGAAAAGTCAAAAAGCAAAAGGTTCAAAGAGCTTTAAAAGGTTTGAAGTGGTCCACAGCACCTTGCGCTCGACTGCACAGGTCAGCCGGCCGTAAGCACAGCCACCAACTCTTTAACGAACTCCAAGAACGAGTACGCGCTGCTAGGAGACTTCGAAGGGGGATTTAAGGTCATGACGAACATCATTGCGCAGGTCGATTCAGGAACCATTTTTCGAGACCCTAGTTATGTAAAGACGGAGTGACCACAGGTGTAGATCTCTTTGTAAAGTAAGGCGCGGTCAAAGTTGCTATTACTTTAGGTAGACCTTGACATTAACATGTATTGCATATACGGAAGCTGCTCGCAAACTTTTTCAAAAACTTAAAGGTTTGAAGTAGTATTGCGGCACTTGGAGTATGACCGTTTACAACCTGATCTTAATCAAGTATTGGGGTTCAGACTCTGCCAAGACACTTCAGGTGTAAGAACGTCTCACCCCGTTGTCTGAGAGCGGCTTGAGCGGCGCCTGGTAGATGCGCGCCAGGCCAAAGTCGCCCAGCTTCACGACGCCCGCCTCGTCCCCCTCCCGCATCACCAGAATGTTGGACGGCTTAAGGTCCCGGTGGATGATCCAATTGCTGCAGGCGACCGACTTTGGGGGTTTCTAAATAAAAGTCGATCAAGACACGTGCGGCCTTCGACAGCAAGGCCGCAGAAGACGTCTTGGCCGTGCTTGGTTGGGATCTAGGCATTTCATCTTGAAGGTTTGCGCTAACCTTGTTGAAAAGTCAAGGACAGTGTGGCTTTTGAGTCGGACAGAGAGGCACAGTCTCATTGGTCAAACCTGGCAGCCAGATTTTGAGCGCTCTGCAATGTCTAAGTGGGCCATCTCATGAAGAACGAACTACCTGGGGCGGCTTCCACATACATATAAACTGGTTCCTCTTGTCACTGCCAAACCTTTCTTCACAATGTCCGACAATTCCTTGTTGCTCATCTGCTTTGATAGATGACCTACCTGTGCAGATAGTGGAGCCCATTGAGGATCTGCCACATGAGGGACTTGACTGTGTACGGACTGATGGCATACTGGAGCTTCTCACGGTGGAAGCGGATGATCTCCTGCGGGGCAGACTGGGTCCCGTGACTCCTCGGAGGGCGGGCCAGAAAGTTTCAAAAGAGTTTCATACAAGCGGTGGAAGAAGAGCGATGGGAGGAGCTTTAGAGTGGTTCCAATCAGAATTCTCCATCTGCAAGAGCTTGGAACTTCGACTGGATCGGATGTCTCATCACAGTTTGTCGCAGTCCTTACCAACCAGAACCTTGAGCACGGCAGGGGGGGTTTCTTTAGAGGCTTGCTTTCTGCCGCACCAGAAGGTTACATGGTTGACCAGATCAGTTTCTCCTCCCAGCCTCCATGTCGCTCAACTGACGACCGAAGTGTGTGTTAGCCAGGTATCCAGGACGCCAGACAATCTTTTCTCATAAACACAATCACATCAAGCGACCCAGAATGGATCTGATGCGGTGTATAAAACGTACATAGAGGTCGTACTCGGCATAGTCAAACGCCAGGTAGAGTGACGCGTCCGCGTGGTTGATGTGAACATTTACCAGCTTGACAATGTTCTCGTGGCAGCATTCTCGCAGGAGCATGATCTCTCTGCACACAAAAGCAGCTTTTGTTGCTTGATCAGTTACATATTGGGCAACTAGTTTGCTGGTGAGTGAGAATTGTTCTGCCCGTAGAAGAAGACCCAACTCATTCTGGTCCTAGTTGCTCATAGTTGTTCCTGAAGAGAGGACCGATGACCATTTGTCATTGGGCTCAAGTCTCCCGATTCTTACATACGCTGGGGGCTCACTGAGCATTAAGAGTTTGCAGCGTACAAAGTCAAATAGCTTCTTGAAATCCGGTGCATGAGGTGGTCGAGGAGCCGGAGAAGAGGCAACTTCAGCTCCTTTTTGGGATGAAGAAAGCCCGCTTCATCTGCTTCTGGTTTCCACTAGGACTGAGGCGTCTCAACATGACCAGCGGCTACATCATCAGTGCGATGCAGGAGAGCTGGCCATTGTGAAAAGCGTCAAAGCTCACCGTATAGCGGTCGGGGATACCCCGTCCCCATCCTTGGACGGCTTGAACTTCTTAATTGCCAGCTTGTAGCCCTGCGCTTTGTCTTTGACTCGCACCAGATAGACGAGGCCGTAGGTCCCTTCTCCAATCTTCCCCACCACTTCGTACAAGTCCCACCAGGAGGGGCGCGCTACGGCCTTCGCCCTAGCGGCGCTGCTGGCCGTGCCGCCTCCTGACCTGTCCATTCTCAGAAGGTGTGCTCAGGGAATTCTTCATGTAGGAATCGCCTGGTGGCCAAGTTGTTCCTGACAATGCTGGGCCATGACATAATTCCATCAACGTAGCCGTGGGCCACCAGTTTCCATTGCAGCCAACAACGAGAAACGTTGGACAGCGTTCAGAGGCGCCTTTCAAAGGCTTTCCCAGCTCTGCAGCTTTGTGTCTATTGGTGCTCCAACGTTGTCATTGTTTGTCCAATGCGGGCTGCCATTTTCGCGTGGCCACCGACTGCCACCGACCGCAAAGATGGCGGTGTCCTTCGCTCGAATGCCGCGCCCGAGGAACTTACGACGCGCACTGCAGTCTGCAGTGCTGATGTCAGTCGCTGGTGTCGTTTTTCTGGCCTCTCGACCGTCGATTGAAATGTTTGTGTGCTCAGAAAGGCCTTCCCCACCGTCGATAAAACCTCCCAGAGCATCGAAAACTGCGGCAAAACTTTCGAAGTTATACAGCCCTTCATGGAACCTGCTTTTGCGGGGGGGAGTCGTTCGGATAAAGAGGAGTCTCACAGTCCCCCCCTTCGCAGAAAACTTCTTCTGTTGTCATATACCTATACCCATGTGTGCAGCTCTGGGTACAGGATGTAGACGTCAGCAAATGCACAGGACTGGTTTCTCTTGCACTCACGAGTCTTCGCAGGCAAGAAGAAAGCGACCTTTCCCAAAAGCACTGGGGCGTCAGTGACCATCCTTCCTTCAGACAGTGACAGACCTTTTCTGGTTCCAGTTCAGTTCAGCCAAACAACACCGAGTGTGGCGCAGGCGGTCTGCACCATTTGTTTCTGCCACACGTCAGAGCTTTCGCCTTGAAAGAGCTAAGGATTTTCCAAGATGGGGTTCCAAAAGCCGACCAAGAAGAGAAAGAGCAAGAGCTCCAAGCGGAAGGATGGGAGCCAGTCAACTACACCAGGGACTGTAAGCGGGCAAAACTCTGTTGGTGGTGAGTGCTCACATTTCACTGTTGTTTTGTTCATCTACTGACCTCGACTAAGGGAGCGCTCCTGACATGAGTCTGTGAGGCTCATAGAGTAGGTCAATTTGAAAACCCTTACCAGAGTGTCATGTAGACAAGCCTGTGAGCATTCTCCGGCTAGTGAAGACTCCTACTCCAGGAAGAGCAAGGCAGTCATGTGTAGAACCTTAGGAGCCATGGTTTTGAGGAGCTCCAGGGACAACAATGTGCAGTATATAATCTGAGAGCGCGTCGTGCCCTATGTTGTCTTTTTCTTGGTTCCCTCTCTCAGCTTTAACGACTTGGCTGTGCTGTAGAGAGGAGGGTTCACAAGAAATGTTGAGACTTTGCTTCACGCAAGGACTGAAGTGCAGCCGAAAGAAGTCAATGCGTCTGTTTCGAAAAGGTGGACTGAAGGCAATGCCACTTTTAAGAAGTTGCACCAGGATCAGTCATGTAAATTCTGGTATATATTTGGAGCCCTTGTTATGCTCCTCATCGCGAACCAATCGGGTCTTTCAGAACCGGATGGCTTTGAAGGTGCCGTGGTCACCTTTTACTTTTCGCCTCAAATACCTTTGTACCTTATGTTGCCACTGGCGGACGATAAAAAACGCACAATATTGTTATGCCCGTAAGGTCAAGCGCTCGTATGATACTGAAATATATGGTCATTGACCATCACTTCTTTCAGGCATCATAGGCTCAGCCGAATCACCTGGCAGATGGATATTGCATTCACAAAGTTTCTGGGGCCTTGTTGACACATCTACAAGGATCGAATACTGGTTCACAAGGTGTTGTTTCGCCTGGATGCAAGCCACTTAAGGATAACCTCGTGATGCACTGTCTTCTCATTTTCACTCTTGATCGATTGTGTTTCAGGACAGGGGTCTAGAGCATTATCGGCAGGTGGTTCTGGACGAACCAGACTCCTACGAAAAGTCTCTTGTGCTCTTGTGGCATATGGAGCAACTGTGTATCACGTTTTAAAAGACCTGAAACTTATTGGTCAAGAGGCCAGTGAGGGCTCGAGATTCCTTTTCTATCCTGCGTGCTGATTTCCCTGGCTTTGTGCTTTTTCCCAGAAAATCTCAACTCCTTAATGTGGAACCGAAGAATTGTGATTCCCGCAGGCTCTGTCGACAACAGCGACACCGAGCTGGAGGTCGAGGCCCGCCCTTCCATTCTGGGGGGTTCTTCTTCCCAGGGGGCCGCCTCTTCCGGACTCCCCCCTACCGCGCAGCAGAAGCGGGCTGGGCAGGCCCTCCAGGACGCGGTCGAAAAGACGTTTGGAAAGTCACCGTCCCCTGAGGAGGCCTCTGGTGTGAGTGGGCCCAGCGCTGGTGTAAGTGGGTCCGGTTCAAGTGCCAGCGAAGCCACGCTGACCAAAAGCAAGTCGGAGAGGAAGAAAAAGACGACCATGATGGAGGGAGGAGAGGCTGCTGCTAGTTGGCTGGCTGGGGCCACTGGCACGAGCGAGGTGCGTGTGGGGGCTGCTGATGTCAGCGCTGTGAAGCCGAAGTTGGAGAAGGGCGACGTTGGGGCAAGCTCTCAGAAGCGCGAGGAGCTGAAAGAGCGTATGGAGAAGCTGAAACTAGAAAGGGCCGAAAGTGTGAAGAAGGAAAAGGAAGCAAAGGAGAAGCTGGCGAGTGAGGAGACGGCGCGGAAAGAAGCAGAGGAGAAGAAGGAAGCGGAGGCGGCTGCTAGAGAGGCGGCCGAGAAAGAGTTGGCTGAGAAGCAGGAGAGGGAAAGAGCAATGAAGGAAGAAGAGGAGAGGGCTGCACACGAGGCGGCGCTGAAGAGGGAAGCGGAAGAGAAAGCGAAGCGAGAAGAGGAGGAACGGGCTGCAAGAATTGCAGCAGAGGAGAAAGCAAGGGCGGAAAGGGAGGCAGCCGCCAAAGCTGCGGAGGAAAAAGCGAGGGTCGAGAGGGAGGAGGCAGAGAGGAAGGCTGCCGAAGAGAAGGCGAGAGAAGAGAGGAAAAGGGCGGAGAACGAGGCTGAGATGAAGAAAGCTGCGGAGGAGAAAGCGCGAAAAGAAGCTGAGGCGGAAGCTGCGAGGGTCGCAGCCGACGAGAAGGCGAAGAGGGAAGCCGAGGAAAAAGCTCGGGGGGAGAGAGAGGCGGCAGCGAAGAAAACGCAAGAGGAGAAGGCGAGACGGGAAGCCGAAGAGAAAGCGGAACGGGAGGCCGCTGCAAAGAGGGCTGCTGAAGCGAGTGCGAAAGAGGATGCGGAAAAGAAGGCGAAGGCGGAAACGGAGATGAAAGCGGCTGCCGCGCAAACTGCGGAGAGGGCGAGAGAGGAGAAGCTCGCGTTTGAGAGCTCTCCCATCGAGGAAGAAGCCGTGCGAAACAGCGCAAAGGGTTCGGAAAGAGCGCCGACGCCGGAACCCCAGGTGGGGACAGACGTAGGGGCAGTGCACGTGGCTGAAATCAGCATCGCTGAGGAGAAGGGGACTGAGGAGAGACACGCGTTTGAGAGGGCGGCAATCGAGGAGGAAGCCGCGAGAAAGAGCGCAAAGTGTGCAGACCCCGCGCCACCGTCGGCTGCTGCGGGATCAGCTGTGAAGCTTACCGCGAAAACAGGCGTAGAGAACGTTCTGGCACGTGTTGCACAGAACGTGAACGGAACACCCGATGATTCGGTTGCACTTGAGACATCGGCGTCTAGCGATGTTGCAAAGACGGGGCCGGTAGAGTCCGTGGACAAAGCCGCAGCGAGCCACATGGCAGCAAATGGACACGTGGCAACGAACGGAGATGCGAATGGCGGGGTAGCAGCGGAGAAAAGCGCGCCGGCGTCTGTGGGGGCTGTGCCTGCTGCCACTGGGCAGCCCGCTGAGGAAGGCAGGGATGAGCGCGTGGGAGCCAGGCCGACAGGCGAGGATGCGGATGGGCCGACCCCAGTCAAGGGCTGCTGCGTGATCCTTTAGGCCTGCTCTAGATGCACGTAACCAAGTTGAGAAGTGCGTGTCGTTTTGGTGAACTGTTCTTGCGTTTAAGGAGCGAGTCGCTTCCGGTTCAGTGTTGGTGTTGCTTACTTTGACGGTGCATGGTGATATGGTGGGCAGACGTTTGTTTTACTGGAGCTCGACTTCTGTGAGGACTGTGAGAACGTCAAAAAGTTGGAAATGGACAATTGACTACAGTAGTTCCTAAAGCCATCCTGCGAGACACGAGCTGAGGTCTTGTTTCAGGAGTTGCTTGCTTTGTTGGCCCCTTAAAGATAGTCCTAGATAAGGTAGGAATGTCGCTTTGCAGCGCGTCGCCCTTCTCCTAGAAAAGATTACGAGCAGCAACATAGCGCACCTGCTACCAATGGCATAAAGGCTTGAGCGCAACAGTAGGCCAGCAGTAAGCTTGAGCGCAAAGCGTGATACCCGGGCAGTGTAGACCTTGCAGCGCTAGGATTGCTCTCGGCTCAGCTTGTTTGTTCGCATACCATTGACATATCACGAAATGTAACAAGTTCTGAAGATCTGCATGGTCATTCCATACAGCATATGAACACTTGGAGCGCAAGGGTGGACGTGCACTGGTGCGCTTGTGCAGTCAATGATTGTATCGGGTTAATTATAAACTTAGCAATATGTATGATCTGTCGTGCGCTGCAATGCAGTGGCGCCATGTTGCAGTATGTTAAGCACAGACAGCTTGTGTATTGCACCGGCACGGCGTATATGTTGGCGGCCGCGCCTGCCGCCATGACATATTGGCATAAAGGTATACGTAGCTAGGCTAGGTTTATTGCATGACGTACCTAGCTACGTACTATAAGTCGGTCATGCATCGCGATTTTAGGTTGGTAATCCATGCCGTCTAGAAGGCGGCCCAGCCACAAATACGATTGCGTGCCATATATGATACACTGATATGTGCCATATATCAGTGTGCGACATGACACGCTTATACTTCTTGCGCCTATGTTCGGATGCATCATGCATCATATCCGAGCCGACACAAGTGAAGCTTCAAACCGAAGTTGCGACCACGAGTATTGCTGAGTCGTTTGTGTCACCCTGCACTTTATTCTGTACACTCTGAACCCACACAACGTTCCATGCAGAAAAGCAACGCTACTCAGCGAAATTGTCCTGTCATTCTAACCGGAGCATCGTGATCTCCTGCTGCTTGAAGTACCGTCGCTCCTCCTCGTCCACGAGAACTAGGTTGATGTAGTATTTGACGCTGAACTTGTTGTTGATGTTGCGGTACGTGGGCGTGAGGTCGTAGGGGCTGAGGAACAATCGGATGGGGATGGACTCGCCTGCACAAACAGAACCTTTCAATTGGTTTCGACAAAAGTTCGGACGACGGTTCGTCAGCGCAGATCGCCAAGCTACATGACCCATCTGTCCTCGATCGAAACGTGAAGTCTCCATCAGACGTCGAATACAAGGCACAGCCCGGTTGACGGCCACGTCAGCTCAAATCAATCTGCGAAATTGCCATGTGTGCGCCCACCGGATGGGATGTAACCTCTCCATCAGAAGTTGGAGGCCAATGATGGCTTCGACACCTTAAAAGCAGAGCTGAAGTGCGTGTCACCCGCGCCAATTCTTTTGACCAAAACATATTTAGAAGCATCATCTGCCACAGAATTTCATTACTCCCGATCAGCAACCGGTATCGACACGAGCACAGGTGTCCAGTGAGCTCGTATCCACATGACCCTGTCGCTTTCTCATCGAAAATCCTTTGAAGCGGTCATTTTGAGTGACACAGCGACAACACTTTCAATCATAATGGCAGCAGGCCGCACCCGGTGAGCGCTCCGCTTTCCGATCGGGGACTTTGATATACTTTGAAAGGAAGAACCAATATGAACGAGTACCCCTTTCAGTACCACTCCACCTTTGACTTCGTGCGAGCCAGATTTGCGCCACCAGTCGGAGTAATCAGCAAACCGACTTAAAAAACATCTCTGATATAAACTCTTCGACTCCGCTGCGGACGTTTACTCCCATAAGCGCCCACCTCTGACGGGCGCGCCGTCCATGATCTCGTACTTGGCGAGCGTCTCGCTCTCGTTGTACGTGTTGGGCCCTGAGCCGGTGGACTCTCGCCGCCGGATCTCGAGCTCCATGTGCTTGATCTTTATTCGCACCAGCAAGAAGTAAATTTTGCCCACGATCACGTCCTTCAGGTGGTACCTGCACGAGAGTAAGAACTACGATTAAACTAGATTACAGTCGGAATAGCGATTTGCGGTCGGGTTCGTGTTGAGATGGTTCCTCGTTCGCGTTAAGATGATTCCTGGAATGGTCTTTATCCGCACCAGCAAGAAGTAGATTTTGCCCACGATCACGTCCTTCAGGTGGTACTTGCAGGGGAGTAAGGTTTGAAATCGACATAAGGTTGCGTTGCAGTTGAAAGCGATTTGCATACACTTCCACGATAGCTTAAAACGTATCACGTGCCAGCAAGAATTAGATTTTGCCGACAATCACGTCGTTCAGGTGGTACTACGCGAGAGTAAGGGTTAAATTTCATATGAATCCAGATTGTGAAGGCGTTATGCGTTGTCCCCCCCCCAAATGTAACGTAAAATCTCTGTCACATACCAGCAAGAAACAGCTTATGCGCACAATCACAGCCTCCAGGTGATACATGTGCAGGCGCAAGTGGTAGGGTTGAGGTAGGTGTGGTCAGATTCGTCGTCTGCGGTTGGATTCGCGTTTGAACGATTTGAGTCTACTTCCATTCGCACCAGCAAGGAAACAAATTGCTCCCCTATCACGTCGTTTAGGTGATCTATCCGCAGAATGAGCTGTTGGGTTCTGACTTCCGCTCGGTTCGGCTCTGGAGTTTTCAAGTTTGGGGTTCGCTGCGTCTGGGTTTGACTTTGGTTCAATAAGCTATCAAAGCTTCAAATAAGTGGCACTATCCAATCTGCTGCATGCTGGATGCCCCACATCACTTCGATGATGAGAGAGAAGGGGGCGTCCAACCTTTCAAATGCGCGCTGGGTTTGACACACTCACAGCCCCTGATGTGCGACCACAGCCAGGCTGCGGTGTTATTTAACGAACATTCGAAAGCCTTTAGGTTTGTTGCCTATTACAGAAACGTTTGAAGACTCTCCAGATGGATTTAGAGACTTAGAAGAGAGACCACTTGGGAGCGCTCACTTGGTTATGCTGTACTCAAACTCAGTATGCCGTATTATCCATGAACATTCGAGGATTGACTCAATTTTGCTGAAAGCAACATCGACGTTTGGAGGCCTCCACTTGGGATTAAGAAGGCGTTCGGGAGCGCTCACTTGGCTTTGCTGTACTCAAACTCGATGTGCAGGCAGTCCTCGATCCCGACCTCCATTTTGATGCTGTTGTTGATCTCGGGCGGCGGCGACATGTTGCGCACCTAAAAGAGAAGTCAAGCCAAATATTATGCACGGTTGTCTGTCAATGCCCTTGCGTGGCATTTCCCTGAAGCATGATACGGATTGCTTGCTTCGAAGAAGAAAAACGGGAACCTCGAAGCACCGACGCCATGCAACGCACGATGTACCTCTTCGCAGTACTGACTCGGGCAGGCTTGAACAGGTGCAACATCATATGTCACGAAAATCACCTCAGGCGACGAGCTGCTTACGAGCCCCTCACCCCAAAGTCCTTCTTATTGAGTATTGAAACCAAAGAGTGAGAATTTGTCACCTCAACGACTGACCCGATCACTTCCGTACGCAAGCTCCCAGAGCAATAGCCTTGTGCGCACGTGCGCACAATTCTCTCAATTCAGGCCACGTTTCCAGAAAGCGCAGTAGCGTATCGCACGCTTTCTCACGATCTTCTTCCCCTTGGCTAATCCTTCTATAGACATATCTTTGGCGTGTTCATGCTCTCCACATCAGACGGCTTCACAATCACTACGTACAGAAAACTACCTCGTACTCTCAAAAAAAGAAAAAAGAAAGAAATAGATAGCCAGTTAACAAATATAATTTTCAAACGATACATGGCAGTGGAAGGCGAGCAAGCGCGCCCTCATCCCGAAATTCCTTCTCATCTGCATGCGCCGGGATATATGAACCCAATTGATCTACAAAGCGCAGGAATGACTGACAAAACGCATTTTCCGAGAACGCGCGCCTCACCCAAAAGTCCTTCTCCTTGACGATGTTGGCCGCGTAGCTCCGGCTGATCGTGACCTTGAGGATATACCGCAGGCGCACGTTGACCCCGTTGTACGATTCGTACTGCATCTCGACGTTGGAGAACTCGAAGCCGAACGTCTTGCGGTCCTTGATCTCGCCCGGCACGTCGAGCTCGCGCACGAGCGACGTGAAGTCGTAAAAGTTGCCGCGGTCGAAGTAGAGCTCGATCTGGCCCAGCAGCTCGATCTTGATGCCCGTGTGCTCCACCTTCTTTCCGGGCAGGGGGTCGATTTGCACCTGGAGATTGGGAGGGGGGGAACGATTAGAACCCGGTAGCTCGGAGGAGGAGCAATGTACCTAAGATATGGTCTGAAGTAAGAGCTTGATCTGGTTCAGAAGCTCGATAATAATGCCCGTGTGCTCGACCTTCTTGCCGGGGAGGGGGTCAATTTGCACCTAAAAAGCCGGGGGGCGAAACAGGCGTGAGATCCCGGATCCGCCAGGCAGGAAATATCTACACTCGAGGATGGGAACACATGGTTCTGTGATGACTGCGATAAGTAGAGCCTGATCACTCCCAGCAGCTCAATCTTTGATGCCCGTGTGCTCGACCTTCCTGCAGGGCACCGGGTTGGTTTGCATGAGGCCGAAACGGGGGTGAGATCCCGGATCCCCGGGTAGGAGCTTTTGCTCCTGAGTAGGGAAAGGAGTGCATTCTCGGTTCAGATCCCGACAGCTAGATCTTATTACCCGGGTGCTTGATTTCGTTCCCAGGCAGGGGGTTGACTTTTAGGGTTTTAGGGTTTAGGGTTTTAGGGTTTTAGGGTTCAATCGCGATTCATCAGAGGATCTGTGTCGTGGAACGCATAAGGAACTCAGTTTTCCCAAGTTCAACCTCGATTCGAGTGCCCTTCTTTTCCTCGATCAAGGTCGAGCTGCATCTCGAGAATAGGACCAAAAAGGTAGCAGGAACTGGCTTTGAAGAGACTCGAGTCGACCTCGAGCGCTCATTGGTAGCCGCATGTGCTCGACTCTCCTTCCATGCGGAGACTCATTTTTTGACAAAAGCCACAGCTGAGATTGTCAGTGGAAAATGGAGGTGAAATAGATGGCTGTTTGGCACAGCAGCTCATTCAGCTCATTCATGTTGGCCACGTCCTTACAGCACAGATTCCAAAAGGGCCCAGTCTCTTTGTTTAAAGGCAAAAGGCGGGGCAACTGCGAGGCAATGGTGAGGCGTACAAAGTCACATTCCTGGACGACACCTTCTGTTGCAAGGATGAGCCCATTATGGTTGCTTCGGAGACTTTATGTAGTAACTCTTCCTATCGGGATCTAGTTTACGAGAATGTTGCCCCAGCTTGGCCCGACCGTGCCAGTGCTGCAAGCTCAGATTGGCGGACGGTTTTATGCAGCTTGTGAAATACTTTGAACTCTGCGGCCAATGGTTTGGCAAGCAAACTTGTCACTGCCAAACAACTCATGCTTCTTCAAGCCCAAGTGTAAGAAGACAATTGCAAAGCAACAATCACCATAGTCTGCAAAGTGCCCATCGAAAACACCAATAGATGAGTAAGGTGCCTCACTACAGAAGTGTCGACCCAAGTGCTAATTTGACTTTTCAGCCAAATGCTCCAACGCTGCGATCGAAGCCCACTGCACCTGCTTCTGAAACCGTGAAAACTCCAGTAAAACAAATTAACCTGTTCTGGGTATTTATCAAAGAAAGACTAAGAAGTTCTTAAAGAGCAGCTTACCTCGCCGGCGACCGTCTCCTGCCCTGAAAAGAGCGCCACCAGCTCGGTGGTGCCGTTCTCCTTCTTCACGGTGGTAGTCTTCCGCGTGTCCCCGTCCGCAAACGTTATATTCACAGTGCAGGGGGGCCCAGCAAGGCCGATCAGGTAGTTCTGGAAGAGGTTGTAGACACCGGTTAGTCAAGGAGTCATCTGATTTAAAATGAGTTGATCCAGGCTTCGGGAACGTGATTGAGATGACATTGAGGATCTCCGATGTCAAAAGCCTGAGTGGTGCATTTGAGTCCATCGCCAGTGCAGACGACTAGGCTCACAAAGCGTACCGGCCATTCTCTGTCTTTCGTGTGCTAAGCAACCTTCTGTATCACCACTCGAGCTCTGATTGAGCATTAGGGTGCCTTTGCTGGTCAGACTTCCTGGCCTCCAGGATTTGTCTTGACTACTATCATGTGTCAAAGATTGAGTCCCAAAAAGACCAATATGTCAAGGCTGCCCATGTCAAGCCAGCGAAATTGATGAGAGGATTGTCAAACTGTAAGCAAAGCCCCCAAGAGGATTCTCAAATGAGTAGGAAACAAGGCTGAACGCAATCAGATAAGAACCTCATTACAGCTAAAGATAAGAACCTCATTACAGCTAAGAAGAGCTGGTGTAGCATCTGGCGAGAAGAACCAAGAAAGCTCACCATCTTTGCGGGATCAAGGAATCGCAATCCTGCCCGGGCTTTCAATGCAGCTTTCCTTTTGCACTTCCCCTCCCTCTAACTCTTTTCAGCTTGAAACTCTGGGCTGTGATCAACGTGGAGCTCCAGCAATTGCTCCTGTTGAAAGTTGTCTAACTTGCTGATTACTCAGCAACTCAAAGGAGTCAACCGGTGATTCAATCCGGCTTAGAAATGTCTCCAATCGGCTTTTGTGCACCGAGGCTGCGTGGACGATGAACTACATAGATTGATCTTCTGCGCAACTTTGAAAGATTGAAAGGATGCTTTCAAAGGCAACATGGGGCGCTTCAAACCTGCCAAAGCCAGAACTAAAGCAAAGTGAGAACAAGCTTGTTTAGATGTATCTACATGTGATCCTGCAGACGTGGTTAAGCTTAGCTGGGGTATGTAACCGCACGCGTAACCGATGACACTAACCTACCCTATAGAGGGTGTGAGGCTGGATTACGTTATATAGCGGCAAACTTAACCGTTCTAGCGGTTGTAGGAGGGAAAACCTTCTCGAACCTAGGTTAAGCGAATATAACTTGGTGTTCGCTTTGCCTCTGCTTTTGATGGGTGGCTAATGTCATTGAACTCGAACCCTGAAGAGGGCAGGTGTTGGACGCTGTCACAGTGACTGTAACAGTCACACTTTCAGCATCTCTAGAGTCTAGGCTCTGCATTCTCGATTAATCCGGTCGCGGGGTTCATACAGAACTTTTATCACCACAACAGGAAGGGGAGAATGGCGGCGAGCTCGCTTGGAATGCTCCGGTGCGCGAAGGTGGTGGGAACAGCGCGGGTGCTCTCGGGAGACGCTTGCGAGATGCGCAGGCCCGTTGCGGAGTGCTCAGCCACGCACCAGCGAGCAAGGTGCGCCTTTCCAACGCAGGGCAGGAACCGCGCTTTGCATGTGCACCTCTCGCTGGGACTGATGGTTGTTTTGGCAGCCGGAGAAGGAGTTCGAGGCGATGCTCAACTTTTCAGGTTCAAACAGAAACCGGAGTTTACCTCCGGTTGAGGTACTTCTCATGTTGGTAGTGAGAGGTGCTTGATTGTCCTGGTCCTGTATCCTGGAGGAGTTCAAACATTTACCTGCGGCCGAGGCAGGGGGTGAAAAAGTTGAGCAAAATGGTGACCATTTGCACCTGCGATTCATTTGTTACAGGAGGCGGCCATCTGCGAGCGCTTTGGTGGTGCCTGGATTTGCAGGATTGCGCAGCTCTGCAGCAGGTGGGTTTGAATCTCAGCGTCAGCAGCCCCATATTGGCTCCCCCTGCCATGTTGTGTGAAACTGCTGTGCCTGAACCTGCATCCCCTGGCGTAGTGAGAGGGCAGTCTTAGGTGGTTCCCCGTTACGACGCCCCTTTTCGACACCCACCTTGAAGTACACAAGACCAGAACAAACAGTGGGCCTTAGTAGTAGGCATCTTTGTCACTGTACTCCAGTTATTGCCATTTGTTATGGTTCTTGATATGTGTACGGATAGTCTGACTACTGTCCTCTGAGCAGGTGTGGTTGGGCGCCCCTGCGAAGACTTGAACGGCAAGCTGCACCAGACTGTGCAGACTGCCGTCCATGCAAGGTGAGTGGGCATCGATGCGCAGCTGAGACTTGCAGTCAGCAGCTTCATGTATCTTTGGTTGATGGTGGTGGTGGCCCAGTTGATCTCGGGCTCTGCTTCTTAGATTTCTGACTCGCCGCTTTTAGCAGGCCGTACTTTTCTCCGACCAACTCGATCAAGCAAACTTAGTCTTCAACAAAAGTCAGCTCAATCTTTCTTTGTCCACCTTCTGTGCAGCGCTCGAAGCGGAGGCAGCAGAAAAGGTCCCGTCACTATGATGCCGATTGGCACTCCGAGGGTGCCGTACAGGACGCCCGGCGAAGGCGGCTGGCAGTGGGTTGACATTTGGAACGTTCTGGCAAGCTTCCCCAAAGTCCGCTCAATCTTGGGGCCCCACATCCTTTTATGAACACTGGATATCAGGCTTTGACAGCGTGCAAACTCTATTTGAGCTTTAGGAAGTTAGAGTACTGCTAATGTCAGCGGCGGCCACAGATTTGTTGGTTCGTTTGCAGCCACGTCGCAACACAGATGTCTCATTGCTGTGGTGTTATATATATCAGGGGAGGGCAGGCGACCTCTTGGACTGATTGTGTTTAGTCACTGCTCTGGGCTATTATTTGGCCTATTGTTCGCCAATGGAGCTTCCGGGTATCTAAATGTTGCAGATGCTGCTGCTCTTTTCTCTCCCCTCCTGTTCTTCCGCTGCTTAACCCTATACTCTCCTCATTCGTCCTCTCTCAGCATGAGCAGAAAGTAGTCCCACTTTTTCTGCTTGGCCGGCCTACGAGATTCGTATCTGATGTTCGCCGGACTTTTTTTGCGTAGAATGTGGCAACCGACTTAACCCGCTACATAGCAAACCCTTCAATCTGCGGCGCAGCGCTCACCTAAGCAATCGTTCTCCTCTCTCCTCTTGCGCGGTCGGAAAGGCAGTCCTTCAACCGGACATCCAGCGAGGGCTGCGCCAGTCAGACTATTACTTTGCTGCACCTCTTTTAATCTCCAAATGACACTTTGCCCCCAAAATTCCCTCTGCAAAGGCAATTTGTACTCCTTCTGCACACTCTTGGGAGCCCTTTCCTTTCTTTTCTACAACGCAGTCCATCTGACGGGGATGTCAGAGACTAGATTACAGCCACGTGTAAAGAATGATGAGTACAAACTTCCTGCAACGGCGCAGTTCCCTGTGAACAGCGTAAGTTTCCTGTGAACAGCGTAAAGGTTTTCCTTCTAGTTGGCAGGGTTGAGACTTTGAACGCCCCTTCTGTTGTGTGAGCAGTGGATCAAAGGCAATGTGTAAATCAGATTGTTGCACCTTCTTTCACAAACAGTGTCCTCCTAACAGTTATGGGAGCACTTTCGTCCATCGGCTAGTCCATCATTGAAGAGTCTTGCAGTCTGCCACCTGAATAGAGAACTGGAAACCTCTTTCCAGCGCGCACGATCTGTCCCTCAACGTTCTCATATCTGTTCCTTTTCTCCGCAGTACTGGGAGCCCAGTCTGTTCATCCTGCAGGTTTCGACGAAGATCTCGATTGCTATCTGTAGAAAACATACTCTCTTCCAGCGCACCCTTTCCTTTTGTCATACACTACTCTCATACCATACTCTGACTCTCCGCTATCGTGTCCAGTACTGGGAGCGCATCCTCTTCATCAGACAGTCCAACGACGAGTGCGGCAAATCCATCAATCGTCACTCCTCACAAAATTCAGAGGCTTTTCTTCTCGTTGCAGACCTTTTTGCAGACGTTTCACGTAGGTTCTCTCATTTTATCCTCTACCTGCAGTACCGGGAGCGCATTCTGTTCATCGGGCAGGCCATCGACGAGGAATTCCAACCAGCACTTGCGAACTGCCACAAGTAGCAACTAGTCTGTCCTTCCCGTTCCTAACCCTCTCACTTCCGAATAATCATACGTATCACTCCATCTTTCAGTACCGGGAGTGCATTTTGTTCATCGGGCAGGCCATCGACGAAAAGTTCGGCAATTTTTCAACTCCTCAAATATGCCGGAGGCTTTTTCTTATTGTCACAGAATTTCTTGCAGAGAGTTCATGTAAACACTCTCAGTTTAACCTCTTCCTTGCAGTATCGGGAGTGCATTTTGTTCATCAGGCAAGCCATCGACGAAGAGTTCGGCAACCAGACATTGTGAAGTGTCCTTCCCCGTTCCTAACCCTCCCATTTCCTAATAATCGTACGTATCGCTCCTCCTTTCAGTGTCGGGAGCGAATTTTCTTCGTCGGCCAGGCCATAGACCAAGAGTTCGACAATCAATCAAAAAACCTCCCAACAAAGAGCATCGAGGGCTGTTGCAAACTTGTAATGTCTCATTGGTTCCCTTCTTTCCTTTCTGCAGTACCGGGAGCGCATTTTGTTCGTCGGCCAGGCTATCGACGAAGAGTTCGGCAACCAGATCATCGCGACCATGCTGTACCTGGACAGCTTGGACGACAAGCCGCAGGTGCTCTACATCAACAGCCCGGGAGGCGAGATCTCACCCGCGCTCGCGATCTACGACACCATGACGTCACTCAAGAGCCAAGTCGGGACGGTGGCGTTCGGGCACGCCTGGTCGATCGCCGCGTTTCTGCTTGCCGCCGGGACGAAGGTCGGTGCCAAGACCTTGTTCGACTTCAATTATCTGTCTTTTCTCCGTTTATGTGCTCGTTTTGCATCAACTATTCTGTCTTTGTGACGTAGGAGTTGAAGGAGAGGCTTTCTGCCTGGCTTCCGAGTCGTTGACGTGGTCTGCTTGCTGACGAGCTCAAGAGAAGTCCGCTCAAGGAGCTCGCGCAGTCCCGGGTCTTGGCTCTGGTGCTCTGTTTTGGCGGAACCTGTCTGGCATGTGCAAGAAAATTGGCCTAAGGCCTTTTATTTGTGCATCTCGTGCCTGCTGCGCAAAGTATTAACACAAAAGCTGGCACAGTACCGTCCTAAAGACAACGGTTGCTGTGATTGCATACTCTGCAGGTGGGGCCGAAGTGCCTGCAAGTTTCTGCAACACCCTGCGCTATCTGTTTCTAACACGCCTGATCATGCCCGATCATAAAATCGTGTTTTTTGCTGAGTAGGGTACTTTGAAGGGGTCTAACTTCTGCTTTGTGGCAAGGGGTCCGATTGGCATGGGTGGCACTATTTCCGCTTCCAAAAATTGACGGATGTTTCAGACCACCGCCCCCTCCAGCCGGCTCATGTGAGCCCCTTAAAGTCCCACATGATTGTCTGGATTCCTTTAAGCAGACCGGGACGAAAGAATGATTGAGCGGCCGCCTCCCTTTTGCAGGGCCGGCGGAGCGCCCTCCCTCGAGCTCGGATCATGCTGCACCAGCCGTCAGGCGCGGCCCGAGGCAAGGCGTCGGACATCCAGAACGAGGCCCAAGAACTCATCCGGACGAAGCAGTACCTTTTCAACGTACTAGCGGAAAAGACGGGAAAGCCATACGAAGTGGTGAGCATTGGATTGCCGCCTTCTTAGTTGCTGCCTTCTCAAGAGTGGCCGTCGTTGATGACCATCTTGGAGCACGAAGCTTGGTGTTGCTCCTTGTTATGTGTTCTGCCTTCCAATGAACAAAAGTCGTTTTCTAGTACGTTCAGCTGCCGCAATCTGTTTGAGCGGACAGTTCCTGTCTTGTTTTTGTGTTTTATCGGCACTGAACGAGGCTGAATTTGGTGCAGGTTGAGAAGGATCTGAGCCGAGTAAAGTACCTAAACGTAGAGGAGGCTCAGGAGTACGGCATCATTGACAGGGTAATCAGGCCCAGAAGGCAACGTCTGATGCCGGATCAGTAACTTGTTCGGAAGCACAGTGGCACAACTGAAAGAGGATACTCGAAGGAGGATAGGTAAACACTGCCAGAACTAATTGGACCTGTTGATACTCCAAAGGGGACATGATAAAAGTGCTAGAAGGAACCGCCTTCTCCTGCTTCCTTGTCCCCTGCTTACAGCAGCCTACCATGTTGCACTTGTGGTTGTAAATCGCTGCCTCTGCGGAGCTTAGACGGTGACATTACTGTTGTCGTATACGAACGTGCAACTTCAACATGGTCTACAAGCGTCATCGATCGCCCCAGGCGACTCGACAATCAATCCTGTCTGAGCCCTTAAGAAACACAAGCGGGATTCTCTTCACAGGAGCTTTTGAACCTGGCCTTTCTGCTTTATGGAAGACTCAACAATGGGCCTTGTTTTTGTAATTCCAGCTTCTGGCAAGCAATACAAGTCTGCGCAGTTGCAGCTATGTGTGCTTGTCATGCATTCTGCCGCCCTCATCCTCAACTCAACAAGAGTGTGCACTAACAGCTAGTGTGATCGAGTGCTCAATGAGTTAAGTGTCCACAGAACCTAGATACGCTTTTCAAATTATAAAGATATCGATTAGCAATATTCAGCCGGATGCAAGACATGCATATACATGCGTGTACTAAGTCACTGAGCGGGCCGCCCGGCCGAGCGGCATCATGCTGCGCAGACATGGCACACGGCACATGGCGGCCAGCATGTCACGATCGTCCTCGATCCTGGCGCCCAATGCAATTCCCTTAATCGCACATGCTGTAGTGCGCATATATGCGGCCAGGCCAGTACAACTAAGTGATCGTGATTGAGAAACTGCCGCCGTCGGCGCGTCGTCATGTATTCATGCACTGAAGTTTCGGTTCCAATTATTTTGACCCCTAGGGTGTGTGAGTATACTATGTATTTGTTTGGGATGGCGCAAACAAGTGGCATGCACTGATGAATGCCTCCGGCACGTTGAGTCGCTGTGGCCCTGAAACATTATCGTGAGACAAGTAGAGCTCTTTGGTGACTAGGTGCTTGATATCAAAAATTTATTCCCTATAGATTGGGACCCATCATGCAGGGGTCCATTGTTGCCTGTCACTGTTTTCTGCACATGCAAGTTGTTGGATCTTTTCAGAATGCATAAAGCCAGAAAGCCATGGGGATAGCAGATTCAGCATCACTTATCATTTTTGGACGCTTTACATTCAGCCATGATGAAAGCATTAGTATGTGACCAGAGTAACGAGATCGTCAGCAACCGTTGTTGACAGGCTCAGGCTCTCAACCCAACCTGCCGCCTGCCGCGATCAGTAAGAAACATATCCATGTCCAATAAGACAAGATACCTTCAAAGTCCCGCGAGCTGTAAGCTGCAAGGTACTCGGATTCGATCCAACCAGATTCGAAAGTGACCTCAACAAACCTTCCGCGTCTATCTATGGTACCTATACAAGCTCAATCAAGTTCCCTCACGGAAGCTTGCTAGTGATGTCAAAAAGGGTGACTGCAGCAAAGACCAGGAATAAAGACCCTCCTGCATACCCGATGATCTTTGGAGAGATGTACCTGCTAAGTATTGAACCCCCAACTACTGCGAGCACAGTTGCAACACCATGACCGACCACCGCCCCACCGACAACCCCAAGCGGTGATCCTGCAGCTGCCAAAGCTATCGTCGAGAAGAAAGACTTGTCCCCCCATTCCGCCGCGAATACAAGCGCGAATGTAGCTGCTACAGTGCCAAAATCGAAACCCGACAGTGCTGCCGCCCCATCTCCAAAGGACGCTACCGCAGCTTCCGCGGACTCCTTCTCCTCGTCCCCATCGCCCTCTTCAGCTGTGTACGCGTCTTTCAGAGTGGACAGTCCAAAGTAGATCAGCAGAAGCACGGCGGCTACATCGTCTAGCGGAATCTCAGCCTCCCACGTCTTATCAAACGGAAGGGCCTCGTCAATGACGTGGAAGACTCGCCCCAGGATCACTGTGATGAACGTCATGACCGCAAGCGCCCCAAAGGTCCCGGCAAACACAGCCACCTTGTTCCGCTTCAGCGCGAGCAACACGGCAATGAAGAATGTTTTGTCGCCAATCTCAGAGAAGAAGATCAGGAGGAATGCGGACACAAAGCCCTCCCGCAGATTGCCGAGGTCCTCAAAGAGGTCAAAGCTGGCGGCGAGGTTCGATCCCAGGTTTGAGTTCAGTTCTGCGGCTACGGCGGGTTCCGTCGCGCCTCCAGCCAATAGGAGTGCAGCAAGGCCCAGGATCAAAGTGGTGGCAGCTTGACTGACTGGTTTTGTGCTCAGTTCTGAAGGTTGTCTTGTTCCAGCAACTGCCCTGCATTCTCTGTCCCCTATCTGGTCCCGAACTCCTGCAAGTTCAAACCTTTCGTTTGGTGTGCTCTTCACATTTGCAAGGGATTTGGCGCCTTGACACCGAGCTGGTGTGGTCCTTGTCAACTTCCTCGCTGATTGGTCTACCAGCGCGCTGGCCAACTTTGGGGACACCGGTCTGTTCGACCATCTTTTTCTGCTGGCTGGCTCTAAATCCCTGAGACAGCAATTGGCCGCTTGCCTAACAACCACCACGCCCGCCATGGCGCCCGCCAATCAGGAAGGCGGAGGAGCAAGGGCTCCTCCACTTGCTTGATGGTGGTGCCCTCCTCCCAGAGATCCCTCTATCCCTGAACAGCGCGCTCCTACAGCAATGACTTCACAGGAACAGCGGAATCCACCATCATCGACGTGCAAAAGTGAATCAGAAATTCATAGTATTAGTAATAGAAGAGCAATGCGAGCAGCCATGGCCGGTGTGCGCAGCAAGCTTTGGCAAACCCCCGTGGAACCCTTGCAGCTCCATTAGGCATCGCGCGACGGCTGCCCGCGCGCGGCGCGTCGATTGATCGACCGGACTCGACTGACGCGGGCCGTCAGACTCGGACAACACGTGGCAGCTGCAGAGTCTGCATGCAGACCTGAACAGTGAACTCGAGCTCAGGCTGAGGCCACCTTGCACTGATTTTTAGCGGCAGGACACAGCAGGACAAAAGAAGAAAACTCTTTTTTGGACTAACGTCGGGAAGCGCCCTGATCCTTCTTTCTCTTTCATTCGGTCCAGACACCAGTTGAGGAAGTAGAAAGGAAGGAGACAACATGGCGTCGCATAAGGCTACGCACGGGCAGGATGAGAAGGTCATCAGCGGAAAACCACCCAGTGTTTCGGAAGGCGACTATCTGAAGGAGTATGACATTCCTGCGAGACCAAGGGTGAGCCAAGCGTTTTTGCATGTTGTGAGACTTAGCATTGTTGTTGGGTCCTCAAACATGCAGAAAGTCTATGCAAAAAGGTCATCTTTGCAGCTAGTGTTTTGAGACATGGCATGGATTCTTTTCGGAAGCTCTGCAGTGATGACCTGGTTCTTTCAGGTACCAGTATGAGTATTCCCCGTCAGTCTGCCGAACATAGAATTGGTTGCTCTGTTGTACACCTTGTATTCAGACGTCTTTGGTCGAATCGAAAGTTCTTATGGTTTCTTTCTCCTTGCTTCAAACTCTAGCACCTCACTGATGACTGAGATGGGCTTTTGATAGTCAGGAAGGCTTGATTTTGCTGTAAAGTTTCTTGTTCCCTCTTAAAGGCATATGACTGTGTGTGGATCTTATTATGCGGTTGATAAGTTTTAAACAGTTGATGCTTGTCCAATCCCTTCCATTGTCTCTCACTGCACTAAACTTCTCCTGATTTGTTGCAGGGTACCGAAATGGACCAACCTCTGCCTTCCGAGAAGGGTCATTCAGAGCCAGTGCTGGTGGGTTGACAACTCTCTCATTTGTTCAATTATCTAACGAGTTGCCACGCTCATGGCTGCATTTCGAGGACCTGGAATCACGTGTCTGCTTGATGGCACACTGAAAGCTGGTCTGTGTAAATGAGGTGTTGCACATGAAGCAGTCAACCTTCTAAGGTTGCAACGATCTTGGTAAATGTCCAGTCACTCATCAGCGCCTCGCTTGATCAAGGAAGCTCATTGCCTCTTGCCTTTTGTCACGAATCCTGAGTCATGACCTGACCGCAAACTTGTCGCCTCTTTTTCTCCCAATCAGGACGACAAGGAGACTGCTGCTCGGATAGGGGATGCTTCAAGGCAGGGAGACGACAACAACCCCAACGACAACCCCAATCCAGTGAAAGCAGCAGGAGGCAACTTCGAGCAGCGATTGTCTGACAAAGAACAAGATGACGTAAGCCATTGAGACTCTCGCGTTATCCCCTTCACGTTTCGAGGCAGAGGTTGTTTGCTCTGTTGGTGCTGTGCAGTGCTTCTTCCCGAACACTATGTGCTTCGTGGGTGCTGTGTATTCAAAGAAGGACCACAGCCTATCACCCTTGTGTCCTCAACCTTGCTAGTCGACCCCACAGAAGACTTTTTTAAGATTTGAGATATTTCGCTCGTTTATTGAGCCTCTTTACTCCGTTTCCTCGCAAAGAACTTCGTAGCCGAAATCCGTCGACAATTGCGATTTATGACGTCAGACTGCGCAGACCCAATATTAGGAACTTAATGGTCAGGTTGGGGTATTACATGCAGCTAATACTTTCGAAGAAACGTTTTGTGTTCATGGAGCCGATCTGACGCCGTTGCTCTGTTCCTTCTGCAGCAAGTAGACTTGTCGGCTCAGCAGACGGCGCTTGGTCCGAATGTTTCTTCGAACGACGAGTGAAAAGAAAAGAGTGGTTCAGAAAAGGTTTTTGAGGCAATGACGTGAAGGAGGCAAAGCCTAGGAACAGTAGTAGGAATGCCCCCGTACCTAACCCGGTTGGTTTAGACATCAGAGTGACGGTCTCGTCAAAGTCGAGTCTGTGATGTTTGTATCTGAGAAGTTTTTGTATATGTTCGACTTTTCACTGGCCAGCTGCGTGCTTTTCGTGTGCGTATTCAATGCCCGGGTCGAAAGATATTTCCCCTACACGACTTGCAGAAGTCTAACCCCCGACGGTGGTGCTCACTTGGAGCTTAGACCGTTATGATTGCTCAGATTGAACCCATCAGAATGAAAACCGCTGGCTCAAGGTGGAGATGTCGTCTATCGTAGGAATTAGAGCATAGCAGCTTTTTTAAGTGCGATTGAGTCTCTCCTTCTGATTTAAGGCTAAGCTTCGCGCCCCTTTGCGCACGCAGAACGATATTGTGAATATGCATTCTGGAGCTTGCGCTTGCATGTTAGAATCCTCAGTACAAGCTGGATCGTGTATTCGTGCATTCGTTGGAAGACTCGAGCCTTTGAATCAACTTGCAAACCACACCGGCGCTTTTGCTTGCGAGGAGCTTATGTGTAATGTGCACCAAGCTTCATGCTATATTGAAACAAGTTCGGTCACGCACCAGCGCATGTGCATATAACGGAGGTTTTGGTGGTCACGTGAGTTTGGGGAAAGCCTAGAATCCCTTTCTGCAAAGGCATTATGAAACGTGCTTGAGTGATTGCCGTTAAAATGAGATATATCTGCGAATGTTGAGCAGCACCCACCTGGAGAATATTGCACGGTACCGAAGGAAAAAGTGGATAAATCGAAGACACGGCATACAGATCTATGATCGACAGGTGTCATGTTTCCAGAATGGGACTATGCACTGCAGATGTCGCGGCATGCAAGCAAAGATTGTTGACAATATGCCCGCGGACTTGCGTGCTCCCGCGTACTTGCACGAATGTTCAGCTCAATCGTCGACAGCTTGAATTTGTGAGCTGTCTCGCGGCAAAAATCTAGCTGCAATAGCGAAGCCTGTATGATTGATACTCTCACCCCGACCAGGCAGAAGAGTCACCCCTATTGTAGACAAGCTGCCTTGGAACTTCTTGCGCAAAGAACAAAATTGCAAACATGAGGACCTGCACGAACGGTACGCCTGCAATCTACGTGCAAAAAGTGCATCAACCGCTGTCTATTTAAAAATGTCAAGGGGCCGTAGACCTCCGGTGTTCCAGAGGGCTTGAACGGCGGAGAGATTCGCACAAAGAGGCTCTCTAAAGATACAGTCAGCCGGTTTCTCGTACCCTCGAGATTGTGTTCTCTTAAATGCTGTCAAATCGTTCCAGGGGTATACGTGTAGGTTCCGGGGAACACAACAGGATTTACAACGAGTTGTAGTTGCATAACTGTACCGTGAGTTTCAGCTCTTTGACCGCCCAATCTGACTCGCACACCGAGCAGCAGAAGTCGGGGTCTTCTTCTGTCCAAATGTATACGTCATGGCCCCAAATCTCCCTCTCCCTTTGTGACGTCGGTCGCGATCCAAGGTCCACGATTGCCCGCAGTGCTTCTCCATCGGAGCGCGATTCGACCACCCCGCAGGTCTGTAGTAGCCGGCCTCTCAGGTTGAAAGCAAGTGCCTTGAATGTCTGAAACTCGCAGAATTCCAGAGGTCCAGTCCACAGCCCTGCAATGACCGACCCGCCACGTGCTATCTGACGTGGCTGCAGCTCGAAAAGCTCAAGCGACAACTTTCTGCAGAGGCCTTTCTTGCCACGTGTCGCGCAGCGGCGGCCGCGTTCCTTTCGCATGGCTTCCACGAAGTGATCAGTCGTGATTAGGGGTTGCAATTGGGCTTTGAGCACGGTTAAATGGGACTCGGAGAGTCCAACAAGTAAGGAGCCCTGAGTAACCTCATTTGCTGCCGTATGCAGACCCCACAAGACTATACTCCCTTGCAGACGAATCAAAATGAGAACCTTGCAATTCATGCTGGGCTCCTTGAAATCATCCGTCGATTTCACAGAGCCCTCGCGAGGATCAATGCCGACACCCAAGCAGCGCCTTTTCGCCTGGCTTTTTTCAACCGCGGTGGATGCAGGGAGAAAGTTTGCTGCATATCGTGCTGCCACAAACTGTTTGAAACCGCCCATAGACTCTATCTCAGCATCCAACCCCGGCTTCTTGTTTTCAAGCTGACAATTAGTATCGCTTTCTTGTTCAGCCCCTGAGTCGTAAAAGATGTCCTTCCAGACCCTCGGATGCTCATCACTCACACGCAGGAAAGCCTTGCTGGCGCAGGTGGCAGTCAGCAGGGCGAGCGGGTCCTGAGCTGCCAGCTTGTGAACAAGGGCAAGCAGCACGTCGCTCGGCAAAGTGTCCATGGCCGCTGCTCCGCACTTCGCACACCAAGCTGTATCTTACAAACTTTTGTTCTAGCCTCTCTGCTGACTTGAGTACGGTCTCGCGCCAAGCGGCCGCGGCCGTGGTACACGTCGAGTCCGCGCGCGCGGCTCGGTCAGATCGCACCGGGACGGCCGCCCGGGACTCACGGCCGCGCGGCCGGCCAGCGCGGCTGGGCCGCCTCGCTCGGTATATATGTCCGACGTGGCAGCCGCTTCATGGAAGGGCGGCTGCCCAGCAGCAAAACGGCTTTCGGAGGAATATAAAAAGGCTTCCCGATATGAGCAGTCTGAGCTGCAAGCGAGATGTCGAAGTGGGCAGAAGTTACGTTCATCGTGTGCCGAAACGATCTCCAACGCGACAAACACAGAGGGTCGTGGGCTTTAAGGATTCGACCCCATTTAATCGCTCAGATCTGTTGGGCGAGGGGCGCCCGGCTGGCTCGACCTGATAAAGCGGCAGCCCTCTAATGTCGGCACCAGCTTTCTGCACTCAAGCAAAACAGTGCGCTTGACCTAACTGGGAAGGATCTGCTCTCACGGGCAGTTCAGCGAATTGATACCTCGCGACAGTACTGCTAAGTTACTTACTTAGAAGTCGCGCGGGCGTGCGCCTACCTTGACAAACTCGAGGTAGCAACCTTCAGGAAGTATTGCTGTTGCCGATGAAAGCACTCAGTATCTGATGATGCAGGCAGGATTCATAGGGTTGGCAGGAGTACGGCTCACGCCATGCCATGCTTAAATCAGGGCTCCCCTCGTGGGAGGCTTTTATCGTGGACAGAAGCATACACTTTAGGTTTGTCGTCACATCAGTCAGGCAACTTACTGACCAAAACTTCGTTTCTTATATTTCGTATGTCAAATGTCTTGAAGCATGAATTGTTGCCGGCCACTGAATCTATACAGGCATCGCAAACTCCCCCCCCCGACAGATTGGCGTCTGGAGGGCACCACCCATGCCCGAGCCAAAGTGTTGTAATGAATTCCGCTGATCCATCACCAAATTGTGACCCGACAGGTCAACATTTTGCCCTCGAAGCATTTTTTGTCGAATCTGTGATGTCGTTATCCTGAGAATATTCTCGTGTACCTTCGGCTTTTTATTGGCCAGCTGCGTGCTTTTCGTGTGCGTGTTCAGTGCCCGCTTCGATCGGTTCTTCCCATACATGACGTGCAAACGTCTTGACCACAGACGGTGGGTGCTCAATTGTAGCTTAAATTCCGCTGTGATTGCCCGGATCTGAATCCATCGGAATGAAAGCCGACTGACAAAGTGAAGATGCCTTTTCTTAAGATTTGAAGCATACCAGAAATCCTTGAGAAATTAAGCGTTTCCTTCCGTTTTAATGCTTAGCTTCGCGCTCCGTTTGCGCCCGCGGCCAATTATACGTTCAACGGTACCGTTGATATACATTCTGGAGCTTGCGCTTTTGATCAGACAGAATGCTTGTTAGACCCACCATCTAGAAGGCGTGCGTGCTTTCATTAGAGAATCAAGCTTTCGAGTCAAGTCGCAGACTACACGGGCACGTCTATCGCGAGGAGCTTATCTGCACAATGCGTCACGCTTTGTCCAGCCATATAGCATCAAGATCGGCGTGATTCAGTCATGTCACGCACCAGCACATGTGCATACAACGTGGGTTCGGTCTCACGTGATGTCACAGGGTTCTTTGGCGGTTAACCATAGTCGGTTACGGGCTGGTTCGAAGCTGGTCAACTGTCTAATGACCAGACTCGGGGAGTGACCAGGTTTCTAACATGGCTATAACGCGGTTATTGGTCAAAGAACCAGACTGAAGACTGGTTAGCGAACCTGGTTAGCAGCCAAACCTTCCTGTGTGTTTGAGAAAGGTTTAGAAATTTATTCTGCACAGGGAGTACTAAAGGTGATCAAGTTGCCGTCCACACATGACATGTCCGCGGACGTTGAGCAGGAGGGGAAAACCTGAAAGTGGATGGATCAACGACGGAATTCAGAATGCATTCGACACGTGTCATAGTTCTGGAATGGGACTGTGCTCTGCAATCATCGCAGCATGCAAGCGACTCCTTTGACCATATACCTGTTGGCTTGCATGCTCCTGTGTCCTCTTCATCAATATTCAGCTCGAATGTTGACAGCGTTTCATTTATGAGCTGTCTCTCAGCAAAGAGTTAGCCGTGACTTCAGAAATATTCAACCTCATCTTAAATGAAAGGTCTGTACCCCTACCGGTGTGTTGAAGACATACCGCTCTGAACTTCTTGCGGAAAGTACACTTGCAAATCCTGAGGACCTGAACGGTACGGCTGCAATATACGTGCACACTGAAGATTGCATCAGCTGCTTCTATTGAGAATGTCAAGCCGTAGACCTCACGGTGTTCCAGAACAGCACTTATGGGCTTCAACGGCGGAGAGATCCTTACAAAACCGCTCTCTAACGATACCGTTCAGCCGCTTTCACGGTACCCTTTGAGACTTTGTCTTCTTCACTGCTGTCAAGTCGTTCCAGGGGTTTTTATTGTACTTTCTTGGGAACAAACAAGGTCTTACAACGCTGTTAAAATCGCTGATCTCTACCGTAAGTTCCAGCTCCTTGACCGCCCAATCCGATTCGCACGCCGAGCAGCAGAACTCGTTCTCTTCCTCCCCCCAACACTCTCTGATGTGTACGTCATCATGCCGCCATCTCTTCTTCTCCCCTTGTGACGTCGGTCGCGATCCAAGATCCACAAATACGTCCACTTCTCTCCCATCCGGACGGGATCCGACAAAGGCGCAAGTCGGTAGCAGCCAGCCTCTCAAGTTAAAAGCAAGTGCCTTTATCGTGATCAGATACTCGCGGAATTCCAGAGGTCCACTCCACAACCCTGCAATCATGACCGACCCGCCACGTGCTGTCTGATTTGGCTGCAGCTCGAAAAGCTCAAGCCACAACTTTTCACACAGGCCTTTCTTGTTACCCCTACTACGTGTCGCGCAACGGCGGCCGCGGTCCTTTCGCATGGCTTCCACGAAGTGATCAGTCGTGAAAAGGGGTTGTAACTGGGCTCTGAGCCCAGCTAGAAAGTGGGTGAGCCCGACACTAGGTAGCGAGCCCTGGTTTATATCTGCTAGCGTATGCAAACCCCACAAGATAACCCTGCCTTGCAGACGAATCAAAATGAGAACCTTGCAATTGATGCTGGGCTCCTTGAAAGCATCCGTCGACTTCACAAAGCCTTCGCGAGAAGTACTGCCGATATCTAAGCAGCGCCTTTTCGCCTGGCTTTGTTCAACCGTGGTGGATGCAGAGAGAAAGTTTGCTGCATGTCGTGCTGCCACGAACTGTTTGAAACCGCCCAGAGACTCTATCTCAGCATCCAACACCGGGTTCTCGTCTCTGTGCTGAAAATCTTTATCACTTTCTTGTTTAGCACCTGAACCGTAAAAGATGACTTTCCAGACCCCCGGATGCTCATCAGTCACCCGGAGGAAAGCCTTGCAGGCGCAGGTGGCCGTCAGCAGGGCGAGCGGCTCCTGGCTTGCCAGCTTGTGAACAATCGCCAGCAGCACGTCGCTCGGAAGACTGTCCATGGCCGCCGCTCCGTAATTTGCCTAACAAGCTGTACAAACTCTGGCCTAGCTGCTGGGATTGCCCTGTGACTTCAGTTTTGCGCCACACGGCCGCGCCGTCGGCATACGTCGGGTCCGCGTGCGGCCCGATCAGATCGCACAGCCTGGACGGCCGCCTGCGCGGCCGCGCGGCTCCAACGTCCAAAGCCGGCCAGCGCAGCCCGGCCGCCTCGCTCGGTATGGCCGACGTGGCAGCGCCCTCGTGAGCGGCTGCCCGGAAACGGCTTCCCTTAACTAGCTATATTCTAGGATCTCAACCACACAGTCGTGGTGTTTTGAGGCTTCGACCTCATTCGATTGCTCAGACCTGTTGGCTGAGGGGCGCCTGACTGGCTCGACCTGATAGAGCCGCGGCCCTCTTATGTAGGTATATGTCGGCACCAGCTTCTGCACTTACGCAGAACAGTGCGCTTCACAAAGTTGCTCCGAAGGGAAGTTCAGCCAATCAAATGCTTCGCGTCTTCGCCCCGTCTCAACGTTACTGCTGACACACGTACTCAGAGCTCGCGCTGACGTGCTTTCTAAAGGTATCAATGATTTGCTGATGAAAGCACTGCGGATCCGATGATGCAGGCAGAATTGCAGATATGTTCTTCAAAACTCAGGAGTACAGGTCACGCCATGATGCTTGAATCAAAGGCTCCTCTCGTGGCAAGCAGTGACTAATGGACAGAAGCATATATACACGCTGGGTTTTTGATCGCATCAAGTAGGTTAATTACTGGAGGAAATTTCGTACATTATTCCCCGCGTGTTAAACGTCATGAAGCATGACTCACTGCCGGACACTGAACTCATACAGGGTTGTTATTAGCTTAGGGGATTCTCCAGAAGATAGATAAGAACCTCAGAGCTCAAGACGAGACTGATGAATTGAAACATATGTCACCAAGAAAGGGCCCAAACGCTCGGACATCGTAGCACTACATAGAAAACAGTATGAACGCATACGTATCCAGCACATGATTTGATTGCAGCGTTTGTCAAACGGTTGAGACTTCGAGCAAAACGTCTCAATCAACGCTTCGTCTAGAAAGAAGGGTTCAAAGGCTCTTTGCAAGAGCGGTGAAGCTGCTTGCGCGGAGGGCTTGAGCGGTATGCTAGCAATATCTTCTCATGAAATGAGTTCATCGATGAGCTGTCCAGAATGATTGCAAACAGTCTATCTCCTCACGGAATCTGCCCATCCTAGTTATAAATTAAAACGAAGTACAGGTTTCCAAGTGGAGTCTAACAGGGAACCGCCTCAACAAGTACGCTTCTGGTGATGCTTCTGTATTCCGTATCAGGCCTGGAAAATTTGTCTATCTCCGTCGTTACGGGATTTTGCATCGTGATTAGAGGCTGAAAACAGAGGAAATCTAAGAGGCCGTGCGTAGTTCCACCGCAAGGGTCAGCTTCTCGAAACTCCAGTCCGATTCGCACGTTGGGCAGCAAAACTCGGACTCATCCACAGATCCCTTGAGCTGCACTTTATGTACAAGATTCTTCCATCTGCGCCCTTCACCATCCGACGTCGGTCGCTGCCCAACAGTCACGGACGCCTTCAGCGATTCTTCAGATTCTTCAGGCGGGCAAGCCGGTAAGAGTTGGTCGTTAAATCCATAGGACACCTCCTTGTAGGTTAGGTGGATCCAGGATCTGAGAGGCCCCCTCCACAGTCTCGCAACCGCATAAGCCTCCCCGCCGGAATTGTGCGGCTGCAATTCGTAAACCTCAACGGACACCTTCCCGCAGAGGCCTTTCTTGCCAAGGAGCCCAGGTGTCGCGCGACGGCGGCCGCGCTCCTTTTCCAGGGCTTCTACGAAGTGTTCATTCGTGAACACCGGTTGCAATTGGACGCTGATATTTTGGAGGGGATGCAGGGTCGTAAGGCTTTTACAGCCATTTTGGCTCACGTACGTATGGTGGCCCCACGAGAGGACCCTTATTTGCAGGCAAAGCAAGATTAGAATCTTATTGGGCTCAACAGAACAATCCTTTGGTTTCAACAAGATATCTGAAGACGCATCGCAACTGCCTAAGCAGCGCCTTTTTGCCTGGCTTTGTTCAACCCGGGTAGATGCAGTTGCAAGCTTCTCTGCATATCGCGCTGCCACCAGAACCTTGAACCCGCCCAGTGACTCCACCTCAGCATTCAGCTCCGGATTCCCGTCCAAAAGCTTATCATTTTGCGCTCTTTCTTGCCCAAGCCTCGAGCCGTAGAAGACCTCCTTCCAGACCCCCGGAGTGTCCTCAGTCACGCGGAGGAAAGCCTTGATGGCGCAGGCGGAGGTCAGCAGCGCGAGCGGGTCCTGGGCTGCCAGCTTGTGAACGATCACGAGCAGCACGTCGCTCGGGAGAGTCTCCATGGCCGCCGCTCTTAAATGCCTGACAAGCTGTGCAAACTCTGGTGAAGTACTCTTTGCCCTGCAACGTGCTCTCGGCGCGCCGCGGCCGCGCGCGGCCGCCGGCATGCTGTGCTGGCGGCCGCGGCTGCGGCGCGCGATACTCGAGCCCTCCAGCAGTGCTTATTCTAGACTTGATTTCTGTTGTCAGGCAGATGACAGCGCGGCGGCCATGGACAGTCTTCCGAGCGACGTGCTGCTCTCCATTTTTCACAAGCTGGCAGCCCAGGACCCGCTCGCCCTGCTGACTGCGACCTGCGCCTGTAAAGTGTTTCTGCGCGTGTCGGAGGAGAACCCGGGCGTCTGGAAGGAAACCTTTTACGGGTCGAGAATTAAGCAAGAAATTGAAGCAGGTGTGCAAGATGCAGACGCAAACTCTGCATTGGGTGCTGTGGTAGAATCACTGGGGGGGTTTAAACACCTTGTGGCAGCGCCATATGCAATTAGGGTTGCTTCAATAGCAACTGGGCTCAATACCTCCTGGTAGCATGATTCTCCCAAAGATTGATATCCAGTTGCAACCAGTGTCTACGACCGATCGTTTTGTGGAAGCCTTGCGGAAGGAATGCACGCCACGTGGCAAAAGCAAGAACGGCCTTTGTGACAAGATGTCCCTTGAGCTTTTTGAGCTGCAGCCACGTCAGGACGCACGTGACGAGACCGTCACGATTGCAAGGCTCTGGAGTGGTACACTGGTTTTCTCTGATTTGTTAGATTACGAGGCGGTTACGTATGATCTAAACGGCCGGCTACTACCGACTAACCCGGCTGGCGGAGTTGACGAATCACTGAGCGCGTTTGTAATCCTTGGATCACGACCGACATCACCAGGGGAAAAGCAGAGATGGCGGCATGAGAAGTATATTGTTTCGTCCCTGAGACAGGGCTGGCGTGAGTTCTGCTGCTCGGCGTGCCAGTCAGACTGGGCGCTTGAGAACCTGATTCTTACCGTCGAATTACGCCCACAACGATGGAGATCTTTTTCCAATCGTCAACAGTGCCGCTAGGGAAGCTTGAAAGGAATACAGCAACATTTTACACATGCTCCGAGTCTACAAAAGAAGGCACCTACTGGCAGCGTTGTCAGGAAGCAAATTTGAGTAGCGTGCCTTTTGAGAATCAGTCCAACGTCAAATGACCGTAGTCCGAAAGCTCCCGAATATTGGGTTGATGTCCGGAGGTCTGCATCTTAGATTCTTCTTTTGACAGCGGTCAATGCAGTCATACTTTGAACATTGATTGCAGACGTTCAGGTTCTCATCTGAAGCGGTTCAAGTTTCCCGTGAGATAGATTGTAACAAGCCCGTTAAGACGAGGAACTTTGTGAATGGTCGTTGCAAGAAAGGGGTATTTGCGGCACACCTCTCGACTCAGGTCCCTTACTTTGTTAGCTCATGCATCATTCGCTCACGCATTTTTCTGTATGCGCAACCCAAAAGCTACTAGATGCGGGATAAATCACGAAGCGGCGATTAAGCCACGGTATGGGCTTCCTACGTGCTGGAAGATATGCATGATGTCCTCGACCAAACTAGAAAGATCAACTTTGAAAGCGCAGGATGAAAATTTGGATTCGAAGCCCGAAAGTTTTGATCTGCACATGTGCGCCCATCATTACCGTTCTGGTTGCGGCCTGGTGCGGGCCCCGCATGTTTACAACTCTGGCTGAAAACGGAACCGCCGGCTGCCCGTTTGTTTCTTGGCACGATGAATCTGCTACGAATGTCTATAATATATAGCGTCAGGCAGATGATGGCGTCGGTCCATATTTGGCGATCCGATTTCACGACGGCCCTCTCAAATTGGGTCAGTCACAGGCTAAAACATATCGGAATGGAAATTATTACCTTGTTGCAAACGTCACGCTTATGCTAAACCAGAATGGAGTCGAAGCGGACCGAAACAGAGTTTGGTGGGCAGAAACAAAAACGTAAGCGGCCGAGTTCAAAGTTAGAAAACGAGGTCCGGAACATCGGCTCCGAGCTTGTTCTGGCGGCGGAACTGAGCCGCGCTGCCGTTCCGACCTGAGAGAACCGGGCCGGGGCTGATTCCGTCGGATTCCGCTCCCGCTTTGAGAAAGCGGAAGGCGCCTCGTAGCTTTCTTCACGCCACAGCCGCGGCCGCGGCCACGAAGTCGGACCAACGGAGGCCGCCGACGCGACGATGAAGGATCGTCGGACGAAGAGAGCGTCCGGCACCAACTCGGAACGGGTGCTCTTCCGGCTAACGCGTCTGTTTAAATCTCGTTCGACAAAGGCGTCCGTTTGTTCCGCCCTGGAAGAAGACCTGTTCCCGGTTCTCGCCGGACGCACTTCCGCGGCGGCGGCCGCGGCCGCGGGCCGCGTGGAGGAAGCGCGCTGCGAGGCATCTCAGGCTTGAATGAAAATCACCGAAGTCCGCCCCGGCCCGGCACTCTGATTGCTCTTTGACCGCTTCCGGTCGGAACGGCAGCGCTTCAATGTAGGCAGCTTAGATCAGGCTGCTCAGTCCGATCCACCGGAGCCAAGCCCGGAGCCGGAGCCGGAGCCGGGTTTCAGAGGACCATGTTATCGGGTCTCTTGTTCCAAACCTTGATGAAACGCTCGGCCGCTGACATTTCTGCCCGCCAAACTCTGGTTTGTATGGTTCCGATCCGCTCCGACGATAGTCAGCAGGATCTTAAAGTCCACTAAACCAAGGCAATCATTCTCTATTCGATATGTTCTGAACGAGTTGATTGACCAGACTTGAGAGGAACGGGCATGCAGGATCGACATGAGAAAGGTAAAGGCCACCATTGGCCTGAAGCTGGATGTTATCGATGTTCGTAGCACATGGCAGTCGCGATATAAAGGTAACGGGAGCCGGTTCTAATTCTCCCGGGATCTGATAGACACAAGGGGCGCGCGCTGAGGCTGCAGCGGGGCGCACAAAAACAAATCACAACCCTTGGGCTTTGAATCCAAATTTTCATCTTGCGCACTCGTAACAGCTGGATACTTCCAATCTGTTTGAGGACAGCATGCATAGCACTGATCATGCAGGAAGGCCACACGCACAGGGGCCCAATCGCCGCGTCCTGGTGCAACCCGCATCCTGGCTTTTCAGTTGCGCATGTATACACGGATCGTAGGAAACAGTATGGTGAGGACCTGAACCGTGCTTGCAGCGACCGATGTGCAAAGATCTTTCGACTCGTAAGCTTTCTATGGAAATCTGAATCTCGAGAACATGGGCTCTAACGCTGCTAAAGATGGGAAGGTCTGATCAGGAACAGGTACCCTATGCAAGTCAGCTTTCTCAGCGCAGACTGCAGTATGCTTCTCCTGACCTGGATATCGTACAATCGTTGATGCTGGTTGATTCTCTATGATTCTTTTTGTATTCTTCTCGACAAAGTCTCAGAACATCCTGCGTATCTCCACCGTGAGGTGCAGCTTTTCTACCGCCCAGTTTGACTGGCACGCCGAGCAGCAAAAGTCGAACCCAGGACAATCTAGCGTCTCTGTGCGGTAACGCTGCCATCGTCTCTTTTCCACTTCTGTCGTCGCTCGCCATCCAAGAGTCACTCTCGCGCTCATTGCCTCTCGCCCTGAACCTACGTCGCTGACGTCAGGCGGCTCGCAGGACGGTAGCAGCCGGCCAAGTAGCTCGAAGAATATCTTCTCATAATTAAAATACGTGAAGACTTTCAATGGTCCACTCCATCGCCTTGCAATCGTGACCGCCTTGCGTGCCGTTTTACGTTGCTGCACCTCAAAAAGTTCAAGGGAAAACCTTCCACAAAGGCCTTTTTTGCTTTCGTCACGTGTCGCACGATGACGGCGACGTTCCTTCTGCATGGCTTCCACGAAGTGGTCAATCGTGAGTACGAGTTGCAACTGGGCTTCCAACCTTGTGAGTTCGGCAGTTCCAAACGAGCCCAGATTTACCATTTTCGGCGTTCTAAGGGCCCACAAGACCACGCTATCTTGCAGACGGACTAAGATAAGGACCTTCATGGGTTCCCAAAGAGAGCTGAGAGGACCTTTGCAAGAGCTGTTGCAGATGACAGTTGAGCAGCGCCTTTTCGCCTTATTTTGTTCAACCGAGGTCGTTGCAGTAGCAACCTTCGCCGCATAGCGCGCTGCCACTAAATGCTTGTATCCCCCCAGTGACTCTACCTCAGCGTCCAAATCAAGACTCCGTTTCTCCTCTCCAATCTGCTGAATTCTCTCCAAAATTTATGTCCACATCTGAGCCGTAAAAGATGTTTCTCCAGACCTCCTCATTTTCGTCGGTCACGCGGGCGCAGGTGGCAGTGAGCAGCGCGAGCGGGTCCTGGGCTGCCAGCTTGTGAACAATCGTAAGCAGCACGTCGTTCGGAATAGTGTCCATGGCGGCAGCTCTACTATCCGCCCAACATTTTCCCCCTCTAATTAGTCTAGCCCTAGCCTGGGAGTCTGGGACTTGCTCTTCGCGCGCCGCAGCGGTGGCCGCCGCCCGCTCGGATCGCGCTTCCGACGGAAGCGTTCTCGGCCGGGCCCGCGGCCGCGGAGGAAACGCCCGGAACCCGCGCGCGGGCTGGCTGGGCGGTCTTCAGGCAGCGTCACTTCCGTCCGCCGGAACAGGCCCGGAGCCATAGAAGGAACCGGGCCTCAGAGGTCCGGGCCTGTCTATTGGAGTTTTGAAACGATCAGCGGCATACGTTTCTACCTATTACTCTGTCCTTTGTCGTTCCGGTCCAAATAACTTTGTTTGATACGCCAGTCCTGATCTCGAAGCACCGTATTGTTCTTATGCCGGAATGTGGTGAGATCATTGATCGAACTTCAATGAGAGGACAAAAAAGCCATGCGGAGTTGACATGAGCGGGACATGAGCGGCCTCGTAGGAATGATTGACGCGACATCTTCTTGAACTCGAATAGCGAGTTGTTGGTAGCACGTAGAAAGATATGTAATAATATGACGGTAGCCAGTTGGCATATCTGCCGGATTGGGAGAAATGCGGGAAATGCTCGATGATCGGGCCGCAATGAATGGAAAGAAACTGGCCGCACACATTCACAGAGCACAATCGTTGAGCTTCGACCGCTTTGCATCTTGTGCTTTCGAAATTTGAACTTTCCAGATTTGGTCGAGGACATGATGCACAGTACTCAGAATGCAAAGAGCCCACACAGAGGCCCAGTCGCCGGGTCCTGAGTTTTGATCTATTCACGGATCTTATGAGCGGATATTCAGGACCTGAGCCGAATCGTGCCGCAAACGTACGTTGCTGCATCGACTCAAGTAAGAAAAGCTTTCAACGGTGTAACCCTTTCAGTAAAAGTCTGGCGAGAGACCCAGGGGCTTTCGAAGTTGCAAAAGGAAGGTTTGGTAAAATACCGCAAGCAGGGCAAGCTTTCTCTTGACACTGGTTGTCGTACCCTTATAATATTCCGCGCGTGTATTATTTGTTGCTGACAAGGTTCTCGATCGTTATGTATTAATCGAAGGAGGGAGAAATTCAGGACGCCCTGCGTATTGACACTCTGAGTGTTAGCTCTTCAAACGCCCAGTTTGACTGGCACGCCGAGCAGCAATACTCGGTCTCGCCCGTTTTAGTTCGACACCCTAGCTCCTCTCTGCGATGCGGCCAGCTCCGCTTTTCCGCTTCCGTCTCCCGTCGCCATCCAAGGCAGATGATCGCGCCTAGTGCTTCTTCGCACGAGTCATGAGATCCAACTGGCGCTTGGCAAGTCGGTATGAGCCACCCGTGTAATTCATAGACTACCCCCTCACTGCGAATCTGATATGTTGAGACGTTCAGAGATCCACACCATCGCCTTGCAGTTGTGACCGATCCATGTGCTGATTGACTCGGACGTGGCTGCAGCACAAAGAGCTCAAGGGACATATTTCCGCAAAGACCCTTTTTGCGTCTGCCACGTGTCGTGCCCAGAGCTTTTACGAACTGGTCGTTCGTGGATACGGGTTGCAACTGCATTTTGAACCAGCAATCGTTAACGGTTGTGGGCGTATCAAGGCCCCACGAGACAACGCACCCTTGTAGACGCACCAAAACTAGGGCTTTGCTGGGCTCACCGAAAAAACACGCCTGTTTCAGACAGCCTTTGAGAGGATCATTGCCGGTGCCTAGGCAGCGCATTTTGGCCGGTCTTTGTTCAACCGAGGTGGATGAGTTTGCAGATTTTGCATGCCGCGCTGCCACCAACCGTTTGAAACCGCCCAATGACTCAATTTCAGCATCCAGAACAGGGCTCCAATATGCTTTTGGTGTCTCAAAAACTGTCTCTGTTTCTTGCTCAAACCTTGAGCTGTAGAAGATCTTCTTCCAGACCCACGAGTTGTCCTCAGTCACGCTGAGGAAATCTTTGCAGGCACAGGTCGCAGTCAGCAGGGCGAGCGGGTCCTGGGCTGCCAGCTTGTGAACAATCGCGAGCAGCACGTCGCTCGAAAGAGTGTCCATGGGCCGCCGCTCTTCGCCTGCCTAAAAGCTTTTGTTTTCAGTGGGCTTCCCCTTCGACGAGTCGCGCGCGCCTTGGTCACCGCCGCCGGTATTTAGTACTCAGGCTGCGGCCGGCTCGCGAGTGTCCACGTGGCGAGGCCGCCGCCCCTCTCACCATGACGTGGCAGCTGTACCATTGTTGATACGACGCCGCGCTTAGCATCGCCTGTCTCGTGCGAATCAGAGATCGAAGTTTCTCGGCCGTTCAATCAAATTCCTGGCCCTTATTAGGCGTGGACAAGCTTCTAGATTTTCCCGTTCATTTAAAAGTAAGGTTTATAAATAATATGTACGTGTCAAGGCACGGTACGATACATCAGTACGTTTTCAGTATGTTGCAAGCTGTTCTGACAGCCGCTGGAGCTTTGGTTTTCATTCCAAGCAACATGGTTACTCACTCCAAGCAACATCGATGCTGACTTCTCCAGTTACTTTGTGCGGATCATTGATTTCGGCCGACATAATATTGATGGCAGTTATTGAAACGAGGTTCATTCCGGGATTTCTTGAGCAGCAGGACCGTACAGGAATTTGAGACTGGAGTCGTTTCAAGCTGGTTTTCTCCGCCTACGTCGGCAGACGTAGACTGTTATATCCTCAAGGAGAGTCGTCTCCTCTGGAATGTAATTCCACCTGCCTCGGCCGCGTCATCAGAGAAAAGACTAAAAGAGTTCCTAATTATGGAATTAAAGAATTATCCAATTGACCCACATGCTTTGGGTGCATCGACCTCTGCCAAAAGAAGCTCCGAAGCTATTATCGGTAAGCTTCGAGAACAACGGGCGGAGCGGAGGAAAAATAAACAAGGGACTCCCAAAAAGTATGCCTCCTTATTGGTGTTGCTAATATGTCTCTCGCATCTTGGAATAATGTAATCCTCCAAATCGTTCAAGAATTCACGACCGTATCGCCAAAGTTGAAGAATAAGCGTTTCAAAACGTGCGTATCTCCGCATCGAGTATCATTTTCTTCGACGCCCAGTCTAACCCGCACGCCGCGCAGCAGAACCCTGGCTGTAACAAGTTTATGCAGTCCCTTATTCTCTGCTGTTCATGGAATGACGTCGACCGCCACCCAACGCTCACAAATGCGTGCAGTGCTTCTTCACATGCGCCAGAGTCGGCAGGCGGGCTCGTCGGCAAGAGATGGCCGTTGAGGTGAAAAACAAGCGCCCTGTCGGTCAAGATCCTCGAAGATTTGAGAGGTCCAATCCACAAACTCGCAACCTTGAAACCTCCCCCGCGGATTTTCGCGGCTGCAGCTCATAAACCTCAAGGCATATCTTCCCACATAAGCCCATCTTTCCAAGTTTCGCGTGACGTGCCTCCTTTATGACTTCCAAGAGCTGGTCAGACGTGCCCACGGGTTGCAAACGAGCATGGAAAGTTTTCATGGGTTTCAGGATCTTAGAGTCCGAGTCTGTGCATCGCGGTACAGGTGGCACGCCCAGGTCAGCGGTTGTCCTGAAAAAGTAGGGCGCATCGCTCGGCGTCGTCTGGAGGCCCCATAAGACGACGCTGCCCTGCAAGCGAACCACGATCAGGAGCTTATCGGGCGCCAAAAGAGCGTCTGATTGTGAGGAGTCAGCGCGAAAACCAGTGCCTAACCAGCCGCCGCATCTCGCCTGCGTTTGTTCAACACAGGAGTAATGTGTAGCAAGCCTTGCGGCATATATACCGCGCTGCCACCAGCTGTTTGAACCCGCCCAGTGACTCTATTTCCGCATCAAGTTCAAAGTTATATTGCGCTTCCGCAATTTCCGTTTCTTGCCCAATCCTCGATCCGTAGAAAATGTCCTTCCAGACGCTGGAATGGCTTCTGATCAAGCAAAGAATCGCCTTGCACGCGCAGGCGGCAGATAGCAGGGCGAGCGGGTCCTGGGCTGCCAACTTGTAGAGAATGGCGAGCAGCACGTCGCTTGGGAGGGACTCCATGGCGGTCGCCCTGGTTTCTGCCTAACACGTTGTTACAGCGGCTGTACAAACTTTGGATCTGCCCCTTCAGGATTTCGCGGCGCGCCGCGGCCGCGCACGGCTCAACTCTTAAGTAAACAAGGGTTTGCACGGTCAAGCGCTCCGGCGGCCGCGACCGCGGCAGCTTCCGCGCTGCTCCAAAAACTGGTATAAGCGATAAAGCAACGGTAGCTATTGAAATCATGGCTGCGCCATAGAGGGATCCGGCTCTCCCTTAGGGGACATGACAAGCTAGGTGCACACATAGCGAAGTAGCCGACGACTGGAAGAACGTTGTACTTTGTCGATTAGTCCTGACATTATCTCAGGAAAAGTAAGCCAATCGATAAAGCTCGTCTTCACTAGAAACACGGGACGAAATCAGAGTCTCAAAGCCAACTGAAGGAGTCGGAACCTGTATGCATGAAGAACGTATACGTAGATCACTGGAGACGAAAATTCGTGGAGCGACCATAAGAAACTGTCGAGGAAAAATAAAGGTTAGATTCTCGGCCTGATGTACGCACATCCAGCGCATTATCAAGCATGAGGTCGCGCGTCGCACTGATCGAAACTAGAAAGATCCCGTCGAACGTCTTTTACTTGCAAATAAAGCCGTGATTAGATGACATGCGGGCCGGGGGCCTCGGTCGTGATCGGTCTAAAAACAAAGAGATCCGGAACTTGAATTGATATGATGTAGCATAATTCTGTAGATGGACAAGAGCCGTACTAGCATCAGTGCACACCAAAGAAGCTCGTACGGACGCCTGCTGGCCCGTGCTAGCGCGCTCCCAATAAGGAGCAACTGCATTTTACATCAGCTTACTTGCCCGGATCGAGTACGCTTCCAGATGAAGGTGTTTATGTCGCATATTATGTGTATCTAGATGCCGTTCGAACTGTTCCAGGGTTTTAGTTTGCCAGCCTACGGGAGGGATCTCAGGTTCCCAAATGGCTATACGACGTATATATCTCCACCACGAGATTCAGCTTCTTCAACGCCAAGTCTGACTCGGCGCACGCCGAGCACGCCGAGCAGCAAAATTTGGGCTCGCCCTCTCTCCAAATTCTAATCTGGTTTATCTGAAGCTTCCACCTCCGCTTCTCACTTTCTGACGCCGGTCGTTTTCCAAGATTCACAATCGCCCTCAGAGATTCTTCACACGAGCCGGATCTCGAATATCTGACAGGCCTAGGCGGGCAGGTCGGGTAGATCCGGCCGTCGATCCTAAAGAGAACTTGAAGCGCCTCATAGAAACAGGTCAGAGGATTGGAGAGTTTGAGAGGTCCACTCCACAGCCTCTCGACCACGAAGGCACGCCCGCCGGGTCGTTGCCGCTGCAGCTCATAGAGCTCAAGGCACACCTTCCCACAGAGGCCCTTCGTGCCACGTGTCGGGCAAAGGCAACCACGTGCCTCTTGCATGGCTTCCAAAAAGTGGTCAGTTGTAAACACGGGTTGTAACTTTGTTTTGAACCCTGGGGATCCGACAGGCAACGAGTCCGGGTAGACGACCGGTGGCGTATGGACTCCCCACAAGACGACGCTGCCTTGCAGCCGAAGTAAGAGCAGGATCTTGTTGGCCTCCAAGCTATCCGGTGAGCTCAGAGGATCCTTGCGGAACGCGTATGATTCGCCAATGCCCAAGCAGAACCTTTTTGCTTGGTTTTGTTCAACCGGGGTCATTGACTTTGCCGCATACCGCGCTGCCACCAGCTGCTTGAACCCGCCCGTTACTGACTGTAACTCAGCATCCAGACAGCTGGAACCCCCCTTTTCCCCTGCTATAGACTGACGATCTGTCTCCGAAATCAGGCCCATTTCTGAGCCATAAAAGATGTCCCTCCAGACCCCCTCGTTGTCCTCAGTCACACGGAGAATTGCTTTGCAGGCGCAGGTGGCAGTCAGCAGGGCGAGCGGGTCCTGGGCTGCCAGCTTGTGAACAATCGCGAGCAGCACGTCGCTCGGGAGAGTGTCCATGGCTGCCGCTCTCAGCAGTAGTGCCCAACAGGCTGTACAAAGTGTGCGGCTGCTGCGCTAACTGCTCTCCCTGACGATTCCAATCGTGCGCGCCGCGGCCGCGGCCCGGCGATTCTTGGAGGGTTAGGTAGTACGTCCGAGCTGGATTGAGTACTACAGTAGGTTACCGATGCGTCGGACGTCCGAGGGCACGCGGCCACGCGCGCCGGGCGCAGCGCGACGGGGCAGCCACATGACGCTGCCGAGCCAACATGTTCAATCGACGTGACACGGGCCTAGCCTACTGGCAAGGCAAAAGGCTCTCTCTCTTGAAAGATGTAGTAGGGTCTACGTCTGCGAAGTTGAGGCCGCGACTGCCAGCATGCTTAGTAGAAATTTTTCAATCTCTTGTTGTATAGACAGCTCCCGGACTGACGTTGTGACGCAATGATGACGCCACGAGCTAACCCATTTCGATTGCTCTCTAGATTTTGGTCAGCACTCTTGCGTGACGAAGAACAGATAAGATCAGTGCAAAATTTTAAGAAAACATTATCCCTGTTCTCGAGCAAAGGTTATGACTTGAGAGCATCAAAAGCACACGCCGCACTAAAGAGCCAGCGCGGCGGCCATGTAGTTGGGAAGCGATGCATGACGCAAAGTGGCGCCACCTTGCGAAAGTACGTTGTCTTGAAGTGAAGACAAGCTCGAACTTCAAAGATGCATGACTCATGCAACCGTTCCACAGAGACAAGAGTAGCCTGACATGCACTCTGCACGATTCTCGCGAAAATCTGGGCAAGACATGCGGCGGGGTCTAAGCTATAGGGATGTCAGGCAATGAATCGTATCATGCAAGCTAGCGCTACGAAAGGTGGAATCAAAATTATGGTAATTCGGATGCCCACGGGTCACAGAGGCTGTATTCGTCATGTTGCACTCTTGCGATCCAAAGGCAAGCCTGTTGTGGATCATTTCTCCCAACTACCGTTCAATCGAGACGTCATATGTCACACTTGCCATTGAAAGCCCACGGCGGCTGGCCAGACATCCGGCCTTTGCGCCTTCTAGCTTCGATTGGCTTTTGGACCACACGCGCATACACGGGTCCGGACGCATGAAAATTCGTAGACAACACAGGCCAGTCCATCGATGATTATGTATGAGGCTGGCTTGCTGTATAGAACGTCCGGGCTGAATCCAGCAATCATCTCCTCAACTTCACGCAGAAGCGTCTTTTCAGGTCAGGACCTACTATTATACATTATCCGCACCTACGTCCGTCAGTAAATATAAAGCAATTGACCTGTCGACTATATGAACTCTTCTAACCAGTTCTCTTCACCCAAAAACCCATACATGATAACCAAGTAAGTCGTAACTCAAGATGGAACCTGTGATACAACCCCTACCCTTGACGCGAGCAGAAGAACGCCACACCTTTCTACATAGATAAAGCCACTTCTCGCCCGCTTAGCTTGAAAACCGGTGCTGAGAATTGAGCATGCCTGTCGAGAACTGACATCTGCCACGTCTTATTGTAGAGCGCGCTGCAGTTGGGCATCGTACTTCTTCTTGTCGACGGGGTTCGACAACACCTGCACGCTCAGAAGCAACACATACCTAGTCAGACTTTCCTGATCAACCGGACTCTTCCGCTGAGGGATGAGAAGCAAAGCAATCTAGGGGTTCAACGCGTCCAAGAGAAATTCGAACTTTCCACGACGGCACTTTGCCTTTGTGGCAAATGGTAGTCGGAGAATCATCTCTTTGAAGTGAATTGATTCTTTATAGAGTGCAAAAGTGACTGGCCCACAAAGGAAAAACGGGTTCCCTCTGGTACCTTGACGAGATCATGATCAAAGACTGTGCAAGCTAAGGAAACCCGCTTCTTAACTTGGCAAGGCCCAAGTAAATGTCTCAAGAGCCTCCGAGCGGCGCGTTCCCAGACGCGAAATAAGTAACCAACCGACCTGATATGCGCGCGCAACATACTGGAAGACGAGGTCTGCATGCGGCCCCGCGCGATCGGGGTGGTAGCGGAGCGCCAGCCGCCTGCGCCGAGAGATTTGGGGGTTTAAGAACAGTTGGAACGACGACGATGTAGTAGCAGAAAGCCTTAGGAAAATTTCGTCTCGTAGATGTGGTCGACTGGTCTCGTCATGTACGGCAGACGAATCTGAAGTCAGTGAAAGAAAAGCTTTCTTATTTTGAGCGGGAGCGCTTTCTTCAATGCAAGCGCTGCAGTCGTTCGTAGCATGTTCAAAGGACGCGCTCGTTATGATCCACGCTCTCACAACTCAGAAAAACTTTTTCCGAATGTAGCCTGGAAAGTGTAAGCTTATAAGAATCCTGTTTGCACACGAGCTATCCAGAAAGAAGGCTGTCCTTTTCCTTTTCCCATACCGAGGACATAAAAATAATAAGAATGGTCGCTGGAATATGCAAGTAGTAATCGTTTTTTACGGGAAAGGAATGCATTCCATTGCTTCAAAAGCATAGAAGACCACAGCGCTCACTTGTACGCGTTCTTGACAGCTGTCGTGTTGCTACGGGGGCTCAGCTCCAGTATGCCGTAGAAGTCTAGCTGGGCGGGGGCCCGCCACATCTTGGCCTTCAGGTCGTGCATCTTCCGCCGGACGTCTTCCGTTCCGGTTCCGGCCTTCTCGAGGGCGGACAGGTCGCTCAGGGCGCTGAACACCAGGAACGAGAGCAAGCCAGTAAGTTCTCAGAGACAGGGCATGCGGGGCTTGGAAGCCCATCTAGACATTTGGGTGATGAATGGCTGCAAAAATACGGTAGGTACGTACTAACAGACGGTAGGTACTAATCAATCCCTGGTCAAAGGAGCCGACTAATCAAAGTCTAAAAAGACCCATGGAAAGTAAAGGAGATAGAGGCGTCGATCAGTCGCCATCCGAGCAGACAAGAAGAAGAGAGACCGTGAACTCGTTCACACTGCCAATATGTGACAGCCAATCTGCTTTTGGGCACAAAATTTCCGTTAAGCAGACCAGCTCAATCTCTCCTTCTAGCTTGGTCGAAGACAGTCGCTACTTAACGACTGGTCGACGGTTTCCTGGAGTACCTTTCTCCATAGTCGAGGCGCCGGACGAAAGCCGAAGACGTGAAACATGAAGAAAGAAGCATGTAGAAGAGACACATTTCGAGCACATCCGGCATGTGTCAATCCAGCGCACTCACGCTTGCCAGTCCCCGATCGCGAGACACGCGTCCACTTTTCTCAGCACCGCCCCCGCGCACTTTGGATCGATGCGCAGCGCGGCCGCGCAGTCCGCGAGCGCGTCCATGGTCGCGCCCAGCGCGAGGTTCGCGGCCGCGCGGTTGGTGTAAATGACTGCGTTGAACTGGTTATCGTTAACCCGCAGCTCCAGCGCCCGGTTATAGGCGCGCTTCGCGTCGTCGAACTTGCCCTTCGCGAAGGCGGCGTTGCCGTTGGCCTTCAGACTGCTGGCTTCCATCTGGGGGGAGAAAAAAAGGCTTATTGGACCAATTAACAGAGTTAAAACGCCTGAAAATCTTGGCTACTTGTTTAATGCTGTGGCTAGTCGTTTGTTTGATTCCTTGAAAAAGAAAGAGGATAAATTAGATGGGGTTAGTGAGAGGGTCTAATAGTCGAAGCCATCTGTTCAGAGCCGGCTCCTTCAGATTCTTTCGAATGTGACTCACTTCTCGAGTTTGAAGACTTCGCAGCGAGGCATAAGATCAAGCTGCAAATCAACGGAGGCGGCACTGCACATCAGGCCTGTTAACAGCTCTACTAACTGCTCCCGACACTCTCGTTTCCTTTAGCAATTGGATTGCTATTCTTCCTTCGAATCACTATCTCGCCCACGTTTCCTACTCGCATTCGGACCTTTTCAGAAAACAGGACTCTGCTCTGCTCGACTTCCGTTCCGCTTTCCGTTTCCGCTCACCTGCTTGGCGATCCGGTGCTTCTCCTCCTGCAGCAGCACCACCTGCGCTTTCAGCCGCTCGTTCTCGCGCATCAGCGCGTCCAGCTGCGGAGCCGAAGCCGCGGCCGCGGCCGCGGAGGCGGCCGCCGCGTCGGGCGCGATCTGTCGCGTTGGCACCTTCACCGGGCTGCACAATGGATTGAAAAGATTGAGTGACGGCGACCAGCATCAATTGCAAAGCAGCTGTGTGGACGAGAGCTCTGCTTCTGGTTTTGGAGAGTCACTTAGGCACATATTCGCTTGCAAGATCGGATTCGGCAATGAAAGACAAGTCTGGAAAGGAAGGTAGCGAAAGCAAGAATTACAAGGGTTCTGTTCGATCCATCTGACCTACAGATGGGGGGCTAGCTAGCTGCTTCAACGTGTACACAGGTTATCTCGCTGGCCGAGAGAGGCTTTACAGAAGTGGGGAGTCTACCTTCACGAATCAGTGAGGGTCGGATAAAACATGGAACTCAGCCTCGAGCCCCGCACTCATTGCTGTAAATTCTTCTCCAGTCCTGCTCACCTCTTCCTCTCCTGAGCTGGTCCAGTCGTCGTATCCTCCAGTTTCTCCCGCCCCGCTGCCTCGCGTTGCCTCACCATCTCAAGCACAGACCCCCTCCTTCGGCCCTCGGTATTATGCTCATCATTCTGCGGCCCAACTACTTTGACAAGGTCGCGTTCAGACTCGCGAGGCGGAAGGGGAACCTCTTCTTTGGAATCGGGCTTTGGCAGCCGCGAGACCGCCTCATCCGGGATACCGATTCTAAGCTGGTGCTGCCCCTCAGGGCTCCGCACGGTGGCGTTAGAAACGGTCCCCTGCGGCATCTCGGGCGCCGTGACCGCCGGCGCCACGGGAGTGACGTCACCGACCGGGGCAGTGACGTCGCGTGTCAGCCCCGGAGCTTCTGCCGGCGAACTGGGAGGGGTTTCCGCTGGAACCAGAACGGAGGGACCCAACGGAAGGAGCGGAAGAGGATCTTTTATCGTCCCGCTTTTCTGCATCCTAGAGGACTGTTCTGCCGCCTGCCCCTCTGAGGTTTTCACCCCGGTTTCCGTTTGTCCGGTAAGAGCACCCTTCTTCGCCTTTCGTTTGTCTAAGCCGTTCTCCTTCCCGGAACCGTCCTCATTAGCCCTATTCGCAAACCCCCTGAGCTCTTGCAGCGGCAGCGTGACACGTGGCGCGACGGGAGTGGCCGCGGCTCGCCGCCCGAAGAACGCGGCTGCGTTGGGAAGTCTCTCCTCGGGGAAATTGTTTCTTGCGTGCGGGTGAGCAACCCCCTGAAGCGAGGCCGCGACACTTCCCCCCACTTTGTTTTCATCCTCGGACCCCTCGTTGCTGTCTTGGTCCCGCTTTGGGGGGGTCTCCAGATCACACCGCTTTGGGGCTGCTCCGTTCTGGTCTGGTTCTGTTGCTAAGAAGGCTTGGGGAGCGCTTGACTCGACCGGAACGGGGCTCCGCTCATCACTGGCGGAACGGGCGGTGGAGACTCCGGCGGCAGCAGGCAAGCAGTCCTCCCGCAGAGCGGAACGGAGTCCATTGGATGCTGGCACCTTGTTCGGCGTGACACTTGCCCGGAGGAAAAACGCCGCAGCGCCCCGGAAAGTCTCTTCCGGCGACCGCTCGGCCCCGTCTGCCCCCGACTTGTCGCCACGCCTAGCAGGCGACCCGACCGTCTCTTCCACAGGGAGGAGGTCGCCTTCGGTGACTGCGCCCCAACCGCCGCTGCCCTTTCCAACAGAGGTATCCGCAGTGTCTAGGCTTGCCTTCTCATCCACTTCCGCGTCCGCTTCCGTTTCCGCCTCTTGTGTGCCCGGCAACCTGTCGTTTTGTGTAGACGCCAATGACCGGTCTCTGTGCCCGGTTGATCCAATCAGCCCGTTTGGCAGGCAGGAAATCAGACCTCTGGGGGGGTTAGAAACCGGCCGGAACGATACCCCCCGGAAGAAAGCGGCGGCGCCGCCAAAGGGCCCCTCAGGAGACCCAGGCTCCCTCTGGCTGTCGACACACCTTTCAGGCGGGCTCAAGCTCATAATCGATCCTGTATTCGCTGACGTCATCACGTCGTCGACCTCCACTTCCTGCGCTGCCCTTGCTGCCGTCACGATGCCTGCAGCCTCCACTTCCTGCGCTGCCGTTGTCTCCTCGGACTCAGGGACGATCGGCGCTTCGGGTGCTTCGGCCTGAGCAGCGGCGGGCGGGCTTTGGGGGTTTAGCGCGCTGCCGGCCGCCTCAAAGCTGGCGGCGTCAGCAGGGGTTAAAGGATTTGACGGTTCGGCTTCCTTGACGTCTTCCGCCCGTTCCGTTCCGTTCGCTTCCTCCGTCTGTTTCGCAGCGTCGAACTTCTCGACCGCCGAATCCGCTCTTCGGTCTACAGAGTCAGCCCCTTTCTCGCTGCACTTCTCCTCATCACCGACTATTTCAACCCTTGGACTCTGCTGAGACCCCTCCTCCGTTTCCATCGAATGTTCAAAAGCATCTCCTTTCTTCGATTCTTGTTTGTCTGGCCCCACACTTTCGCCAGACAGGCCTTCCCGGCCGACAGTCACAATCCCGTTCGCGGCGACCGCGCCGTCCATCTGCAGCCTGCGCGCAGCCCTTGGCACGTGTCCCTGGTCGCCCAAAACGCGCGCGCGCGCCTCCATCCGCTGCCGGACCTCCTCCAGCCGTTCCGCCGACCCCACCGGACTCCGCCCGTACAAAGACAGCAGCTGCGGGGAGCTTGTCGCACAAGGGGAGAATCTGGGCGACCTGGGCAGTGCAGTTTCGCGGAAAGTGGTTGCCTTTTGGGGCGAGAGTTTGACGGTTTGGGGCGCGCTCTGGTGCGCCCGCTCGAGGGCGGCCGCGAGGAGCCGCAGCTTGTCGTCGGTCGTCGGGACTGGAAGACGATCGAAGGGCGCGGCTTCGAGTTGGGCACCTGTGGAAAGGAACACGTCCTGAGGATGCACGGCTTTTACGATCTTGCTGAGCTTGTTTTGTACACGAACCTGCCAAGTGGCCGCCAGAAGTGTCCAGACCAGATTAATATAGGAGGACGAATCCCGTGGTTGATTGAGTGATAGTTGAGTCGGGAAGGTAAAGCTGAAACACAGACAGCCGTCGAAACATGGACGGCCAACGTCGACTTGACTGCCAACAAGCGCAGTGTGACCAGTCGTTTTGTACCCCGCTACTAAAGACCCACAGTGAAACAAAGGAAGCAAGAATTCCCAGCCTTCGTGCTTCCAGTGCTTCTTTCATCACATACACGACCGTCACCTTCGCTTCTCAGGTCCCTAAAGTTTGCCGTCGAAAAAGGGCGCGAAGAAAGGAGGCCAGTACTACTGCTCACAAAACCAAAAAGTCCGCATGACTTCAGCGACAAGGAGCAAGAAGCTTCTCTGGTCACAGAGACTCCCACAAGCAAGAAGCTTCTCTGGTCACAGAGACTCCCACAAAGCTGCTCGCAAGAGAACGCTGGGGAACGAACCCATCGTCAGGAAAGTGTGCACAATAGAGCTCACCTGCTGCTGACGTCACTTCAGCAGGGGTACCCATGTCCGCCTGCCTTGCGCCCTCATCTCTATTCGGGGTGCTGACGTCACCGTCCTTTGGGCGCACGACGATCTTGACCCCTTCCAACGTGATCTTCACGGGCGTGTCCTTGGCACGTGCCTTATATGCCACGTGGCAACGTCCCGTTGCCGCCGCAGCTTCCTCATCCATTGCCGGCTCGCCCCGTGTCACGGCCTCTGTCGCACCGTCAGCCACCTCCTCCTTCACAGCTTTCCCCTTCTTTGAACGCTTCAAACGGAGGGCCTTTCGCAGGAGGCCCCTCTTCGGCGCCCCGCTGACGTCATCCCGGTCTCTCTCCGTGAGGCCCTGTTGCTCGCCGGGTTGACGGGCATTGCCGTCGCCTTCGGTGGGGGCAGTCTCCGCTCCGCTCTCGATGGGGCCCCGCTTGTCCTTCCGTTTCTTCCTCTTGGATTTGGCATCTGCGCCTTTCTCTGCTCCCCTTTGCTTCCCGATCTCTGTCTCGTCTCCGCACTCCCTTCTGTCCGTATCGTCCCTTGCTTGCAATCTCAAAGACTCTCCTTCCTTCTCAATTCGCGAAACTCCCCGTCCAGCTTCGTAGCTTCCGTCCTTTCCGTTCACCTGTTCCGCTCCCTTCTTGACCAGAGCTCCGAAACCCACGTCCTCTTCCTGCAGCGCCGGCGCACTTACACTCTTCTTCCCAGACCGCCCAAACCCGAAACCCCACTTCCCCTTCCCTCCGACCTTCACCACGTTCTCCTCTTTCCCGCCGTCCCCAACTGGCACTTTCGATTCCTTGTCGACTGCCCCACTCAGTTTCTCGTCTCCAGTGTCAAAAGAACCGGTCAGAGATCCGCTAACTGACCGCCTACGCTCCCAGGGCGGCACTTCGCCCGCCAATTCACTTGAACCGGTTATGAGGCCCTGTTCTGACTCCAGTTTCAGCTTCCTCAGGGCCGCCAGCCCGGCCCTGAACTCAGAGTCCTCGAGATGGGGCCCAGACTTCGGCGATACATTCCCACCGCCATCAACCTCTGTCTTTCCGGCAGTTCCAACCGGCTCTGTGCTTGGAGTCTCTGAGCGACCGGTTGTTTTCACGCTCGTCTGAGCAAACAGTTCGTCACTTTCCGGGTGACTGTTCGGACGCATTTTCAGCTCGGCCGGCGGCAGCTCTCCTGAGGTTGACACGTGGAGCACGCAGGGTGCCTCGTGGGGGGGTGCCTGGCCCACTGACTCCGATGGTGACGTCAACGCTGATGTTAGCGGCTTCGTCGGAGAGGGGAAGCAGCCCTTGCCGAGGGGGGACGGCCGGCCGAGTGTGAAGGGCTTGCCAGGGGACCGGAGCTTCTGCGAAAGGGGGAGGGAAATCGGTCAATTGTTGCATTCCGGGAGATGAAAACAGAGAGGTTTCAAGCAGCCTAAGGCAATTATTGGGCGAGAGGCCTTTTGTGCGGCTGTGAAGCTCCGGCGGGGCGGCTGGAATCCGGTGTCAAGAGAGGGAGAAGAAAAGAGTAATTGGCAGTTTTCTCTGGTCTTGAGAGAGGACGAGGAAAAGAGTGACGGGCAGAGCTGGAGAAGAGCTAGTGCATGACGGTTCGTTGGTTCATTTGGCATCTCCTCAGGCGTTGGTGCTACTCGCGTTGAAGCAGCCAGAATCGATAAAAGTTTCACGTTGTGAATGATCAAGCCAAAGCATCGTGGCCCGCTCCGACAATGCATTTGGAAGGCTGTCTAGGCTAATGAAGCGGGATGAAATCAGAAGCTTCGTATAAGATCACGCAAGCAACTAGTCAGCAGAAATCTCACCCGGATCAGGTTTGATTATAACAAGGCCACGAATTGAAGGTACGTACCTTAGGACTCTCTTCCTCAAATCGAACCTTTCCCTTGACCGCCATGTCCCCTGAACGTCAAGTATCACAAGGATCAGCATCTGAGCATGTGAAAGTAGTGTCTCGGTTCATGAAAGCAAGCCAATTGGTGCCAGTACAGCAAAAGCGCTGGCAAGATTGAAACAAATCCATCTGCCCTCGACTCAGCCATGGAAGTCGTCTGAGCAAAGGGGTCGAGCTCCATATAAGATCAAAGGGATACCAGGTTTGTCATTGGATACTGCCTAAAATTTGAAAAACCAACCCGGTTTATTGGACTCTCATACCGCAGCAAAGCCTCCAAGGTCGTGCTAACCCTCACCTTTGGAAACCGCATTCTCCGACACCTGTTGAAAGGGCTCCCTAGTCGGGCCCGCCAGTCTGGTGCTCCCCTCTTGAGCATCGCTGACGTCACGCCCTCCCAGTGGGCTTCTCAAGACTGCCTTGCTCTTGATTGGGCTCCGTTTGGACACTTCCAGCCGCGCACCTCCGAAGCACCCCAGAGGCGACTTCGCCGTTCCTGCAGGCAGTTCTACACATTTTGCAACACTTGGAAATAAGCTTCCCTCTGAGAAAGTATGATTACACTGTATGTGTGATAGCGTGTCACCACAAGCTGACCTAGTCTTCTCTGTCGGGGTCAAGACATGCAATGGACGCAGAATACAGGACCTTCATGTATCTCCTGACTGTGCAGACTGGTGGCTAACTGACTCTGAGCCAAATCCAATTCCTTTCATAAAGTTCAGCACAAGCTGCGATTGAAACCCAGAATCCATGGTGCGAAAGCACTGAACCGTTTTTGGCGGCAACTTACCTGGTGAGCCGCCTGCTTCTCCCGTCCGAACCACAGTCCGGATCTGAAGTCCGGTAACATTCCGGACGCCCAAAGCCCAAGCCTGCTGCCGGTTCTCATCGTTCTCTGCTCGGGTCTCATCAAAACCCACCCAGCCCACCGGCGTTTTGTGCTTATTCACACCAACTGGCTGAGGCTGGTTTGCTCCCAATGTGAACGGGTTCCGGGTGCGGGTCTTCCTGAGGAGCGGGGGGGTCCGCTTCGGGGGAGCCGGCAGCAGGCCACTTTTGACAAACCTAGTGTCAGCTGCTCTATTGACACAAGCCTCTTCAGGCTGGCCGGGGTGCGTCTGCTTCTCTGCAAGCGGTGTCAAGTTGATTGGTTCCCCCTGCGGGCCCCTTTCATCCCCCTGCGTTCGCTCCCGGCATACAGAGTCAACAGCCGTCGAGGTGAGCCGTTCAGATTCCAGCCCACTCGCTTCTTTGCGTGGGACGGGGGCAATCTCGGATGACGCAGCGTCAGCCCCCCCAAAACGAAGTGCCCTCGTTACGCTTCCTCGGACCCCCCCCTGGACGTCCACTGTTTCATTGCCCCCCTCTAGCCGCCTAGCGGCTTCCCTCGGCTCACTAAACAGTGCGGGACTTTCTTGAAGAAACGTAGAAAGACTGGGGGAGGCAGATTCTGGAGACTGTTCCACAGACTGGGGGTATCCCCCTCGCTTCTTGATTGGGCTGGGGGTCAGTCGGTTTGCTATGTTGCTCAGTCTGAGGGGCCACCCCCCCGGTTGTGGGCTGGGCGGCTCAGCATCTGATGGGGGGTGTAGAAGCTCAGGTTTGGAGTTCGCAAGGTGCCCCCCAGTAGGAATTCTGTGCGCATGATCCGTGGTACTCTTGTCTTGGGGGGGAGGAGCGTGAGGGCTCCTTTTGACTGGAGCCTTGGCTGGGGATGAAAGGAACTCCTGGAGGGGGAAGCCAAAAAGTTTTGAGGAAGTTGCGAGCTGTTACTGGGGACGACATCTGTTAGTGGTGTAAGGAGGAGGCCCAGCATGCTTCCATGCTGGGCCTCCTCCTTACACCACTTAGGAGTGTAAGGAGGAGGCCCAGCCTCCTCCTCCAAGTTTGTCACCGTCACTCTGGCAAATTTGAAAGAAAGAAGCTGAAATAGAAGAAAGTCTATAAGCTGGCATAACGGCATCAAAGTTCACAGCACGGCAGTACAATGAAAACCGCGGAATGTTACCCCTCTGCAGTTTGTCTCAACTACCATTTCATGCTGAACAATACCAGTTGACCAAGTTAGACTTCACAACTTAGAGCACTTGGCATGGTCTTCAGATCAATCGTTTGACGGGGTCTAAAGTTTTCTGAAACATACAAGCCCATGTGAATCCTTTTCAGTGCTCTGCATAATCTGATACATGAAACGCATCCACTTGTAACAGCTCTACAGCTCCAGCCAACTCAAATGAGCTTTATTCAACAGTGACAAGCTGTTCATCAATCACATATATCCGGCGATGTTGGTTCAAGTGGCCAATCAGTTTCAATACGTGTGCTAACCTGCTGCACATCTTGCGGAACTCAGGCAGAGAAGTACGGGTCTTCACAATTGGGCCACCCAATCAGAGAATGACATGAAGCATGTGGACTACCCCAAATAACAAAGGAAAGAAAGACAAATAGTTTCACTCCTGTTCCAGCTGCTTGATAAGAGTAACTAGTCCACGGCTTACCTTTGCTATGACAAGTCTGCTCAAGTCGATGGATTGCCGCAGCGGATCCATTGTCATTTTCCAGCTGCACTTGGAAGAACTATTGTGACCACAGCTTTGATAGTGCAGTGTCCTTTGCTGATTGCCCTCTGTTCCTGCTTTGCGCGTCTGTGGTCTACTCTTCAGCTCAGCAATGTTGCTATCTGCAACTCTTTGAAGCCTTCAATGAAAAGCCAGCCAGGTTCTGTGGCCATAATTCATCTCTTTCTGTGTTCAATATTCCTGTTTCAATGTTGTGGCTTGGATTGGATTAGAGCATGCTTGCAATGCTGCTGCATGCAGTGCAAGACTGTGTTCTTTCTTCTCTGCCCTGGTTTCTTCTGTCTCGAGTCTTGACCAACGTTGTTCAAACGAGAAATCCGGCTGGCCCATCTACCTACAATACCTCCTCCAATTTCGGAGTTCTGGAGCCGTTGGCCTACGCAACAGCTTCCATCGTATCGACGCTGCTCGAAGCTTCTTGACATTTCATCGACGGCTATTGTCGTTGCTCATCGCCGTGGCCGTTGTCCCAACGAGCAACCCGACTGCCCAAAAGTACAGGTGGCAAACCCTAGCCAGCTCTTGCGGCTCGAGTCTGGGGCTGTGCTGTGGCTGGGACGTGGTCGATTAGGGGAAGTCGAAGAGGCAAACTTCTTGTCCTCATTCTGACACAAGCTGCGCTCCATTTCTGCTGTTGTTCCTCTGCTACAGAAGCACTCTTTGCTGCCCCCCGCAGACCTGAAAAGCTGAAGGACAGAACGATTCAGCGGGTCAGACGACATTTCTGGGGGCGTGCCAGCACGCATTGATGCTTCCAGCAGGAGGGATCTGCTCGTTGCACTCAGTCCTGTTCCTGGCCAGTCCTTCGTCCTTATCTTCTGAAGAACATTTTCAGTCAGCATTGTCGAAGGTGCGGGTGTAAGCAGAAAAGTCATTGTCCGCGCAGAATCGCATTGCAGAATCAAAGGCAGGAGCGGGAGTAACTAGAGACGGGACACAATGAAGCAGTCAATGGGCCGCCTTACCCGCAGCCGCAGCTGCCTGGCGCAGCAGGAAGAGGCTCACAAGGAGAATGAGGCGCCAATGGACACGTCCCCGCCAGCCCCGACCGCAATGCAGAGCAAGGAGAATGCAGCCAAGTTGGCTAGGCAGTGAGTGCACAAACTCCAGGGACCACACTTGCATGTTTGAAGGTTTGATGCCTCTTTGGTGCTGTTATCGGCTGTGCATTGCCTGGGTTCTACGATGCTGCTGGGAGAGCAGAAATTTGCTGGCAGCAAGTGCACACTTATATGCTGGTCTTTGGAACAGAGATTCGCACAAAAGCAGCTGAAAACAGGGTTGCACTTAACTGCTAGAAGCCCAGATGCTGCATTGATCACGTATCTCTGAAAATTTTAGGCTCCTACAAACCACCCAAACCATGCATGAGGAAAATGCTACCGTGCCAGGCACCCTGCTTCTCAGTGTTGGACTTGGGGGCAGCTATTCATTGTTCAGACTGCACTTAGTCTGGACATTCGCATTTGCCTTGCCCAGCCGGGGCCTGCTCTTCTCCAGAACTCTTATTGGTGACCACCCCGTCGGCCGGCTCTGTCAAGTAGGAACTTCATCCTGGCCCTAGCTGATGTCAGATTGTGAAGACTAATGGTATTCAACACAGGACTGAGCTTGGGGCCACATTTACACCTTGACTTTATTAACAGGGATCCCTCGCTGCTGCAGGCAATCGTACAAGAGCCCGACCGACTCCATGGTGTCCCCCATCTCCCGCAACCTGCTGTCCCGCAAGCTGTCAAGACCCGGCTCCATCAAGCTGCCCATCAAAGTGAGCCTCCGATCTTCTTATAATGACAGCTGTCATGCCTTCCGAAAGCTGTCATGCTGCTTTGACAGCTGTCATCCTTCTCAGAAAAGTTTTGCCGAAAAGGTGGAAGTCCAGAACCCAGCAAAGGTACCCCCGAGCAAAGTTGGTATCTGGACCAATGGCGAGCCTGATTTGAGACAGGTGCCTGATTTGGGGACGATGTACATATGCGAAGATGGCAGGGAAATATGACAGCTGGATCGAGGATGCTTGTCAGCTGTCACAGCCAGCTGTCTATTTGCGGCTGTCAGCAAATGCGTAACCTGCTGAGTCTACTCTTGGCATCTGTTGTATTGGGGTGCTGCCATAAGATTGATGTGCTCCAATCAGCGACTGACCCGACTGAATATCAACCTACTGAGGCAACCTGCGAAGTTGCTTTTGGTTGAAGGAGGATGTACATTCAGCAATTCGGGGTCACTTACAGCTTGGCTGCTCTAGTTTTCTGCCATTCTGATATGGACACTATAACTTGAATATGCTCTGCATTTTGACTTCGCGTGCAAATATTACCTATATACCTTAGAACCTTCAGATATGTTTGCTGACTCAGAGTCAGCGAGCTTCCTCACAGGACAAATGACTAGATCTCCTCAAGTTCGCCAAGTCTGAAGGCTGCAAGTTACTTTCTCTTCCTGGGCTGCTGTATGCCTAGCGTGCTTATGTAGTCTGCCCTCTTTCATGCAGGTGCTGGAAACTGCTTATGAGAATGGAGCCCCTGGACCCAGATAGGACTGACAGCTCCAATCATAGTCGCGCCCGGGTACCGTCATCTGTGGCAATACTGCTTACTTCACGGCATTTAGTCCACCATCTTGTAGACTAGCTCGCCACTGTATAATATGGGAATCAGAGCTTAGATATGTTCGTAAAGCCATCACAGGCTTTCTGTCGAGGCTCACACTGGTTCCTGCTTTCTGACTTCTGCGAGCAAACACTGACGATACTACTGTGCGTGGATGTCAGAAGACTTGATAGGACTGATAACGGGTTAGGTTCAAGCTAACGATCATTATGCACTTAGTTACAAAGTGCAGAGTCTGACGTTAGAAGAATGATAAGATGCGAGTTAGCTGCATGACTCTTTCTATCTAAGAAGACGTCTGAGACCTCTCTCGTCTGGTTGTGTTTCGTGAATTGGTGGATCGAGCAGAACTCAACTGTACATTTAAGAATCTACAGATCCCATCTGCTGGCATGAATGGACTCAATCTGAACAGTTGACTTCCTCAAGATTTGAGAGGCCGATCCACATGCTGAGGTTTTGCGGTAGACAAGCCCACATGTTGTCCTGTGTTTTGAGGACTTTGCATGCAGCTGGACTAGCTCGAGCCAGTGACTAGCTTTCTGGATTGATCCTTCCTGTGCCTTGGAAGATTCATACTAATGGGACCTGGTCTACTCACTAGATGTTGACCTAATATTTCCGACGTCAGCTCTTTCTCGTGTTCAATCCTAGAATCTGGCTGCAAGCCGCGATCGCCGGGCGACTGCATGCACTGACTTACATATCTGTAATCGAAACGTCACGACATAAATTACCATCTTGAATGTGATGCTTCACACGCATTCGTCAAAATTGTCGTCGGCAGAAACGGCCCCACACTGCCTGCAGTCACCACGATACATGATCTGGCAACCGGACTGCAGAAATGTGCAAGAAGCTCTAACTCTACAGATGCTCTAAGCGCGTGTGCCGTTTGATGTGTCTTCTCAGATTACAGGAACTAAGGCCTGCGAGGCCGCTTTTCTCGGGGGCCCAATTCAGATTGGATGGACGAGCACTCCTGGAGTCATGATCTCAGGGGTTGAAACGTGGATTGCGTGCATTCTTGACATGGCTCTAGTTCGTTCAAAGAATGGACAGCGGATCTGATGGAGAATGCACCTGTAGAGAGGAAGATTCAGAAACCGCATGATATGAAGCCCGTTACCGGAAAGAATGATCCATTCGCATCTGGGTTGAGGGGCCACGCCTTGCAATTTTGCAAGGCTCTGAAAGAGGGCCACCAGCCAGAAGAGAGGGACAGAACTTTGACACTGTTGATCGAAGCCAATGCTACGACTCACAAGCCGTTTCGTATCAAAAACGGAAGCGAATCTGCGGCGAACTCCGGCAAACAAAATTAGCGAGTGTCAGCTGCCACGTTCGCTCTCCCTCATTTCGCAAGGCTGACCCTTCTTTTTCAAGTATGCAAGGACGTGCGGCGTACAGGAATCGGTGTCGGCTGCCGTCCGGGACTTGTCTGACCCAGTGTTGGCGCCTCCTAGAGATTAAACGAAACCTTGGCGTACGAGGGTGACCCCCTCCCGGAGTGCTCTGGCACCTAGACTTCGATGAACGCTGATCCAGGATCAGCCAATCGCAAGAAAGAGGCGAGAGACAGGTTGACATTAGGTTAGCACAACAGTGTCCCGTATGACAGTGGGCTCTCTGATTTGAAAATATCTGATGATTGCGAGTACCATTGCTCTTAATGGCTGGAGACGAACAAGGAGACACACTCAAAAGTCTGCTTTCCAAAGTAGAAATGCGCTACAGGTGATGGTGATAAAGAAGATATGGCCGGCGTTGGCTTGCTTGAACGTGACATGGTTCTATCAGAAGAGCCGGGACTAGTGCACCTTATGACCTTATCTTGTAAACTTTGATGCACGATCAAGGTTCTGTTCCGGGGGCAAAAGTTTGCAAAACCCACAATCCTGACCGAGATCCAGAATCCTTGTTGACACAGCTCGAACTGGTCTGCCTGGCAAGCTTTCCAGTGAGACGTGTGCGCTTAGAACTCAAGTGAACCGCAGCCCATTGCGGCCAGTGAGCGCGCTTACTTGCTGAGATGTGGCAGGTGGTTTTCTGGTTTTAACTCAATGGCCAACGTCTGCGCGCCTTCGTGTGCTTGCCCTGTATTTCTAAGTGCCTGGGGCGCGCTCGCGCGCTTCCAACAAGCCCTGTAGCGGGCGAGCGCACCTACAGAAGAGAAAAACAGTTCTGAGCGCGGGCGAGATGCGGAACTCCGTTAACAATTGAAGGGGCGCGCGGAGCTGCCAATCAGAAATACAACCCACTGTGATCCGGATACTGTATGCTGCACAGGATGGCAACAGCCACGGGTGAGGAAGACCTTTTTCAATCGGATCAAAAGGAGAAGTTCGCCGTGGGGGATGGTTTTGTATCGAGGCTACGATTGAGTAAGAGCGAGGCGCCAGGCGCTACGACGGTTGACAGCTCAACTTATTCGCAAGCTACCTTCCGACGAGCAAGCCTGGCACAAAGTCGATTGAGACCCGAGACAAGCCGCTCTCGTTCTGGGCGTCTGTTCTCGACCACGAGGTGTTGCGTTTGTTTTCTATGTTTTCACATCTGCATCGCCATGGTCTGGATGCACTCAAAGAAGCTTGGCCTGTTTACGAATTACCGTCCACCGTCGTAAGCTAGCCTCCTGCTTGACTGTGAAGGAGCACACTAAAGACAATACGTCACTCGCTTCGGAGAAACGGGAATAGCAGAGAGCGTTCGCATCTCGACATCAAGATGTTCGACTTCGATGTGAGAAAGGTCTGGCCGCCGTGCTGTGACCCCGATCGAAACAGCATCTAGGAATCCGAGGGACTCAGACCTCCACTCTTTCACAATTCATTGCATCAATGACATACTGGCATGTCTTTTGAACTCGCACTACTATGCTGTGAGCCGAGTGAGCTACTCTCGGTGGCATATTGCTTTGGACACAACATCTATAGCAGAAATCGACCGTGATCCAGGATCATATCAACCTGTCCAACGTGTGACACCAATTTAGGGCTTCACGAGACGGTGAGACATCGCAGATCTTCCGTTTTTCCTTGCAAATCTGGTATCATTTTAGCTTTGTGAGGTTGCTCCCTATATATAAGGTGCCTCCCGCCACTTCGGACGCTAATCTGCTAGGCGCTTGTCGGACGTGGTAAAGGCAAAATTTATGCTTTGAGTCCGCTTCGAGTACTGTCTGAGAACCAATTACTTCTCATGAAGCGAACTCGGCTGAGTTCAACGTGTCTCGATCAGCACACTGCATTGAGTTCTCATCAGCCAACAAACGTGCCCATAAAGGATATGTTAGTTTAGGGCGCCGACGCAGACCAGCAACGTCGCCCGACGATTTCCGGGTACGGCACACCAGAGGATACTCACTGACAACATTGTGAATTACCGCCCACGCGCCCGTTCTGCGCCCGCCTCGCACCCGCAACGGCGCTGGGCTCAGGGACCAGATTCGACGTAGGGTTCGGCCGCACATTCACACAGGCGGGCGCCCCAGTACTCTTTCACGGATGCTGGTATTCTACGAGCAGTTTAAATCAAGAGCACGACCAGAGCAAAAAGCTGGTAAGCACCCGGCGAGTCCGAACTGTGCGTACAGCTAGTTACTAACCGTACATAGAAGTACGTTGTAGCTGTTCGCAGCGCTGCAGCCTGTCTAGCGACTCCACTTGGTCAGCCAGCTGACATTTTTTCGAATTACGTTGGAGCGTTCCGTTCTGCATGCAGTTCGACACAGAAATGTCGATACCGCGCGAGCAATGCGCAGTATACTCAACAGCTACCCACGGCCAGCTACGACTGCATATGGCTTATAGCCAGTCGGATATGTCCCCTTTCTTGGCCTGCGGCTAGGGGTGAAAGGCCTATCAGAATCGAAGATAGCTGGTTTTTGCGAGCCCCTCCATCAATTGACGTAAGTCTTACATAGTGACTCAGTGCCCACTGCCAAATCAGTGGAGCAATGTTGCGTAGTGTTTCCGGCGCACTCCCTTGGTTGCAGAAGGATCGTAGGCCGTTAGTACCAAATCAGCTTCTGCGCCAGGCCCGAGTCGCGTGTCGTGACGTACTGTCCTCATGACACGATCGGCCCGAGGAGGTGGGCGGTCCGAAATGCACGGAGCGCGGGGCGCTTCCGATGCTCGGGGCCGACTGCCGCTGTGCTCAACTTTAAACCACCACCCCGGGTATAACTCGAGGCAAACCGGCTGGCATTCGCGCCAACGGCCAACGGAATTCAAATTTCGGTCCGAAGGCGCTCGCTTCCAAGTCATGCATTTTTGACCTTATAGATCCAAAAAACTGAAGCATTACTCCATGGTTTTCGGCGGTTTTGCTTTCTAAAGCTCTCTTTCAGTAGTTCCAGCAAGGCCAGATCGAAACCGCCGCTCAATTCGTGAAGAAACGGCCTGTTTTAATGTAGGAAAGGTACCCCCTTGTATGTGTGCGTCCAGTGTGCGCCCGTCGCGAATTTCAAGTTGCAAACTTGATTATGAGCACTCCTGGTAACCAGGAGTATTTATACCTTGGGTGGTGGTTTAACGGGACGTACCGGTCACTTGGGGTGAGGGACTTGTCGGCTAGGAAGAATCCAGTCGGGATTCGGAAGCATGCCAGGCTTCGTACTGCATGTGCTGCGGACCAGTGCGGAGCGCGCTGCGCCTGTTATTGTCTAAATGATTGGTCGGCCGTCAATGGTCATCCTGTAGTATGTACCCCTAACCTCATACCCTATTGTCGGATCTCGCGACATGCACTTACATGCCACGTGCGCCACATTCTAATGCTGACAAGTGTTGAGAAGCACTCGATGGCCATCGGACGGTGTATAAAGCTGGACCGCGACGGCAGATATTTACGATGCACGTGGTACGTCGACGGCGCTTTCGACATCCGTACAAGATGCCATATGTCAAGTTGCGCTGCTTGCGCACCGGGTGATTCCGGCAACGCTAGCTTGCACCAAGACCAGCTTGCACTAAGATAAGCACCCGGGGGACGGGTAGGGTTAGTTTGGTGGTTAGGGTGGGTGCGGGTGCGGAGCGCTCGATTTGTTTGGTTAGGGTTTTAATTAGTTTGGGTGCCCGGGACTTGTGTATCTGAGTGCAAGCGGCAAACGAGCGTTGCCAGTATCACCGGGTATCCGGATGCCACCGGTCCAAATATAACTCCAGAGTACGAGGTGCATTATGATTGCTGTGGCGTTATCCCCATAACGCTTGCTCGCCCACATGGCGCACAATCTAGGTGCGAGCGACGAGACTCAGCAAGCACTCTTGAGCGGGGCCCGTACATGCCGGCGTGCAATCCGTCCAGTGTCTCCAAATACAGCAACGACGTACTGTGACTCTACTGGATCCGAGTCCAATTCAATGCTGCAAGTTTTCTGCCAACTCCGATGTGCCGTCCTTTTGCCGTTTGTGCATCCCTACTTTTTAATAGTAGTAATGATAGTATTTGCAGCTCTGTCTACAGTTTGCGGGAAGCTCGCCGCGTCACTGCGTCAATATCCGGCGGCAGCCCCTCAGCTGGGTGACTGATATTCTAGTGGAGTCAGTCATCAAGAAGCGATACTATGAGTCAGCCAGGCCCGATGAAGCGTGGCAAGAGCTTTGTGCACTGGTAGGTATCACCAATATCTAAGCAGACCAGCTACAGGAAATATTGCGATGCAGCTCACAGGAGCTGGTCAGAACGTTGCATGTTGTGAAAGTCGTTCAAGCGTCAAATGCAGGCTCGCAAACCACGACTCCGACTATCGTCATCAATACGTCCAGCTGCAGGTCTTCACAATCGCGAGAACGGACTTGGAAAGCTTCCTTCCGAACGAACGAACGCAGCTACTTATCTTCCATTTGGCCTCCATTCCTGCTCGTAGGAAACAGTTGTTGCCAGCGAGACATCACTTCCCTGCGCGTTCATGGCCCGGCTCAGAATCTCCGCTTCCTCGCTTCACGTGAAACACTACCTTGCGACACACAGCGTGGCAACATCGCTTGCGTCGCTGCGCTCAGAGGAAGACGTCAGCTCGGAGCCTTCCAGCTCAGAGACTATTCCCACTGAGCTGGCGCACTTGGAGCGGGGTGGTGTGAATGGCCACAGGAGTGCCGAGGAATGCAAGGCATGTGGGAGGTGGCTGGACATGAGCATGAGCAGTCCACATTGTGAGTTGACTTCTTCATCTGGTCAGTGTTAACAAGCTGGCCTCTATGACTTGGTGGTGCTTAAGAAGAGGAGGTGTGACTTGCTCAACAAGATATCAGCTATAGTGCTGAGAGTGTCGGTGTTTTGATTTTAAAAACACGAGTTGGTTTCCCTCAGCTTCCTTCTTAAAGCTTACAAAGTTGCTACCAACTTCCATGGTTTGGCTGATTAGCTCAATTCCCACATTGTGCTTGAGGAGGAACGCTTGAGACCAGATGCTAGCTGAATTTGCTTCGAATCAGGAGCAGCAAAACCAGAGGAAGTGACAAGAGCCTCCAGTCGGGCGTGTCAAGTTTAGGTTGCTGACAAAGTTTCAGTTGCTGCAAGGCGGTAGCCCATCAATTGGATATTGCAGCAGACATCCCCGAATGTTTGCTTTTTTGTTGAACTTATGTTCACTTCTGTAGTCCAGATCACTTACTTCATTGTCCTGCCTGCGCTCATTTGTTCCCTTGATTCTCAACCAGAGCGGGGAAAAAACAAAGCCAAAGTTGGGCAGGCAAGTTGTGCTTTCCAGGACAGACCCCTTCTTGTGAAGCTTTCTTTCAGTGACGCGGTTCTGTTCCTTCCAGCATGCACACATGTCGAACAACCTCCAAGTGTTGTGTCCAAGGATCCTCCTACATCACCGGGGCTTCATTGGACCTCCCGTTCTGCCACTGCCCGTGGTGAGAATCAACCCTACCGACTAAGATTGCCCCTGTGATGATGTTAAATCTGGAACTGAAAACTCTGATGGATTGCTCTCTTTGGTGAAGTGGTCTTACTTGCTTTCTGCTCGACCTGTCCAAACCATTGTACCTCTCCCTGACAGAGGACTTGCTTTTTGCAGACTAGAGGTTGATTGTTTGGATGGATGGCAATATCTATCAAGGATCCAACTTCAGCTGCTTCCAGGTTTCCTTATGCATGCACATATATATGGATCGTTGGGTTTCTGAGTCTTCAGAAAGACCAGGTATGAGCATTGAGCAGGCATACAACACCCCTTCATCCGTTCATGGCCGTTTAGCCTTACCTTGTGCCATGTTTTCAAGGAGCACAATCGCATATTTGCAGTCTGGCTGCCACTGCAACACGAGCGAACAGCTTGCGGTGCTTCCTAGATTCGGACATACCAAAGTCGACAAATGGCGATTTGTGAGAGTCCCACCCTTCCCTATAATTTATAAAGTGCCTTGCAATTGTTTCTCATGCACGTTAGAAACTTCAACCAATCCTAGGCTGAGCACGACGCTTAATGAATAAGATGACACGGGATTCGCTGGTCTTTCTAAATATGCTCACACTGCATCTAAGAGATTTCAGCTTCGATATCTTTCGAGTAAACCCTTCGTTTGATCTTTGTCCACGAACTCTTAGGGCCACATTCAAAGCTGGTCTTCCCTCAACGTTATGCTTACCACAACGGACTTCGATTTGAGTTTCTTGAGTTTGTTGTCAGCTTATATGACAGGTCAAAGCTGAGAGCTAGCCGTCAGCAGCTCATCTGGTGGATTGAAGCTACTAGAGGAGTGCTTGACCAGGGGAACTGTTCACATATTCTAAACCATCTTTACGTTTGCAGGCTGGAATCCTTGCAATTGGTGAATGCTGCGTAATAGGCTGGAGGATGTCAAAGCGTTTGCGCGTCAAACTCCTGAAGCCAGATGGCTACCAATTGATTCCCCAGCATCTCGCTGGAGTATGGGGCTAAGCAATAAGATATGAGGAGTACCTAAAAACTGCAAGCTTCAGTCTTTCAATCGTTGGAGAACAGCTCCTGAGTAGGCAGCTGTGTTTGAAGGACTGATTGGGGCATTCTGCTCTGTTGGTCGCTGTTTCTACGGGACAGCGGGCCGAGCTGGAAAGGGGGTCACATCTAGAATACAATTGTTGCACTGCCAAGGAGTGGCAGGTGCCAATCATGGCGGCTCTGAAGGAATCTAGGCGGACCTGAGGCAGTATAGAGACTAGCTTAATTAGGTGACCACCTTAAGCAGGCCAGCTTGTAGAGATTGCTGTTCTATATAAAGAAAGATTGTTCGGCTTGTAACATTTTTGAGCTGGAAGCTATACCAAGAGCTTACAGTTGGAGCTAGTACAGTATGTGTATGTAGCTCAAGGCGCGCATGGGGTTTTGGGAGCTATACTTTTGAAGATGTAGGAATTGTAAACACTGCGCAGCGGCAGCGAATATTTTGATCGACCTAGCGAAAGCTTAGTCGCAACCCGGTGGGTGATCAGTACAGAAGTATCAGTAGAGAGGATGACGTTTCTCACGTAACGAATATAACAACTCAAGTGGAACACTAGCTATGAGGAACTGTATAATTGACGTTTGCATGCATGTGCAGCGGGACGCAATCGTAAGTTTTTCGATTTTGGCAAAGTCGTGCCGTTGAGTAACGGCTTTTATCGGCCAGATCAGCCGCAACGTGTTCGAGGCGCGTGTGCACCTTAGCTTCATTGCGCTAGCCACCTTTCTTGGCAGTCGGAGCCACTGCCAAACCGGTTAGACTAAATTGTTAGAGGGCAGTCAATATCCTGCCGGTATGATGACTTATGGGCAATGTCACCTAGTGATACAGTCGCGCCAATCAATTCTGCCGTGAAGATCCTAGTACAAGCTAGAAGTCAACGCGTCGGCAGCCGTTTTCCGGCGTGGTCGACTCGTAGCTCGCATTAACACTGCTACCCACTTTGTGAGGGCGTTGCGCATGCATTTTGATACAACGTGAAGAGGATACAGGCAGACGGTGCCAATACTCAGTGTACATGCATATGCAACACAAATTAGCATGCACCCGTCCACATGTCAGTGCATCCATGGAACCATATCCAATCAGTGCCGACCAGTCGGAGCTCAATCGGCACTTTTCTTCAGGTTGCTCGAGAATGTGCTTATCGAGCAAGAAGGAACACCCAAAATACGTCTCCATAAAGGTGAAAAGCAAGACGGTGCAATCAAACGGCCCGAACAGTGACATCCATCACGCAGAAGGAACAAAGATTCTCAAATCTCAAGGAGCGCGCTTCGCCCACTGAAATAATTGACACGTCCAACCATACGTCGCTGATTGTTTCTTGGTTTATCGCAGCTACTGAACTCCCGTCGGCCGCAAGCTCCCTTTCGCGTCCAACATCGAAAGACGCCCTTTGAAGCAAGGCGCAACATTCAGTGTCGCTCTTGTTCCAGCTTGCATGGGCAAAGCTATCTGACCCATCCGTTCGTTTCTCCACTTGCGCGTCAATTGCCTCCTCCGCTTTTGCGTCAACGTTGCTGTAAATGCCCTTTTACAGAAGCATAGAAGGTACTTCCGTGCGTCTAACTTCACCGGAGCTATCGAACCCCGTCGCCCACGTGATCGATTTTCGCATCGATCTTTGTGAGGACGCCCTTCATGGCCTCGTACGTGCTCCAGCAGATGGCGGCTGCCGGCGTGTGGAACATGATGCGCGGCCGCCACCCGCGCCACAGCGCGCGCGGGCCCTCCTCGCGCACAATCAGCTTCATCGTCTTGAACACGTTGCTGCTCTTGTACTGCCGACACGTCACACCCTGCACAGAGAAGGAAATTCGTTACTTGCCTGCTAGCTTTCGGCCGCACATTCAGCTTCGTCGTCTTGAATATGTTGCTGCTCTTGTATTGCAGACACGTCACTCCCTGGACAAGAAAGAAGCGTTTCAATCCTTCACCATTTTGGGCAGTAGATTCGTGCGCTGTCAGCTTCATCGTCAGCTTCATCGTCAGCTTCATCGTCTTGAACACGTTGCTGCTCTTGTACTGTTTGGACACGTCACGCCCTGCGTAAAGCAACAAAACTTCTGACTTCTACCCTTGTGCTGGACTGATTTAGCACCTGTTTGCTGGTTGTTCGCTAGTAGACAAAGACTTCGCGCACGATCAGCCTCATCGTCTTATACAGGTTGCTAATCTGTACTGCCGACAAGTCACGCCCTGCGCAGATCAGAAGAGGGTTATTTTTGCTAATCTTAACACTTTCTCGGACGTCATCGATGGTGATGAGAACAGTGTATGCGAACCTCTTTCAGAGCATCTGCTTCACGGCAATGATGCTCCCGTCTTTCAGCACGTCACGCCCTGCCGAAGTAGGGATGTCGATCCTTCGTATGTATCTGATGGTTGGTTAACGAATGTCCATCAGTGTTTTGCTGAGCGGCGGGTGAGGGTTAACCGAGTGCAGTTGCTGCCTGGTCGAAAAGTTGCAGAATGAGGTCCTCCTCCATCAGACGGTGGAGGCCCAGAATTGTCTCAGGACAAACCGTGCAAGCTGTTCGAAGGAGAGAGAAAGCCTACATGTTAGAAAGAGATCATAGGGTGGCCCGACGTAAAGCATCCTGGACCCGCTCGACAAACGAGAGCGAATCTGAAAGAACACCGAAGTTAGGCGCAATCCAAACAAAGCGCACCCAAACCAATCTGACATTGGGCCTGTAGGTAGTATTTAAGCTTCAGACCAGGGTAACCGCTGGAAGGGCGTTTTAATCTGGTCACAACTGGCCTACAGATCTTGTCTTGATTTAGAACACGGAGAGACTACCGGTTCAGAAGCCGGGGCTTCCAGCTTGCTGGGAGTAACGTGGTAAACATCAATGGCCGACGTGCCCTGTGCTTACGGCCGAAAGGGAAAGACTCCGTAGATTCCAGGATAAAGACAGCTTTGTTTGGGCCAAAAGACCAGGTCAAGAGTTGAACGTGTCAAAGGGAAGTGCGTAATGACTGGCTCGACCCCATGCCAAACGCTTCGCTTGCGACTCACGTCCACACCAAATGGTTGAAGAAATGACCGGAGCGCTTCCAGTCGGTACTGCGACCCGTTGCTGTCGTTGGAACGTAACCTATTGTGACTTTCACTGCGGGAGCTAGATAACACAAGAACCAGAGGTGGCGCCTTCCACCGGACCACTTCTCACCTGGGTCTGCAACCTAGTTTTGACGACGTCAAGGGGCGTGGTCACCCCGCTCGCTAGCGCGCCCGCCGCACCCCCCGCAATCACGTGCGTCAGCAACCGGTCCTCCCCCGCCGACTGGCCCAACATTCGCTTGACAGCCTCGTACGTGGCGAAGTGAACTGCACAGGAGGGTTCGCTTAGGAACGCCGTAGTCTGAGAGCGCTTCAAATCACAACAGCCAACTTCGTCCTCCAAATTTAATGCCGGATTTGGATGAAATCTGCGGCGTTTCTGCGGCGTCTGATTATTATTTATCGCACCAATTGTTTATGCAGAAACAGTCCCGTGAACCAACTCCTTGTCCGAAATTGAAGAGAAATATCCTGGCTGGTAGACTTTCGTTTCGAAATGAGTGGAAGAGGAGTGAAGAAGAAGAAGTACTCCGAGGAGGGAAGCGATAGTCTAGATCCGTCATAAAAAAGTTGCACCACAAACTACTGAGGGAAAGACTTATGAAACGCTTGAAGTCAAGAACCTGAGAGGAACTGAAACCTAAGGATCCAATGCGTTCGTAACGGCGAAAGATCTGCAGAAGGTGAGGGGCTCCGATGAGATACCTGCGGTCAAATGGCGTTTGCATTCAAGAAGCAAACGGTTCGGAGCTTGACAATATGAGCTTTGATCAAAATAGTGGTTATTTAGGCCATGGACGCTTTAACTGCCGACCAGAATTAGGAAGACTCAAAAAGGTGGTCTCAAAAGTCCGCAGAGATAACACCACGTGAAATTCGCAGGGGGGGGCTCGAACTCAAAGAACTGACGACATAGCTCTTTTGCCGATAAAAAATATTCAAGCAACTCGACTAACTGCTTCAGATGGTGGTACAACTGGATTCCAAAATCACTTTCATGTTTGAAGTTGAAGGCCTGAGTACCATTTCTTGGTGTGCGTGGTATCTTCTCCAAAATAATCAACATCGGACTGCACATCAGGAAGCCACATACGATCTGACGGAGCGAGCTTCTTGCCGCAATAGAGGACTGAACAACACAGCAACTTGGTGCAAAATGAATATACTTGATCTTTCTTTGACAAGAGCAGCAGCAGCATTCAGCTGTATCTATTCCGTTGGAAGGACGCAATCTTCACTTTCATCAGTTGCAGAAAGGTTGCGCATGAGTTGTTAAGACATCATACAATCAAGTCATCATGAAATCATATCGAGCGACTTGATCTTCTTCTAGTATAAGAGCTGACTGATGCCAGACCACCACACTGAGCTCGGCGCCAGTACATTCTCAGTACTGGTGCTCTCCACAGCATTGTCTCTGCGAACCTTAGTAAGGAAATGCACCGACCAATATCTTACCGGCCGTGAAAGGCACATTCATGACGAGCGTCGTCGGGTAGCTCCGATAGAACGCCCGCACGCCCTCCTCTTTCAAAATCCGCCGCACGCAATCGGCCACCCCCCGGTACGGGCTGTCCCGCAATTGCAACCGCTGCTTCACAACGTCCATCGGCGTCAAAACCGCGTCGCTCGCCACCGTGGCGATCGCCCCCGCCATTCCGTGCGCCAGCGGGTGGTGCCCTTTTCGGTTCCCCCCCAGTTTCGATTTCGCGGCCTCATATACTGCAAAGTATACAGCGTGCGCAGGCCCCGCCCCCAAACCCATCGCCCCAATCCCTCGGTACAACCCCGACGCGCCTTCCCGTCTCATGATGGAAGAAACCGCCTTGGCGATTGTCGAGTGGGGGGGCGCCCTGACACCGGAGCTTCCCATCGGCCCCAAGGCCTGCATCCGCGTCTTGATGGTGTCAACCGGAAACATGGCCATATGCTCAACCATGCCGGCAACAGATCCCGCTATCATGTACTCAATAAAACCCAGCCCATCGTGATCCTCGTCTGCCTCAGGATTGTAACTAGTGGAGGGTTGCTCTGAGTCCGGCGGATCTCGTCGCTGGCGATCTCGCTCATGGGCAATTGTGGCATGCGGTTCCGTCAAGCTTTCTGCCATTTTCAGTGCAGTATAGCTAGAGGGAATCAGATGTGAATCAGGGAAGGACTTGGAAGATAAAAGAAGAACTGCTGACAGCCGGTCCAATAGATCAAGGCAATGAACAACCGGTCCAGCAACTCAACAGGATCAAGGAGGGATCATGCTGAGACTGATATCTGGCAGGTGCTCAATACGAGTTACTTAAACCTGCTGCCTTCCCCTGGCGCCAAAAACAGTAGGACTCTGCTGAGGAAGACAAGACGAGAAGTTGAACCAGTGGCAGTGGAGAAGGGTGCATGCAACTTAGCCACACCGCATGGTAATGGTTTTGATCCGCGCGAGCGGACGCGCCGCGGCCTTGAGTGGTAATGGTCTTGCATAGACTGTGACAGCTGGACACTCGGTGTTGGATTTGAAGCCCGCTGCTCAACACGGTAGCCATGCAAGCTGCACACGAGCTTCTCCACGTCAAAACCCCACATTGCCGCATTGGCAGCTAGGGAAAGGCCGTGCTTCCCTCCTTGCGGGCTGAGAAAGTCGTTTGGTAGCTGCTCTTCGGTTGAAAAGCAAGGGGGAAGCAAGGTTCCCACTGACTACGGTATTTGGAAGGTAAAAGGCTGGGAGAATGGTGTAGAAAGCAAGTACAGAGTGGGCTGTGCAGTGGCAAGACCAGTATGTCGTAACGTTTAGCTAATTAAAACTGTGGACGATCAGCGCATGGCGAGCGGCGCACTGCAGGGCTTGCGCCCAGCGGCCATGCAGGCCCGCATGCGCTCCCTTGATGGGGGATGCACCACTCAGACGGGAACTTCCGGCAGCAACTGCCTTTTTTCTGAACGCCCCTTTCCTTTCTGGCGGCAATCACTGGTGCCGCCAAGCTGTGCAGCAAAGCTCCAGTTGGGATGCATTCCTGGTAGTTCCACGTTTCTTGGGCGCTCAATTGTTCCCTTAGGACGGTGCCAGCCACCGAGACTGGTTAAGAGTAGTCTAGCATGCCGTGGTTCGCTTGCCGAAGACACGACCAAAGCCTGGAGCAATGTGGAGGCGCCAGAGAAACAGGCGTCCAAAAACGGACAGACATGGACTGCTTTGGATGATCCATGGAAGGAGAGCTTCCCCGCAGCGCCACTCTTTGATGCCAGCACCACTCCATTGATTAATCCGCAACCCCCCTTGAGCGATGATAGCTCCCAAACCCCCCTTGGAGAGTTGCATGCCGACACCTTTTCTCAGATGGAGGCGCTGATCAGCGAGCGCGATGTTCTGGGGGGGGACCACGAGGCCTTCATCTTGGAGGCGATTGCAAAGGACACTGTCCACTTTCTAGCCCCGCAGGGGAAGAGGCGGCACCTCCCGCTGTTTGTTTACCTGCCCGGGTTGGACGGCACGGGGCTTTTCTGCAAGCAGCAGTTAGGGCCGCTGCTAGAAGAGTTCGATGTACGGTGCTTCGTGATTCCTACGGGGGATACCTCGTCGATCGACGAGCTGGCGGATGCTGCGGCGGGGCTGATTAGACATGAAAGGGTGGCGCGGCAGAGGCTTGCGGAGGAAGACGGTGCTGGGGGCGATGTCAGCAAGACGAGTGCGTCTGCAGCGGAGATGTCTCCAGCGAGTGGCAGAGAAGGAAATCTTGGAGAAGTCGGCTCATCTGAAACAGGGACGGGTTCAGTTGCGTCAAGCAACGGCAGCATTTATGCTCAGAAAGTCTCAATCAATGGGATCACACTCCCCCCTGAACCGACTTGGGACCCATCCCTAAAACCTCCGCAAACCGTTCCCTCAGACCCCTCACCAGACTCCTCCTTAAATTCTGATTCAAACCCCTCCCTGAAACCCCCCTTTCCCGTCACGGTCTATGCGGAATCCTTTGGCACCGGCATCGCGCTCTGCCTCGCTTCCGCCTACCCCACCGAAGTCCACTCGCTGGTTGTTCTGAACAGCATCACGGCATTTCGGCGCCAGCCGCTGCTGAAGTGGAGCTCGATGTTTCTCGGGTCGGTGCCTGCGGGGCTGCACGATCTGGGGTCGTACGCAATCGCGCCGCTGCTGGCGGACTGGCGGCGCATGTCGGAGGAGAGCCGGTTCCTGCTGCTGCCGCCCTTCAGGTAGCTTTCTAGTCTTTTGAATTAAACTTGATTGGTCCTAGTACCGTTTAGTGATTCAAGATTCAGGTTTGGGTTATGAAAATTGGGTTCTGGATGGCACGGATCGCGTGTCCTGGTATTGAGTTGGAGGACCAGATAAGGAGAACAGTTGGTTTAGAATTCTGATGTCATTCTGGATGCAGAGGCGACTTGCTGTTGGTTTCGAAATGAAGATTCCCCTGTGTTGCTTTTACGTCCAGTCTAGCTTTGAGTTACATGAATCGACTTTGGGTTCTGTCTCGTCCATTTGAACCCCTCAGGTCGCTATCGACTAGTTAAACGGATTTGGCTCACTTGACCCAAGTACAAACATCTGCTTCTGCAATTGGGACTGGCAATTGCTTTGGGATGTTCCTTTGTATCTGTCTGTCAATCTTCATATCTTGAGAATTGTGGCTTTTGTATGCACACCACCTAAGTGCAAGGGTTCCTTCCGTAGGCTTGATTGCTTTCTCAGGTCCATATGTGATTCTTGATGGAGGGAATCTGAGCAGACAGTGTTCTTGAATGATAACATTTGACGTCAGTAATGAACGTTGCAGCCTGGGTCGTCATTAAATAAGCGCACCCAAATCAGCTTACGGCTGCCTTCAGTGGCCGCCAGAATAGACCTCCCATTTCAAAGTGGTCTCGAACGACCTCCTCGCAAAGGTTTTTGTGTCTTGTGCGTCTCATAATGATCCGTTTACCCATGTGTCGAATCCCCTCAAAAGTTCGTGTCTCTATGGAGCGACTCTGACCAAGCCGTCGTTCTCTGCAGCACTCGGGTGTTGACGCCGGACGCGGTAACCCGACGAACGCAAATGATGCTCGGGTTTGATCCTTCTGAGGCCGACCTGAACCAGATCCAAGCATCAACGCTTCTGATCGCAAGGTGCGGTTTGAAGGCCATTGACAAGTGGAGATAGATTTTGGCAATCATTCAACTACAGATGGAAGTCTGAATGCTTGAGGTGCATCTACCGGATCGTTTTGCCATGGTTTGCAGAGCTTACATTTTAAAGCATGGACTTGCAGAAGAACATTCAGAGCACTGTCAGACGTTTGTTCAGTACTAAGCCTTTGGGTGCCAAAGATCGTCCACCGTTTATCTGCAATTGGCTTCAAAAGAAATACGGGATGTTCAAGGTTGTTTCGTTGCGATACATCTCGAATCTTCCATCTGGTTCGTGCGGAAAGCGTTTCTGCACCCAAGTAGTCATCTTATCTCTGTACTTTCATCCGTTCTCTCGAAATGCCGAGGCTATACTACCCTTGAACTGTTTTGGGTGACTGTCCATCTGCCCCTTTGACACCTCTGTCCTGGACCAGATGACTTTTCGTTTCCATGCTCTGGAACAATTGCTTGCTGTACCTTTTGCCTGCACATTGTGCATTCCATTTGTATTTCAGCTTTTCGCACTGTCCGATTCCCAGTGGGTACTTTTTTGCAGTGGTCGCGACCGGTTGATGCCCTCGGTGGAAGAGGCGGACTGGCTGGCGAGCCGCATCCCCGACTGCCACGTCAAGGTGTTGCCGGACTCGGGACACGTGGCTCTCCTGGAGGACGGCATTTGCCTAGCCACGCTGCTCCGCGAAGCAGGTTTCGCGGGTGACCGCAACGGAGGCTCGCTGGGGGAATGGAGCGGTACAGCGGCGGACGGGTTTGAGCGGTCTACAGAAGTCAGTGTTGGGTCGGAGGTTGGCGTTTCCGCTGGAAAGGTAGAAACGGAGCCGGAACGAGCTGCGGACGGAAACGGAACTGAGGTCCATCCGATTGTAGCCGCGGAACAGAATGGCCGGTTGGGTGTAAAGGTTCGGGACGGGAGTAACGTTCAGATGCACGTCGGGCCGAATAAGCCGGGGCCTGATGAGGGTTCACCGGAGAGTGACGGGCAGAAAGAGGGTGGGAAAGAGAACCCGGGGCGTCAAACCGAGGACTCGGATTTTGCCGACGCGCTGAAGGACAACCCGCCAGAGAGAAAGTTGAGAGACGATCTGGCAGTGCAGCTGCGAACGACGACGCGAAAACTGTCAGAGGGGTTGAAGGAGCGGAAATCGGACGGCTCGGAGAGCGGGGAGCGGTCATCGGACGGCTCAGAAAGCGCGCGCAACTCGTCGGAGGTTGTAGAAAGCAACGGGACGGGGGTCAACGGTTCTGAAAGGAGGCGGAGCTCATTGGACGGTTTAGAGAGCGAGGGAAAGCCATTGATTGGTTCTGGAAGCAGGCGAGTGGACGACGGTTCTTCGAGCAGCTCAACAAGCGGACGTTTGCAGGAAAGCCCGATGGTCGTTGCGCCGGGGTTGTCGAGTCCGCTGGCGGAATCAGGGCGGAAAACGGATAACGGAACGAAGCTAAACCGGATGGTGCCTACTGAAGAGGTGAACCGTTGGCGGAGGAGTCAAAAGGCTCGGAAGAGACCAGAGGCGTCGAATCCGATTTTCGAGAATGATCTGAAGTGGTTAGAGGGTGTTGTGAGTAATATCTTTGCGAGTTTTAGCGGGCGCGAAACAGGGGTTGTAAATGCACGCGACGGTTTGCAAAATCTGGATGGGACGGCAGGGGCAGCGAAGTTGTCTGCTCCTGTAACGAGCTTAGATGCTGAAAACGGATTGCCCGAGACAAACGGAAGGTCGTGGGAGCTGCCGCAAGAGATTGACAGTGGAACCCGAGTCGTGAGCTTTCTGGGGGAGCTTTCGGCTGACCACGGTCGGGTGAACGTGGGAGAGAGTCGGGCGGAGCGAAGTGTCTCCCCAGCTCAGCAGGAGGCGTCAGCAAGAGAGGCGACTGTAGGCAGCTTTAGCACGCGGTTAGAGACGAACCGAGGAGCAGCAGTAAACGGAACTGAGGGGAAAGTGAGTTTGGATGGGGCCGTCGCAGCTGGGAAACCCTTTGCCGGTGTTAGGTCGGACCAACCAGCGGCTGTTAATACGCTTGAGAACGGAAGTAGGCCGAGCAGTTTGAGCGGGAGTTCTGGAGGTGAAGTTAGTGGAAATGGACGGGCGGTGTCAGAAGGGGGATCTCTCCAGGTCGAGGGGGTGCCTGGTAGGGGATCCGGAGCGGAACAGAACGGAACGGAGTCCGCGAAGGAGTGGAAGGACAGCGAAGATGGGGTAGGAAACGGGGCGCTAGGTCAGGTTGGCACGAGCAGCGAAAACGGAGCGGAGGGACAGAACGGAGTGAGGGGCGCTCAGAACGGAACGAGCTTTTTGCGCGGGCTTGGGGCCGTCGAGAGAGATGTTAGGGCTCGTGAGAGCGAGAACGGGAAAGCTGCGGGAAGCGGGAACGGAAGGAGCCCGCTGAGCGAAAACGGAAGGAGCACGCTGAGCGAGTTCGGAAAGGGCTTGGAGAGCGGAAACGGAAGAAGCACGGATCGGGTCGCGGCCAGTGCAACTCAAAGCTCGGCTGAGGAGACGCGAACAGTAGTCGCTTCGTCGACAGAGGAGCGAGCGACTACAATTTTCGAAGGCGAGAACGAAAATGGGGGTACGGTAAGCGCAGCGGGAGCAGGGGAAGCGTCCCCTCCGGTAGCAAAGAAGGCCCCGGCGGATCTGAAGGCTGGGGGGGTGGCAGCAGGGCGAGCGTTCGGCACGATGCTGGATGATATGCCGCAGTACCGGCTGTGGAACTGGCTGACGCGTCCCGAGTTCTACGGTGTGTTTCTTTCCTACATTCCGATAGACAACCAGGTTCTCTGTGCTGGTCTTCTTGTTGGCCCACTTTGTTGTTGTGCCCAAGTTCTTTTCGAACCCGCTTTCACGGTACTGGTATGTTGGCGAGAAGGGGTTCTTACTGCGCTGGAATGACAGGCCTGAGGTCTGATTCTTGAGCGCAAGTTCTGCCTTTGGTGAGCATGTTGATAAGTACCGAGCCTTTAGGAGCGTATACGAGTATAGAATGGTGAAACTAAAGCGGAAAGGGCAGGAGCTTAGGCGGAGTAGAAGATTGTGTCCGACATGTTCAGCTTGTACTTTGCTCCAAGTCACCTTTCTCAGAGCGAAGCACCAAGGATGAGCGCCGAGGCGTGGCCTGATTGCCAGTCCCGTTATCAATGGTGACCTGCTTTTCGCATGAGGAGTCCTATGTCGCATATTAACGGGGATGATAAAAGCCTTTTTCAAATCTTTATTTGGCCCTCGCTTTCTTTCGCCGCAGGTATGGACGACATCCCGGTGGACGCGGCACCGCTCCTCTTCGTGGGCAATCATACGCTGTTCGGGATCTATGACATGTGAGTGCTACTCGATCTCTCTTTCATTTGTTGAACAGAGTATGTCGATGCTGTAAGCAACTCATGAGTATGTCGATGCTGTACGCAACTCATGAGAGTTTCGTGTTTCTTCTGAAAGTCTTCTGCAGATATACTTTGGTACTGGGCGGGGTGACAATGTTGCCAAGATACTAACCATGTTCATTCCGCCACAACCGGAGCCGAAATGCAGGTTGTCTCTAAACCGGAAACGCCCGACTGGGGAGCCTACATTCTGTCGTATCTTACGTATCTCATCCTGCTTCTTCGCAAGTCTTTTGAGTGAAGGTTCAGAGCCATGGTCTGTTCTAAAAGAGGCCTAGCGGTTCAATGTACCTTTTTCTGCATCGTCGGTTTCGCCAGCTGGTTGGCAGGTTCGGCACACGGGCTTGAGCGTCTGACCGAACCTTTCTACTTGTATTCTTGATGACCTTTCACTAACTGCGACCTTTTCATCTCCCCCAGGCCGCTGATGATGTACGAGCTCCGGAAGCGGCGGGGCCTTGCTCTGCGCGGGCTCGCCCACGAGTGGCACTGGAAGTCGCCTTTGGGGGACATCTTCGAGAAATACGGGGCCGTCAAGGTCAGCCCTGGGCTCTTCTCCTCCCTTGCTCTCTTTGAGTTGTGACTCCATTACACTGTTTCCACTGCGCACGTCAGGTTTTTCTCGTTGCAGCCTCTCCGGGCATATAAGACGTGCAAGCGTGGAGGTCGAGAGGTGATTGATGCTTGTATGTGACATCCATGCATTCTGTTTCTTTGGTTGGCAATAATTCCTTCTGGGACCAACCTTCCCTAACGCTTGAGCAGCAAAAGCGTGAAAATGGTTCGATGGCAAAGGCCTTTTCCCTCCGTTTCTGAAGAACCATTCCGTGACGACCCATGAAAGACACCTCTTGCTTCGGCGGCCAGACCCCTACCTTGTTGTTGGATGGTTGTCTGTTCTTGAGTCTCAACTCAAAATTTCTATAACCGGTACCATCTTCGTAGACCTGGCCCCGCAGTGCTCAAGACTTTGGAACATGCTTCCCACTGATTGTGGTAGACCCCGAAGACCCAAAAAACCTGATATACTTTACGGCTCTCCGCAACCTCTTACTCCTGCTAAAGATTAGAGAAATCTGTCGCGCAACCCGCAGTATCTTTGGAGCGGAGCTGTCTGGTTCTCCAGGCCACCCCCCGCAACTTGTTCAATTTTCTCGAGGCCCCCTCCCCGACGCCTAAAAGCCGATGAAATACACTTTTCTGCAAGGATATAGTGGAAAATCCTGGATGCGTGCCGTCCGCCGTGTCCTTTTGGGGGGCAACTTTGATGGCTTTCTAACCGCCTGGTTCTTTGCGCAGGCAACTCCCCGGAAGTCTTTCAACCTGCCCAACGCGGCACCCTTACTCTAGTTTCCCCGCAATTTCTTGCCAAAAACATCATCCGGGGGAAGACTGGAAAGCTTGCTGACCCTTTGGTTCTTCGCGCCGGCAACCCCCCGCTTGTATATCAACCTGCTCAACGCTACTCCTCCACGCTCAGAAAGTCGTCCCTTTGCATGTTCTGCAAGGCTTTTTTCGAAGGGGGGGGACTCCAGGGCTTGCTAACCGTCACCATTCTTTTGCAGGCCGCCCCCCGGAAGCATACTAATCTGCTGAAAGTCGGCCCACCCCACTTTTTGAAAACTTTTGAAAACCCTATGTAAAAGCGTGCCTAGCACCTTGAGGGTCCTTCTTCCGGGGGGTCCTTATAAGGTCTGCTGACTGCCTAAACCTGTGCGCAGGCCACCCCCCGGAACTGTTTCAACCTGCTCAAGGCCGGCGAGCCGGTGCTGCTGTACCCTGGGGGAGGCCGCGAGGTCGCCAAGCGGAAGGGCGAGAAGTACAAGCTGCTGTGGAAGGACGACACCGACTTCGTGCGGCTCGCGATGAAGTGCAAGGCGACCATCGTGCCGTTTGCGACGGTCGGGGTGGAGGACGCGTTCGACATCCTGATGGGGCCCGAGTGAGTGCTTCTGCTTGACTCCTGCAAGTTTCTGTTTTGACAATCAATGGGCGACGGGATGCACCTGCTTTTCAAGGGAAATATATAAATTAAAATAAAAAGCGAAATGTTGGAAAATTCGTGGAAAATTTTCACCAGACTTTCCCTTTCTTTGCGACGGTCGGGGTGGAGGACGCGTTTGTTATCCCGATGGGGCCCGAGTGAGTGCGCTTTCTATGACAATTGTCTGGCTGAAGATGCCACTTTGCAAAAACACTGGAAGCCCATGCAAGAAATCAACCTCAACACGTGTTTTGCGTTTTATGAGAGCGCGCATACTCATCTGCAAAGGTCAATAACGACAGGTCAGGTTGCTCCTTCTCGTGACGGGTGTGTTTTGTGGATGCGGGCGAGCTAGTGCGTCTCCTCGCTGCTCACAGACTTCGCTGATACGGGTCGTGTTTGAAACGTCTGGCCTGGATCGATTTGCGTTCTTCTGTCTTGCTGTTTCCCGGGTTCTCCTTATAGACTTTGTTTTGAATGGACAGAGCGGGCCAGTCTTTCAAGGCTGATTGGATCTACGGTCAGAGGAAGGTTCGAACAGAAGGGCAGTCCGTTTCGTAAGCGCAGCGATTCGCTAGCGCAACTGGTCTGTGCTCGTCGCATCTCTCTCCTCTCAGCATGGAGTACAAATCCTTTTGACAAAAAGTAAGACCCTCCTGCACTTAACAAGGTACAAGTGATACTCAAAAAAACTGCCGAGCGACATCTAAAGTGGACACAACGAGAACGAAGAGAAGCGCAAAGTGGCCCCTGTCTGACCCTTCCATGTCTGCATGCAGCGAGATCATGGCGTCTCCGCTGGGCGACCTGATCCGCCCCGCTCTGAAGGCGACCGGCTTCACGGAGGACGTCATTCCGTCGCTCGCCACGGGCGGAAACCTCCTTCCGCGGCCGGAACGGCTCTACTTCAACTTCGGGGAGCCCATCTATACCAGCCACTACACCAGAAAAGACCTGAAGGACAAAGAAGAGTGCGCGCGGCTGTACAAGGTGTGAATACCAGACTTCGCTCGCGCCGGGTTGCGGAACAGTTTCTGTGCCGTTCGATGATTGCAATCGACAATTGATCGGCTTGAAAACTCTTCACCAGATTCAAACAGGTGACCAGGTTGAGCAAAACTTGCAGCAGTTTCACTGGTGCTCATGTCAGCAGAAGGGAAGAGCAAACCTTGCCGGAGCAGGAGCCTGGTGCTCGCCTTTGTATGTGACTGTCTGTTCCTTCCTGAATACTGTCTGTCTCAAGAGGTATAAGGTCCGTTTATCGAGGCGTCTTGTTACACGTGACCGCCGGAACGGAAGAGCTGTTGGGGCGGAAGCGGAACATAGGGTATAGATTGCAAACTCTGCATTGTGTCTGCCGCTGCTTTTGCAGGAAATTTTCTTGCTGATGTCACTGACTCCGCTGTTCCGTCTCTCCGTGGCAGCAAGCGAAGACGGCCGTTGAGGACGGAATCCTGTTGCTCCAAGCTAAGCGGAGCAAAGACCCTCTGCGGGAGCTCCTCCCACGAGCGATGGTAAGTTACTCGATAGTTCAGTGCGCTGCAACCGAATGCTAAGAGGCGCATTTTGTTAACAGTTGGGCTTTTACGTCTGGTTTACACCAAACGCGAAGGTTTTTGATGGCTGTCGTTAGCAGTGGCAGTAAAGCATACGGTGGATGGCATCGTGCGCAGTTTGCAAGCTTTTCACCAACTTCAATGGTTGGCTCTCAGCGTGCGTTGGCTATTCCTTTGAAAGGCGTGTTTAGTGCAGCCCTTGATGATCTCATTTGGAGCTTTGCTGCTGAAATCTGGTCACAACGGTGTTTATCGGAGGATGTAAATTCCAATTCCAAACGGATGCCAGACTGACAGAGAGCGCTGGCTGTTAAGGGTATCGTCAAGACTGCTGATGACATGTTTTTGCACGCTTAGTACACGGGCCGCTCCGTGCAGGTTAACATCATGGAGGGATGGGACGGCTCGTAAATAGACGTTTAGGATGGCAACGCAGGTTTCTCTTCCGCAAATTGAGAATCTTGTCGTAGATTGCTCGCATCCGATGTAAAGTTGTAGTTGGCGCCATTGCGCAATTCAGAGGTAGCTCCAACCACATCTCGCAAATGCATTCTCGAGGTCGAGGTCGAGGTAATGGTTACTAGGGCGTTGGCTTAATGACATTCGCTCTCAATGTCGGACCTTTCTGGTCAAACTGACCATCATTGGTACAATCGAAGATACGTTTAGAAGGATTCAGAATTTTTTTGACGCAATTCAACCCCTTCTGACTTGTAGACGCACCACACTAAATCGATTTCACTAAGGATGCTAGGCAGTGATCACTTTATAACCGCTTCAATAATCGCAATATGGATCGATCATTCGAGTATGGATTGCAATGCGCATGCGCGGCGTCTCAAGGATACGATTTCCGCTATTACTGGAAGTAGCCATTGTCCGTGCCCGTGCAACATTGCATGCATGCTCATTAGATTGCGGCACACCGCTTCCAAGTGACAAGGCTGCATGGGCTTGCGAAAATATAATTTGTCCGTGTTGCCACTTTACGGTGATTCCTCAAGAGCGCTCTCGAAGTAGGATCACGCCCATAGAGACATCTGTGCGAAGGTAAGCATGCATGTCCATAATTACTCGAGCTTGTCCTCTTGGCGTTGTTTGCATGCAAGAGGCCAAGCTGAATCACATGAAGGTTAGGGAATCTAAAATCTAGGGACGGTTTGCCAAATCTCATTTCCGTGAGAACCATTTCCGTGGATGTTACCAGAAAAGCGAACGTGCATGCATTAGCGACGGCCCTAGTAGCTCATGATCCGACCGTTTCTATATTGGATCCAGCATGTGAGATTGCCGGGTTTCTTAACCACCTTCTTCTTTTCAATAAACGACTACCGTTATGTCAGGCGGCAATACGCACGGCGGATTCCAAGTAGGAATGAGATTGAACATTTGAGACATAGACATTTGAGTAGGCCCCGCCTCTTGCATTGGTAAATCTTTCTTGAGTCAAGTTCATCGCTTCGACGGTTTGGACCGAGGCCCGAATTTTCTTTCGATAGGCAGCAGTCCTACAGGAAGCACACGGACGATTATGCGGGAAGAAATTCAAGAGTTGAGTCTACAATAACGAAGAGGTGTGAGGTTAGCAATTGGAAGCAGCAGTTGCATGGCTCCAGAATCAGCCAATCGCCGAAAATGCATCTGAGTGATCTAGCACAGTCTCAACGAAACTCATGTGTGCTCTTGGAGTAGAAGTTTGCGTTCCGGATACGCAACTGGGGCGGGTAGAGCGGCGAAACTGTGCTCTTCAGGAAGCAATAGTTGTTGTCCGCGTGGTGGGAAACTGCGATGCACCCGGGAGTGCTGTTGCAACGAGCCATGCACGCGACAGCATTCTCGATTATCGCCGGTGTTTGGGCAACAGTAAGGATGCCAGTGTTCCCGGGATACACGCCAACATTCGATGTGGCGACTCCCGCTGGGACAGGGATTGCAACGCCGAGATACTCCTGCAAGCCCAAGCTCTGTACGTGTTCATCGGGCGAGCTCAAGACGGTGGGTGCAATCATTTGGAAAGTCGCTCTGCATTATCGATCGTGCACCCCAGAAGGCCGCAAACAATCAGTGCAGGCTGAACCAGTTGGTGACTCACCGTATTACCTTCGAAGTGATACCCAAGATAGCCTGCATGAAGGTTGAAATGACGAAACTGAGATACAAAACCAGCCCGGACCAAAACAAGGGATGGGTATTGGCAAACCTCAGATATCAACTTTGCCGGAAAGACCATCATGAGGATGCATACACACTCAATCAAGGATGCTAGTAGCGCTTAACAATCGAGGCGTGTACTATCCGAGTTCCAACGGAGATTTGTTACCTCAGCACTCATGCCCAGAACTACATACCATAAACACGTTGATATCCGGCATCCTTTGCATTTCAACACCGCACTAGCTGGTGGATTCATCATAAGAGCAACTTTAAATCCAAACGTTAGTTCCGAGTTTGCAAGCCCTGAAACGATTGGATCCGATCCGTCCCGCATGCTCAACCGGATCGTTTCATCCTTTCGATTTCAAACCTTTCGCGAATCTAGAGCTTACCCGTTTTGAGGAGCGAGCTGGTGGCGCCGTTTGGGGATGAAGTCCCGAGCGCGTATTTCAGAAAGCAGCAGTTGACAGTGGGGTTGTGGACGAAACCAACACACGCATCCAACGCGTTGCAGCGAATCTCACAAGCTGCGGCGCTCAAGGTTGGTAATCAGCCTGGTTAGCAGCCTGGATCGAACTGATCTCTGAGTCAAGCAGCTTGAGCAAGACTCTTCCTTGCCCGCGAAGCCCGTCATGGAAAAGCAATCCAACAAGAAGCATATGCAAGAAGTTGGAAGACGGGAGAGACTCTGCTGGTCGACCCGGAAGTTTACTGGGCACTGTCTAAAGAGACTCACGAGTCCTCTTAGAGTAGAAAGCAGCCCCGAGCTTAGCACCCGCGCGACCAACCGCGCTTTGCAGGAGGCAGCAGTTCGGTCCAGCGTAGTACGAGACTGCGATACATCCCGGAGTGTTGTCGCAGGGAGCCACGCACGCGTAAAGATTTTCGTTGAATATGGCCCCCGCCAATATTGCCGCCGCCAACGTTGCCGGTTGCAAGTTGAAGTTAGTGCCGACGTCGGGTAAAGCACAAGCGCTCGAAGTTGGAGCTCCGGGCACGACTATTGGTATGCCTTCGTAATCCTGCATCCACGCCAGGCAACCTTCAATGTGTTAATCGATGCCGACTCGATCGTGTACACGGCCTCAAGAGCATGACTTCGTGATCGATCTTCGACGCAAAGGAATCGGGTGTTTCCACGAAGCTTATGGGCTAGGCAATTCTTTGACCAGCTTCTTACGTGTACACCACTGAATAGAACCAATGGAGAGAGCGAAATGGACAAGCACAGAGTCATTTGGCTGTGACTTACCATGTTATTTTCGATCGAGTACGTAAGGTAGCCTGCATGACAGAATGAGATTGAAAAATCCTCAAAAAGCGGAGCTCATGTCAGACGGACTTCTTGCGTGTAAGCGCAGTTCATTAGCAGGGATAATGCTTAGAAGTCAAGGCGACAGCACTACCGCCTTTGCATGATTCGTTGAAAAAGACGTCAACCTGACGTCAGCATCCGAAGTGCCGCCTGAATTCAACGCCGTAGTGATCAAGGGATGCATCACAAGGGCAAACAATCAATTATACGTCGACAAGCTTCTTATATTCGAAAGTGAAACTTACCCGTTTTGACGTGCGAGACGACGGTGGCAAGGGAGGTCGCGTTCGCAAGAGCGCTTTTGAGGTAGCAGCAGTTGAAAGCAGCGTAATGCACGTGACCAACACAAGCATCCGCCGCGTTGCAGAGAAGTTGGCAGAGTCCCTCGCTTACGTAGTAAGCATTGTTCCCGCAAACAGCCGGGTTAAAGGTGGGACCGGCAAACGGCAAAAAGTCGAAGCCAGGGTAGTCCTGCGCAGTACAGAGCAGAGACGACGTTTGCGCCAGGTGTGTTCAGGGAGCAACAGAGGGATCTGGTGACACGTACCAAGGGTAACTCTGGTCGCGTCATAGGCCGGCCGGTTGAATGCGGATGGGCCAACACTGCTGATCCAAGCTTCGTTGCGTTTGAAGCTTTTACACGGTACAATTTAATTACGAGAGACCAGGCTAGACGACCCGTTCTCTTGTAACGTAATTGAGGCTCTGACAACGAGATAGCACGTCGAGTACAACGTCTTATGCAGCTCCGAATTCAGGCACCACAGGGAGGATTGGTCGTCTCCTCCCGGGGGGGAAGAGAGGGGGAGAACCGGGGGAGACATGTCTCCCCACCTGTCTCCCCCACTTCTCCCCGGGGGGAGGAGAACCGTCACTATCCACCCCCTCTCCCCCGGTGGAGGAGAATTCTCCCCCCATGATTCTCCCCTACTCCAAAAATCTTCGCTCCTTCAGAAGTGCTTGGAGATTGTAAATACACGGACCGGGGTATGTTTGCTGAGGTCAACATGAACGGTTCTGAGTGCTCAAACGGGAAAAAAGAATGGTTTCCTGCAAAAATCTGACGTTTTGTCACCTGCCGGGCTCGAACCGGCGTCCTTCTGCCATTAGGTCTGCCTCCTTAACCACCTGTGCTATCTCATATGTGTGCACTCCTGAGGGGCAGCTTAAAACATATATACCGTTATCACAGAAACCATTTTCGAGGTTTCCTGAATTGCAGAGCGCGTTACGCTTCCGTAAGCCCGTTCTTCATCTTCAGAGGTTCTTCAGGAACTATATTGAAGCACCTTTGGTTGTTCTGATCCGTTTGAATCAAGGAAGCAGCCTTGCTGAGGACTTCACCGATGT